TTGGATGATAACACCTTCCAGAATAAGTCGTGGGCCGAGGTTAGCAACATTTCGGTTAGCGAGTTGAACTCGATGGAGTTGGAGTGGCTCTTCGCTTTCGAGTGGAAGATCCACGAGCGCATCCACGACAAGCAGGATGGCTTTGCTACATGGCTCAAGCACTGGGAGAACTGGCGTGCCAAGACGGTCGCCCGTGCTCAGGAGTCTCGCCATGCTCTGGCACCCATCGACACGAACGTTCCCCGGCCCCATCGCGTCTCGAAGCCGCTGCTCTCCCCCGAAGGTCCCATCCCTCCGCAGTATCAGCGCAGTTCTACCTTCGAAAATTCGTGGCTCAACCCCACCGCCTCTGAATACTCGCCCCCTTCCGCGCCGCACAGCGGCCCCAACACGCCGGACTACTTTGCTGTTGGGCCCTGGGCGTACACTAACCCCCCTCCGCCGTACACGCGTACCTGGGTGCCCACTCCACAGCAGTACATCCCTACAGCGCCTCCGTCACAGCCGCCGTCGTACCATCACACTCCGGCCTACGCTCTGCCTTTCGCGCAGAGTGTGTGGACTGGCCATGGCTCGTCGTGTGGCTGTCTCTATTGCATCAAGCCTGCGGAGCACTACATGTGCGCCAATCCCTTTGGCTCGATGCAACCGATTGTCGCTTAGTGGTGCCACGACTCTCACCCGTGAAGCGTTCTGGCGCTGGGGAAAAAGTTATCTTTTTTATTAATCCGACTATCCTCGACATCGTCTTTTCACTAGACCATCTTGTTCGCATCGTCCAAAATTTTCGCTAATGATACCGTGTTCTATTCGTGTTCCTTGCATGACTACCCGTTTTCCTCGAGTCGGTTTCGATTATGTTTTCCCTGAAAAGTACCCGCCGTCAAACTTCCTGGCTTTGCCTCAAAAGCAAAAATCGAAAAACAGTGTCCACTTCGGGGGATGATCGCATCCATTTTCATCTCTGCCCGTTGCTTCTTGTGACATGACTCTTCCTTTTGTTTCACTCGACAATTCTCTATCCTTTAAAACGGCCTCGTTTTGATTTAAATCATTCACTGGGCTGATTTTATTCCACCTCACTGCTCCCGGGATTCTCTTGGATGGAAATCCCCGGAGTCAGGAGTCACGACAATTATGAATGTTTATTTTCCGCCTTTGCACGAGTTTTTTTTTGCCTCGTTTTCGCCTTCGCGTCTCCTTGATCTTTACCTATCTTCTTCGGATTTGGGCATCTTATCTGGCAATGTTCCTCATAGATTGTTCTTCTTTTTTATTTGACCCTGGCTGAGTTAGGATACTGGCACTTTGTTCTTTTTGTCCATTTTCTGCTTGACTCCTGGGGATGTTAATACCTTGTCTTCGTTCGGTTCTATTTTCGACTTTTCTTGCATTGTTCTGCTCTGGTCGAACAGATTTTACGAGTCATTTGTTCCTTCCACGACCGGAGTCAGGCATTTCAAGCCACTGTGGCGCGTTTTCGGCTGCAAGGTTTGACTGCTCTTGGTTGTACATTATACCATGTTTATTTTCTCTTCCTTTTCTTCCATGACCTTTCTACATTGAATGTCCACCATCACCCTTCATCTCGCATCGAGGGGAGTTGAGAAAAAAAAAAGTGATACTCTCCCCCTTCACGCCCTTGTTTCTTTTCTTTCTCTTTTTTTTTTCTTGCCTACGGTGATCCCGCCGGCTTATGTGTCTTTCTCACCTTTCATTTCGTCCTTGACTGTAAGTTAGATTAACTACTTTCATACCAACCATCCGAAATCTGGGAAATGGAAACATACTACGAATTTCCGGATTTACAAAAAAAAACCTGGAAATATCATCACAAGAACCTTTTTCTCTCTTTACCGTAAATACTCTAGTAGTTACTTGGTCAGTTTCAGCATCCTCTGACAACACTCGGTCATCTAAGGGACATGCTGGCACGTGACGTTGCTTAAGACAAAGCCTTCTTGATTAGGTAATTAAGCCCTAGGGACGCTCCGTAGCCGTCTCGTGCGAAGGCTAGTTACAGTGATCGGTTCGGATGAAGAAGGCATATGAAGCCTAGACTGCATGGAGTCTAGACTGGAAGGGTCAGAGAGAGGGTAAGGCGCTTTACAGCACGACCCAGCCTCCTTTCGCTCTTTAAGTACAGGGCGAATGACAAGGGATCTACATGAACATTTCAGGACGTGAGAGGCGGAGAAGTTGGTGTATTGTTATAGTCTAGTTTAACAGGATAAGGTTCTTGTTCCTCTCTTCATGGGCGTCAGTCATTTGTGCAACGTCTTATTTTCATTCATCATCGAAGATTTGAACTCGTTCGGCGTATTCCCGGATGTTGGAGACGTAGGTCTCTTCGATGCGATCGCCTTGGCCGGCGGCTACGCGGAGGACGAGGTCGTTGAGGGAGGCGCGGCCGAGGATGTCGACGTGGTCTCCTGTTTTTGTTTGTTTGTTATTTGGAGTGTTTTGTTTGAGGGAGGGGGATGGATTGGTGGTTTTGGGGAAGGTGCCGGGGGGCCAGAGGAGGGTGAGGGTCGGGGATTCAAATAGGAAGGAAGATAAGGAAGGACGCACCCGTGTTTGGCCCACCCCTGGGCGAGAACCGATCCGGCTCATGGGGCATCTCAAAGACCTTGATCTTTACCCCGGCCGGGTTGTACCGCTTGATGTGCCAGCCCTTGGCGCACATGTACCCAGTACTCAGCAGGTTGACGGTGCCGTCGCCTTCGCCCATGTGGACGCCGTGGTCGACGCCGTCGTTGTTGGTGACGGTAGTGTCGATGCTGACGTTGAGGTTGACGAGGGGGTCGCGCTCCTCCTGGTAGAAGTAGCTGCGCTCGGTGGGCTTGCCGACCCCGTAGAAGCAGTAGATCTTCATGTCCGGGGCGAGCGGGAGGCGAGCCTCGAGCGGGTTTAGCCAGGTGCGCGGGTTGTGCTCGTTGGCCTCGACCTCGCGCGCCGTGTGGGCGACGCCGTGCGAGTAGCTGGCCAGCACCTGGTGGCGGTACCAGTCCTCGCCTTCGTCGAGGAGGTAGTTTAGGCTCTCGGTGATGGTCATGTTCTTAACGATGCGGCTGGTGCCGCTCTCGCGGAAGTTGAGCAGGTTGCCGTAGGTGAGGTTCTGGTGCGGCCGGTCGTCGGGCGCCCAGGTCGCGTTGCCCCAGACGGCCTCGCCGCCCTTGGGCAGCATGCTGGAGATGCCGGGCATGGCGCGGAAGATCTCGGCGCGCTCCTCCTTGGACAGGAACTTCTCCAGCCCGTAGACGGCGAAGGCGTTCAGCTGGGCGGTGTCGCGCATCTCGCCGGACAGAACGGCCGTGAGGCCCTTGACCGCCCCGAGCATGCAGCCGCTGATGTTGATCCAGTTGGCGACGTGCCGGTTGACCCAGTCCGAGCCGCCTTGGCCGTGCTCGGGGTTCTCGACCCACTTGAAGAAGTAGAGCACGACCTGGGAGCCCATGCTGTGGGAGGCGAGAGTGACCTTCTCGCCCTTGACCTGCACGGCCGTCTCGATGTACGACTTCAGGCGGCTGAAGTACTGGTCCCGGACCTCCATGTTCGGGTACGAGAGCCGCCAGTCGTAGGCCGCCGTAAACGCATTGGTGGGGTCGTAGCCGATGGTCGCCAGGTTCTCGAGGATCTTGTTCCAGATCCAGTAGCCCGTGATGAAGAAATCGGTCGCGTCGAAGCCCTGCGCCGCGCGCAGTTTGATCCCCGGGGGGTCCAGCCCGGTGTCCTTGTCCAGCATAATATGGTTCTTCCACCCCGGTTTGTCGAGCACCAGCGCCCGCATCATGCTCCAACTGCCCCAGAGTCTCTTGCGGAAGTACTGCCGGGACCCGGGTTCGGTGCCCCAACTCTCCAGGCCGGTGGAGATCACCCCGGGGATCATCACCATCGGGTGTTTCGCCTGGAAACCTTGCGCCTGCAGGTGTAGTCCGACGGAGAATGGGTCGTAGTTGACTGTGTCGCGCTCATGTTGCTATATAGATAGTCCCACAGCGGTCAGCAATCTTCTAAGTGGTGTTCTCTGCCTGCACACAGCAGGGTTGCATTGTCTGCCCGCGCACATATTCTCCGACGGGCGCCGACAGGGAAGAAAACGTACGGTGAATTCTCGTGCATCGTTCAAGAACCCATGCGGCATCACCTCCATCAGGGAATCGATGTTGAAGTCCATTAAACTGTCTAAACTGATGACATCCTGCTGGTTGGCGAAGAGCACGGCGACCAGGACTCCGAAAAGACCGCCCAGCGCGAAGATCAACCCATTGCGACGTTTACTGCGCGGCTTGTGGATGAAGGACTCGGATCGTTTGGATTGGGAGGGACGGGCAGCTGCGGGCGAATCGGTATCAGATTTGGACTTGGTGGAATTGTCGCGGGAGGAGGAATCGGAGGAAGGCCGCACCTCGTGGTTGTGGTTGTGGTTGTGGTTGGGCTCCTCTTCCACCTCTTCCTTGCCCACACGACGCCGGAGCATCACCGCCGAAATACAAGGTCAGAAAAAGCTCCGTGCAAGAGCAATGGCATAGATAGGGTAGTAGCAACCAGGTAGCCGAATCGAACCCTAGGAGAGACCGACGCAAAGAAAAAGAAATAGCGAGACAGAAAAGAAAAGGAGAAAAAAAGGAGCCGCGGCCAAAAGACAAACAACGGGGGGGTTGGATGGAAAAAGGTTGAAAATCACATGTTGGGGGACGGAGAAGGAGAGGAAAGAAAGAAACGGAGCGGCAATCGGACGTCATCCCGAATTGAACTTCTTTTCTCTTTCTCTCTCTCTCCTCTCACCATCTCCCGATTGTACGTGTAACTTGTGTCTGTCTGTCTACAAATCTCACCATCCCACGTCTCTGTTCCTGATTTGATTCGCATTCCTACCCTCCAATGCCATTTCCTCCACCGCTCCGATGAACCCGAATCCCACCCCCGCATTGTCTTCAACCGCCACAACAGCACCAGCACCAGCAGCACCGGCACCACCGGCACCACCACCACCAACAACAACAACAACAAATACCCACCCTCCTCTCCGCTACGTCCGCTACGATGGCGCCCGCGAAGATGAATATGTCCCGGCCATGCGCCAACTAATCTCGAAAGACCTCTCCGAGCCCTACAGCATCTACGTCTACCGCTACTTCCTCTACCAATGGGGGGATCTATGCTTCATGGCCATGGACGATTCACCCCCGTCTTCCTCCCCCGCACCCGAAACCACAGCACCCCCCTCCTCATCATTACCGCAGCAGCGCATGGTCGGCGTCGTCGTCTCGAAACTCGAACCGCACCGCGGCGGGCCTCTGCGCGGATACATCGCCATGCTCGCCGTAAAGGAGGAGTACCGCGGCCGGGGCATCGCCACCAAGCTCGCGCGGATGGCGATTGATGCGATGATCGAGCGGGATGCGGACGAGGTGTGTCCAACCCAGTCCTGCCCTTGACCCCCTCCCCCGCCCCTTCAGGCTCAAGCGCAAGCTTCAACTTAAAACATAAGCTCGAAACTAATACCGCAACTAAACAGATCGTCCTCGAAACCGAAATCACCAACACGGCCGCCATCAAACTCTACGAACGGCTGGGCTTCCTGCGCAGCAAGCGGCTCCATCGGTACTATCTCAATGGGAACTCGGCCTATCGGCTCGTGCTATATCTCAAGGAAGGCGTGGGGTCGATGCGCACGACGCTCGATCCTTATGGGGGTCCGGCTCCGGCGCAGGCTCCGGCGCCGCCGTATCCCCTCCCTTTGCCCGGCGGTGGTGACTCGCAACGAGCGGCAGGAGCAACGGAGATGACGGGGGCGCTTGCGGCGCCGGAACCGGCTTTGCTGCATGAAATTGGCAGTGGGGGGTGGTAGGTAAATGGCCAGGGTGGCCAGGGTGGCCAGGTACCAGGGCGAAGAAGCTACAAATGACAGATTTCAAAGGAGAGCCCTCCCCCCAAAGACGATTTGCTCACTCCCATGTTTATCCTTTCCATCGATGACCGAGCTGGATGTATTGGACTACAGCTGTTCCTATACACTCATACCGACTGCACTCTCCCTTTACCTAGATGACCTACTAATGATTATGTGTATGCATGTGATGAGAATGATCAACGTTTCTGCTTAGAACTTGGTGATGTTGGGGGAATGGGTGGTCTGGCATCGTGCTGCAGATCATGAATTGCATTTGGCGGGAACCACTTTGTTATAGATTCAGGATAGCATTACAAACTTTTGTTTTCTTGGTCAAGAATGCACATTCACGGATTCTCCAGTGTTGGTGTCTTTATCTTCCGCTCTATATCTATAGTAGAACATCTATATACAATTATGGTTCAATATACATATATATACAGGGTCGCCAGGGGCCAAGAGGTGGGTGGGTGGATGGGGAGGGGGGGGTGAGTGACGAGTTGAGAGAAGAATGCGACAGAAGGATAGGCACTCGTAGGGGTGGGAGGAGATTCCGAGAGATGCAGTTGGAAAGAAAAAGCCAGCCTTGTGTACCTTCGAGATCCGACGAGGCTTACCGGCTAGCTCATGATCATGGCCAATGTATAAGGCCTAGCAGGGGACCAGGGCCGCAAAATCAGGTAGCGGGAATCATTCATCGCCGCCGCCACCGCTGCTGCTGCTTCTTTTTCTTCTCGTCCTTGCGGTCGTGCGGGAGTAGTTTGACCTGGATGATGTTGTCGCGCATCCATTCAAGGGTCAGAGCCCCCTCGCGAGCTAATGCTTTCTCGCGGGCCAATTCCTTCCATTCGAGATCCACAATGGTCGCAGCGTCGAGCATCGCCCGAAAGGATACCTGGGGCTTGTAGAACCGTGCTACGTCCATATCGCGAGCAAGGATCGCCTCGCTGACATTCAGCTGGTTGTCCCGCTCCTTGGGATCAACCTGAATGCACAGGTACTTCACCGGGTCTGCGGAATAATCAGCCGGCAACCCTTTCAGCTTATAAAATCTTCCGGCGACGGTTGGCCGGGGCGTCCCCAGATCGATTCCGAGGATGAGCCGCGCCGCGACGGCCCGGCGGAAGGTTGTCTCCGGGCCAGCTTCGTGCAGCAGGGATTCATAGACCCGCTCGGCGATGCGTGAAGCTGCATGCCCTCTCATGCAGGCATACCGCCATATGACACGGCAAATGTTGTAGTATCCGCCGTGCCATGCGTGCAGGAAAAGTCGCGTCCAGCCGGCAATGGTGAGTTCTCGCGCCGGATCCTCCATGGTCTGGTACATGTATTGCAGGGCCTGGAGAATGTTGCCCTTGTTGCATGTGCCCACGAGAAGAAGAAAAGTGTAAGGCTCAATACGTAAACCATTCTGCCTGCAGAATTGGAACAACTGATCTCTCGCCTTCAGATGATTCACTCGCATGACGGCGCACATCATCTGGTTGACCATGCTCGGGCTCCACATCGTGCTGTCCCAGTCCCGGGCTATCTTTTCCAGAAAAGAGTTCATGTCGCCGCCGTCATGGAGGTGCTCCACCAGTAGGTCGTGTAACACCGCGCGCAACGCTGTCCGCTGCAGCGTGGTCTCCTGCAGCATCCCTCGCTGCCGTAGACTGTTCACTACTGCCATCTTCTTGGTCGGAGAAACAAAGCAGTCAGCATAAGCAAGCCAAGTCTCGACATCTGCGCGGATGCCCAGATTTTCCATACCATGCAAGAGGTTCCTGAACCGCTTCAGGTTCTGCTCCAGGGCCGTCGACTTGAGCATCATGTTGAAGGTTTCCACGGTTGCAACATGTTTTGCGGAGTGGAAAATCTGGTGTGCAATCCAAAACTGCTTGCGTTCCAACAAGAATGACAGGGCCTGATTCAACGACGCTGTTGATATCAGTTCGTTGTGGGCGCTTTTCAGGAAAAGCGTCTCGAGAGCATCGGCCACATCCGCGCCGTGCTTCCCGGGCTGCTCCTTGGAGTTGGGCCAAGAGGTGACAAGATCCTCCACATGGTGCGTGAAGTCCCGCACAGTAGCGAGGAGCTCTCCCTGGCGGATAATCTGATCCACAGTGAACTCCGTGGGATCCTTGGGCATATCCCACGTGCCGCGAACCAAGGGTATGTCTTTGTGTATCCGTCGGTCAACCCGAGGGTAAATGGGAACCACCGGTTTACGCATGTCGACAACCGGATCATATTCATCCTGTAGGGTCCCGATCTCCAGCAGTTCTTTCTTGACTTCCTCCACCGCCGCCGGCCGACCCTCCAGAATCACCCGGCGACACACCCCGACGCTCTCCGAGAGCGGCTTAACATGCACCCTGCACCCGTGATACACATGGCGATAGAAAATGTTCTCGCCTCTCGACACCAGGCCGGCGAATTCTGCGATTGTCTCCTCCCTGAGATATAGCTCCAGCTGGTTGGACTTCAACGGAGCAGTTGCCGGGATGGTCCGATTCATCCTGAGCATCCTCTCGAAAACCGCAGCCTGGTCTTTCCACCGTCCCTCTATTGTTTTCTGTTGGTTTTTGCGCGTATTGTCGAGTTCGGATTGTCGGTGTTGTAGTTTCTTTTTATCGCGGGGTGATATCGAAGACAGCGCGGCGAGACTTCTTACCCGCGGTGGCGTCCATCTCGAAGTGTTTTCGGACGTCAGTTGAGGGAGGGGCGACCCCCGTGAAGCTTGAGGCTTTGCTGCAGACGTTGTGTCATCCTTGTCCAAGCCACGTCTTCCGACGGCAATGGAAGAAGAGGTTATTTGTCTAGACGAATAATTCCCGGTCGAGGACTGCGGGGAGAGTCGGGGGACATTAGATCCACGTTTGCTAGGGCGGTGATATTGTCTTGATGAATTGAGAGAAGGATTTCTTGTCAAGGATGACCTCCGATGCGCGGGCAGAGACGTAAACCAGGATGGGTAAAGAAAGAGGAGTGGCTCATCGGGGGCAGTCGCGACGTGGTCCAGGACAGCAGATAACCTGCGCCTCGTGAGATACGGCCGACTGCGTGAGAGCATTGACGAGAGCCCGTAGGGACTGACCCTAGGCAAGAAACAAGGCCAGGGGGTGAGGGTAGAAGGAATTGAGGGAGTTGTTCTTGAAGATTGCAGGTGGAATAATAGAGGCAAGGCAAGTTCAAAGCTCCGGTGGTCACTCCGCTGCGGAACCTAGAAAATGTTTTTCCCGGCCAAGGCGGTCAGTGAACAGCCCGAGGTTTTGTACCCGTCGCCGCCAGCACTCCGCTTTCACTCTAACAAAGGAGATGTAGAGTGCACTATATGAGAAGGACAAGTACACGCTCTTCACTTAGATGAACAATTTCCCAAGAAATAAGATTAGGAAATAAAGGTGCTGACACAGGAAAAAGAAACACAAACTGCGCCATGACACCAAGCTAATTCAAGATCATGAAACCCCAACAATGAAAAAATAAAGCACCACGCTACCCATGCAATAACAAGCAAGCCGCTATGAAGTATACTGGTAAATATGGCCCTCACGCCCGACTTCAGCAGCTTGGGGGATTCCTTTGATTTCACCCCCGTCATCCATAGGACGGAATGAGACTTTGCCGGAGTACCTCGACAACAAACTGCTCCTCTTCGGGGCTGGAGTCAGGTCCAGCATACCCGCGTCCAGGTGCCGGTTATCGGCATGCAGCACCTCAGGCCCCGTGAGATGACGCCGGGCCACATCGGCAGCTTTCTGAAGGTGATCGCGTTTGCGCTGGAGCTCCGCTGCCTCCTTCCCACTCGCTTCAGAGCTACTCTGAGACAACTCCTCGACGACATCGGATAAGCGGGTGAAGTACTGCCACCGAGAAGCCTGGAAGACAAACATAGACATGATCTCCGGAATCTGTCATCAGATTGAAATCAGTACATGTGCCTGACGGGCCAAATCAAGAGCAAAGTAGTTCAGAGAAAGAGGGAAAAAACAAGCTTACCTTTCCATCCAAATAAAAGAGCTCGTCCCCACCCTCCTGCAGGAACTGCTCCAGAGCGTCCATCTTCTCCCGATCGACTCTGGCCACTCGCAACGCATGCATCAAGGCCGGGATATTGGCGATCTCCTCCACCGGCACCTCCTCCTCTACCTTCGTAGCCGCTCGACTGAGATACCCGGACGTGGCGCGCGACAGGCCACCCGTGCTCGACGCCCTCGTCTTCGCCTTCCCCGAGTGGATCGTGAAATAATCCTCGTTAAGCATGTGCGCCACTTCCAGACCCGACCGACCCTGACGACTGCGCTCCGACATGCGCTTCACTCGGAGTCGGACCCATCGGCGCCGGCGCACGTACGAATGATACCAGGGATGCGACCCGTGCCAGGCCGACGAGCCAAACGAGAACGAGTACTGCCACCCCTGGTCATCCACATCCCCGGACATGTCCACGTACCAGGTCTTCCAGACCCATTCCCAGCTGGGGTCCGGGAGCTGCGCTTTCGTGATGTCGACGGCGCTGTCCCGACCGTCGGGGGTCGTCCAGGCCGCCGGGTCAAAGTTGAGCAGCGAGCTGTGCGAGTAGAGGGGGATGCCGAAGAAGAACCAACCCCGCTGGCTCTCGTACAGGATGTCCAGCTCGGTGCCTGGCTTCAGCCCCGCCAGCTTGGGGTGGCTGTGGCCGTCATGTTCGTGATCCCGAGCAGCGCCCTGGTCGACGTCCGACGAGTCGACATTGAGACGGTCCTCCGGAGAGCTCTGCGACGAGGGGCCCGCCGTCAAACGACTCTCCCCTGCCAGTGTGTCCGTTCTCGTCTCGGTTGTGAACAGGTCCCGTCCTTCGGACAGTCGGCGGTCGGAGTTGTCCTCATCATCGGTGAGACCTAGACGGTCCGGCTGCCATTTGGCATACTTGCGCTTGGCGAGCTCGCTTCGTATAGATGCGCGGGTGAACTTCCTCGAGATATTTCGGGAGAGATCTGCTGCGGTGTGCGATTGCGCCAGCGCATCGTTCGACGGACGACGGGGAGCGGTCTTGTCGACCAGACTGATCTTGATATTGCTTTCCATTGTTTGGTGTTTCTTCGAAGTGTGCTAGCTCAGGTAATCACGGTCCAGCAGTGATCTCATCGCAGCAGCAAGACTAGTCGTACCTGAACTGAAATAAAGAAAAGGCAAGTGTTGTAGGTGGAGCTGAAGTTTACTGTGCGCAGCAGCAGGGGTGATCGGCAGTCGAACCCTCTCTCCCTAGGACCGAATTAATTAAGGATAAGGATGAAGGAATAATAAAGTTGATATGATCACATAAGGCCAGGGGGGAACCCAAGAGTGAATTGCAGGATGATCGGCCACCACATCACGGAGAGATAGGAGTAGTTCATGCGTGGTAGTTAGTGTTTTAAGTGAAACCCCAAGCCAAGTTCCTCAGTTCCTCACTTGATCGATGACATCGTTGTGGGGGCCGCCGATCGGCACTAGAGAATTGCGGTGGCTGCCTGGTCGACGCCTGAGGCGCGAGTGTCCCTGTCTCTATGCCTAAGGCACTAACGTCCTCTCTGCACGGGGGGTACGGAGACTGTAACGCTCTATCTACCGCGGGTGTATCTCCGAACAAGACCTCCGGATAAAACAAACAATCAATTAAACTCCAACCCCAAAGCCAGCCCCTCCTCACTCAACGGCCACTCCCCCTCCCACCGAATTACCATCCAACCTCCACCCCCCACCCCCCTCAAATCCATATCAAAACACCAACAGCCCCCCCCAAAACAGAACATGAGCGACTCGCACCACCGCAAAATCGAACTCCAATCCGCCGCCGACCTCACCTACCTCTACGGCAACACCGTCGCGCTCTCCCGCCAAAAGCTCGACCTCCACCTACCTCCCTCCGCCAACCCCAGCGATGGCCCGGATCCGATGCGCGAACGTGTCCGCGAATTAGTTGACGAGGTAAAGGCCGCCCCGGAAACAACAAAAAGACCGAAAAAACAACGACTCCCCCCAAAGCTAACCCCCTCTCCCCGAACAGTATATCCTCCGTACCTTCACCAGCGCCTCCTACTCCATCACAATCAACGGGCTCGATTCCTCCTCCAAAGAATTCCCCTTCCCCGCCTCGTTCACCGCCCCCACCGAGCAGGTCGAGTATGAGGCGTACGACGCGAAGCTCGCGTCGCGGGTGTCTTCGCTGTACGCGCAGCTGGAGTCGTTGACGACGACGGTGGCGCAATTGCGGCGCGACGCGCCGGGGAGGGCGGCCCGGGCGTATGCGGAGCAGTTGAGGAGGGTGATGGAGGAGGAGGAGGAGGAAGAGGAGGATAAAGATGCGGAAGTCGAAGAGGGGGAGGATGGAGAACAGGAGAAGAAGGATGGTGGCATGAATGTTGCTGTCGGTGAAGAAGAGGAGGATAATGAGTTGAAGGAGGAGAGTGGGGGGGCGAGCCAGGATAGAGCAGGGGAGGACCGAGAGATGACGGGCACAGAGACGGGAACAGCGACGGCAGCAGCGTCGAGAACCAATGGTGAAGGACGTGATACGGAGATGGTCGATGCACCTGGAGGCGCTGAGGTTGGTGCCGTGGATGGGTCGGCAACACCACCACCACCACCACCACCACCACCAAAGACAAGAAGGTCGGCTCGATTGGCGCGGCGCGCAAAGTTGCAGGTTCCCCTGGGCTCGAAACATGAGGCGGAGCGCTGGCGCAGTGGCGATATGGCGGAAGTCTACGAGGATGCCTTGCGCACTTTGCTTCGACTGCAGGGTGAAGCTCTGGCCGGGCAGGCCGCTACACCGGACGTTGAGGGTGCAGACGGGAATGCTCTGGCTTCGACTGTGGGGAAGGCCGAACGCGCTGGTCGGGCGGTCGAGGTTGTGGAAAAGAAGAAGTGAGGGGTTGTCTTGTTGCCCCTGTCTCCTGCTCTCTGCTTTCTTTCGTTTTCATTTTGGATTTCATTGAGTTTTCATTATCGTTACTGGAATGGCGTCGGTAGCCTAGGTAGGCTTGGGATGATACCAAATTGATTTATGGTGCATTTTGTTGACTAGTGATTAGTCAAGAATAGTTGGATTTGCAGTCTGGTTCAAATGGACTACTTGTATCATCTGTCGTATAATTGTTGAGAATTGTTGTATGCAAACAAAATCTACGTAACTCTATTCCAACCTCCGTGTAGCACTTTTATCGTCCACGCTGCAGTACTCCCCACCTGCACTCCGAGTTATATAAATGCACTCAAACACGCTCAGACAGTGGTTGAGATCTAAGCCCAAGGGACGACAAGAACTGTACTAGAATGGCAAATTGACAGGGAAAGAAAAAAAAAAAAAAAAAAAAAAAAGAAGCATGCTTGTGTAGCCGTCACCGTTTCCCAACATGTAATAAACTCAGTAGAAAGAGCCCACTTGCCGGGGTAGCGGTGAGGGGGTTTGATCTGATATTGAATGATGTATGAAATGGAAATTGGCTAGGGCAGTAGTAAAATGACTTGCCCGGGAAAATATGGGAACATGAAACAGACCAAGCAATTCTAGCAACAGAAGAAGGGATATAGATTGGCAAAATCGTGCCTGAAGCTTTTACCATATTGTTCCAATATAACGAAAACAAGAAAACCCATCGGAAAATGAAAAAGGCTCTATGCGCTAGGCTGGGGAACCTCAGCAACCGGCTCCTCGGTCTTGGTCACAGTCTGTTCCTCCTTGGGGGCAGCCCACTTGGGGGGCCTGGCCCACTCAGGCTCCTGCCAAGGTCCCATATCACTGAACTCGCAACCGCCGCTGCACTTGCAAGAACCTCCGAACTCTTCGGGGAGATTCTCGGCAGGAACCTGTTCCAACAGCTCCTTCTTGTAGTTGCTGCCCAGGATATGGATCTTGTTGACGGTGACGGGGTCGAGGAACTTCTTCACGAAGCTGAACACGCCGCTGAATCCCCAAGGAGCGTTGATCAGATAGAGCTTACCCAGACGCTCGGGGTAGTAGTTCTGGGAGACACCAGACGCCTTGCTGAGGTAGCCGTACACGGATGGGGCGCTGGTGATTCCGACGCCCTTGAGGTCCATGATAGTGCAGCAGGTCTCCAGGAGTTTGCCGGCCTTGCGCGAGCAGGCGGGCAGGCGAGGATCGGCGAGCTTCTCGTACTCAGTCACGAGGTTCTGAAGCATACGGTCTTCGGTGGTAATCTTGTTCAAGGCAGTGAGATCGATCTTGCCAAGCTTTTCGATGTAAACGGGCCGGCCATCCTAAACGCGTCCAAGTCATTAGCGCCCGATCTCGAACCGCTCTGAAGGGCATATTGGCTTAGTCCTGGAGTCGTACCTTATCCGTCTTGTGATAGTACTGAGGGTAATACTCGAAGACCTTAGACTTCTCCGTGTAGTCAAAAGTGCGGACCAGGTCGTCGGTCCCGAATTCTTTCCGCCACTTCTCGCTGTCGATGAACCTATTCACCAAAAGTGTTAGCTCGTTCACGTCTGCTTGAACATAATGCCCCGGCGTGTGAAACAAAAGCATGAGAGCATGCCAGCGCAGTGCCAGCGCAGTGCCGCCATATTGAATGTGCATCGTTTTTAGGGACGAATTGCGGAATAGGATGAATGCTAACAAGGAAGACCTACATAGCTTTGGCCAGGGCGACATCGAACTTCCGGGCTCTCAAGAAGCGCAGCAGAGTCAAAGTGTCCAGTCTCTCAGAGTAGCCAAGCTGCTCCAGTTCGCTCCGGAGCTGTTCCACCTTCGCATCCTGCTCTGGGGTGGTGTGGCCGGGATGGCCAGACTGAGCCTCCGGGGCTGTGGTCGGGAAATCGTAGTTATCGTACTTGGAGGGAGCAGCCATCTTGAATATGTGTGAGGGGGGGAGGGGGGAGGGAGGAGGGGTGAAAAAAGAAAAGAAAAAAAAAGGAAGAGAGGTGGAACGGAAGAAGTGTTGAGTCGGGTTTAAGAAGGACTAAACTTCCGTCGTGATTCGGGAAAGGGGAGGGGGAGGGGGAGGGAGCGGCGAGGATAAATTGGGCGGTGCAGGGGGAGGGGGGTCAGTAGGGGAGGGGAGGGAGAAGGAGAGGAGAGTGGGGGAGGGAGGGAGGGAGGGAGGAGGCACACTTAAGCGGGACGTTCGCAGTGACAAGAGAGAGGAGAAGGAGGAAGCAGAAAACAATACGTAGGCTACAAGGGGGTAGATGATAAATAATAGATAATTTTATCTATTGAAGCAGTTTGAAGAAGCGGTGTATGATGGAGGTTCAAATGTCCGAATAACTAATTGTTTTTATTGTATCCGGTTGTTATCAACAACTGAACTACTGAACAACTAGCTAACTTCCAAAGATCTACGGAGTAAAGCAAGATTGAAGGAGAATTCGATGCCTGAGAGAGGAGGCCCCAGCAACGGGCGGTCGCCGCGTCGCCTTCCTTCACCTGCAACCACTTCGTCTATTCTCACTCTCCCCTTAGTATCGATCAGCCGCTCCTCCTTCTTACATGAGTACCACCCTTCGTGTCACCGGTTTGAAATTAATTCTTCTGATGAGACTGACCGACCGTTCGACCACTTCATACTTTGGTGACGTAGGTGTAGCCGCTCTCTGCAGATCCGAGTAGGGAGATCTGCCTCGTCAAGTCAGTGAACCAAAGTGCTTCCTACCCTCCACGCCTGAGAAATACGACTGTAGAAAATCGGTCTGAGCCACAAGTCACGTTGGGAGTATTCTTCATTAGGTGCCATAGTACGGCAAGTGAACGCTAAATCCAATGGTTATAGGTACATGTATAGACAGTGTGACATAATACGGCATAGAAATGAGTCAACAAAAATATAAACGCGCACTGCAACCTTGGTGAATTGCCAGTCGCCAAAACAAATCCAGGCACAAATCATCATAGGATATAGCCCGTCGCAAAAGTGGACGGTTTAAAGAACAACAATAACTAAAGCCATGGGCACTCATCCTCGAACCAGCGAGGACAGCGCCTTTGCCACCCAAAGATCAACAGGCGTGCTCGCCATATATTACCGCCTTGTATGGGCAACGGACACCAACGCGAAGGAGAACTGCAATCACAGAAGTCATCGGAAAAGGTGTCGATGATTGATCGTCAAACCCCGTCTTGAAACATTGGGGACAATCGAAGAATGTAAATCTCGGTCATCCATCCATCTCGAAATCATAGCGTAAAACGAACGACGGACAAACCAGCAGCGTTTGCTACAGTATGGATACCAAACTAAGCCGTTGTTGCTTGCCGTCCGCTCGTGTTCATGTAAGTCGTCACGGTTATCGACGTGGAAGCCGAAAACCGAGGGCTTCCTACCAGCCCTTCTTCCGTGCAAATCGTTTGTTCAAAAGTGCGAGTACTTTCGAGACATTGAATTGGACGTACTCCAGGTCTAGATCCTCCTGATTGTCTTTCTGCATTTCCAGCAGGTCATCGAGCTTGAGATCCAGTTCCAGAAGGCCACGTGCACGACCTAGGCTCACTGGGTTAGCATAGAACTCACTAGGAGCCACAAGTGAACAGTCTTTAGCTTACCTTTGTAGTGGAGACTGATAACAAAGGTTCCAGGCAATGGACTCTTGAACATGAAGTAGATATTCGCCCGACGGTTCTCAGGGACATTACTCTTGCGAATAACGCCCTCCTTTTCAAGCTGCTGATGGGTGAACTTGTAGGGTCCAAGTTCTTGGTGCTTTTGCTGTTTCCGCTGCTTTCCCTCCGATTGACTTCGGACGTTGTGCAAGTACGACTTGTATGTTTCGAGCTGACCCACCAAGTAGGCATTGTGATCACGGATGGTCGCAAAGACTTCTTCCAACTTCTTAGTTTCCTCCAAAACCTTTTCTTTCAGAGATCCCAGGTGTACCAGCTCCTGTTCCACCTCGTCGCGGAGAAGGCTGAAATCGTCCGACCGGTCAATCACTCCCATCTCCTGAAGCTGACTCAACAATTCCATGGTGCGAATGCCCTTCTTGACCATGGCCGCATCGCCGGTCTTCGAAGTTGCTGCCGCCTCTGCGATGCGATAAAGGCGAAGGGGGCGTCGGGCGACTGGAGAGTCCTGCGGCAAAGACCGTAAAATGTGAACAAATGTGGACTTGGCTTCCATAAAGAAGACTTCTTCTTGAGTGATGTCGAGGGCCGAGGTCAAATCATCTAGTGCAGTGGTTTCCCAGCGACTGAACAAGGGAACTGTGATGGTCCTATTCTCCTTGCGCGGAACCTGGGGCGGTGCTGCACCAAGCTCCTGCAACAACACATGAAGGTGAGAGTGTTGATCTTGCGCTAGAGCCACATTGTGTTTCTCCAACAAGGCATGTGTGGCATACATCTCATTAAGAGTGATCTGCAACTCCAGGTCGCGCTTCGATAGTGCGATGTAGTTGTCCATCTCCAAGCTCTCGTAGAAGTCCTGCACTTCACACAGATCAAGCATGAACTTATTGACACGTTCTTTGTTCTGCTCAATGAACGGTTGCAGTTTCGCCATATAAGGCTCCTTCGCATACGAGGGCTTGTTCGCCAAATTCTGGAGCATCTTGGCGATCAACGTGAGCGTGCGACGGGGCTTTTCCGTCGGCGTCGATTCAATCAGCATGTAGGAGCGTGGGGTGACAATGGCTGGGTTGATGAAGCGAAGGAAGAAGAATCCACCAATGAGGGTGCAGATCGTCTGGTCCTGCGCATCAGGGTATTTGCGACGAGACAAGCTCCGGATTTGCTTGCAAATCCACCGAATGCCATACGGGGCCTCGTCCACGTGATCTATGATCGTTGACAGGAACTTGTTTGCTAACTCAGTGAGCATCTTCAAGCGCGGCTCAATAATGGCCTGCACTTGCTTGTTCTCTGCTGCAGCTTCCGCCGTAACAGATCTTGCGAGGTAGTCAGGCAGCGATCCATTCTCTTCTTCGATTTCCTTAACCATGGTCTCATAGACCTTGAGAGGGTTGATTTCCAGGTCGACATCACGTAGCTCAATCAATGAATTAATCTGGTCGGCGAGAACTTGTTTAAGATAGCTTTGACCGGGCCCTCGTCGCGTATATGTAGTCATCATGCGTGAGACGGGGGTGTTCTGGCGGAGGAGGGACGAGTACTCCGGCGTGTTATCAAACTGATAGGTAAGAACAGACTGAAACATGGTGAGAAGCAAATGCTCCTCACGACTCTCATACTGGTTTCCATAAATTGTGAACATGACCGTCTGCAGAAGGGAGTCGATTTCTGACATGGAGACTAATCGGCACAGATGGGCGATATGACGCGGCTCGGATTGGAGGAGGAAGAGAAGGTTGCCGTACTTCTGAGTTTTGTCGTCATTGGGAAAGAATCCCTCCTGGGGATCCAGGACTTCGTCGAGGTGGCTCGCAACTTCATTTTGCTAGACTCAGGATTAGGGGTGGGAAAATTAAACAGCAACGGCTGTCAGATCCATACCTCTTCTAGAGCCATACGATTCTGAATCAACAGCGCAATCCGAGAATCCAGATATCGGACATCTTTTTCGAGAACGAAATTTTTCTTCGATTGTGAAGAGATATTCGTCTTCAACTCTTGCAGGAACTTCTGGGCTGTACCGTCCAACGTTAGAACAGACACAGAGGGCCTTTCAGACCACAACAGACTCACCCCTAGCTAGATCATCTGAAATCTCCAAATCTCTATCCTTCGCCGACATCGACATGTACAGCGCATTCATTGACATCCGCTTCGACTGGCGGAGGGACCGCGTGTCGTGGGACGACATTGTATTTTGACGCGTCATGGGTTGAAAAGACGATGAAGATGAAGTAGACGTTCTGGAGGCGGGTTGTAACATAGTAGCAACCGACATTGTGTGAACTAAAGGAGTGTGATAGTGCGCTGGAGAGGAGCACTCAAATTGGCGGCAAGTCGCGATTTGTAGACACTACCAGCCACCACCAAGAGCACTTTCGGCGCCTTTCTGCTGAGGTCGAAACCCCAAAATAATATGGCACGGCAACGTCGACCAAACGCAAACTCGGAACGTCGTGCGATGAATTGAAGCCCCTGTCGAACGCGTGTGCGGGCTATGGCCGAAGGCGACCAGCGAAGGAGAAAAAGTGCGCGACCGTTGGATCGGCGATTAAGTGGCACTGACAGGTCTGGCGATGGGGAGGGGTGAAGGGCCAGTTTCGGAAAGCACCAGACGTTGAAGTGGCCAAACTAAAGGATTGACAAGGAGCAGAGCGAAATAGGAGCGATCCACAGGCGACGGCGATTCGAATACTCTCCGGCGGCTATGAATCGGTTGAGAAGAACGAGGGAGTCGGTGGGAATAACTCCGAGAGAATGAGAGAGAGACGTTAGAGTAGAAGGGATCGCAAGCTCGAAAGTGTGGGCGGGATTGAATGATAAGTAGAAGTAAAACCACTGCCGTATGTAGAAAGGGAGCGCAAGGCAAGGATGGGCAGGAATTAATTAATAGATTGATGGAGGTGGAGGAGGAGGAAAGAGAGAAGGAAAGAGACTGGAGAGGGAGGAGTAGAAGGAGTCGGAGGGGGGCAGGAGGAGAAAGATGCCGGTCGGACGCAGATGGAAATCAGGGCCACCAGCACCAAAGTAGTACTAGTCAGTCGCAGTCCCGTCCTTACACCAGCAAGTATGAGCGAGTATAACACTGGCGACAATGGAGTATCGCAATATTGCTGTTGCTGTTGCTGTTGCTGTTGCTGGAATGGTGATATAGGTTATTGGGTTTATGTTACAGAGAGCGGTAGGGATCAATTGAGAGAATGATTGACAGAATTCTAATTAGACTTCTAAAATGACAAGAAAGAAAGGAGTGTGCGCGATGGTAATAAATCAGAGCGTACGGTACGGAGTAGAGGGAGAAAGAATGGATGGCTGGATGGGGATCAGAGGGGGGGAAGGATGGATCATGGATTGCTGATTCTGAGGTCAGTTTGAGTTGAAAAAAAAAGTGGGCAACCCAAGAACCAAAAGGGAAAGGATAAAAAGAACCCGAAAAATAAAATAGAATAAAAATGGGGAATAAAAATGAAATGATAGTACTCATACTATGAGTAAAAATTTGGAGGGGAGGGGGAAGGAAGGGAAGGAGGAAAAGATAAAAAAAAAAAAAAAAGAAAGGGTGGAGTTGGTCTCCGTGTGACTTGCAGCAAAGCAACAGTGGGCGGACGGGTTGAATAACAAGGGCCAAGCAGGTACGCAACGCGGTTGACTCGTTGACTGGCCTGGTTGGGTGAAATAAAAAGGGTGTGGTACAGTCAGTGGTGCTTGGTGCTTGGTGCTTGGTGCTTAGTGCTTGGGGCTTGGGTCTGCCCAGGCACCGGCATGCATAAGCTACCCTCCCCTCTGCCTTTTCTTCTTCTCCCTACACTGCATATAGCATTCATTTCCCATGCTGGTCGGCAGAGATAGGCCGAGAAAGAGAGGACGGTGCATGCGGTGGTACGTTGTATTGTCTCAAATCTCAACGGTAGGTAGGTATAATGTATGTACTATACAGTACTCCGTACTTTAACTAAACTTGCAGTATATAGGCCCATACCCATAGATTGATTGAACTGGCGGTTGCTCCAGCGCTCTCCACTCTGTAATCAAAACGAACCATGCCCTGTTCCTGAACGGTCTCCTTCCGCCGCCGCCACCACCACCACCACCGTGGCCATCTCACATTCGCCAGAAAATGTCAGGATCTCTCTTAGCATTTAGTCACTTCCGTACTTGCACTTATTCCTGTAATCGTAAACGCGGAGGACAATGGAGATTGACCGAATTGATCGTCATCGGGTCATAACTTCTCCTTGGACAGACCTTCAGACATTATCTATGGGTTCCATGGCTATCTGTTTTGGATATAATGGCAGACCATCAACGGCGCCAGACTAAGTGGTTTGTCATTCGTTTTGGCCCTCCTGATTGAGTTTTAGGATTCCAAGTTGCCTTTAATCTCTTCAGAATGCTTACAATAATCTATGGGTGGTCGGCAACCCACCAGTGGCCTCCCAACAGACTCCCGCATCTCTTCAGGGAGAGGGCGAGTACCACCTGGCAGGTAGGGGACGGCGCGGATCCTGTCCGGGAGAGAGAGGTGATCATGGCATGTACAGGAAGGACTCCGTACTGTACCTATGGATTGTACCGCTCACCCGTCATCTTGATGCCAATCCATGCTTGCGACAGTCCGTCCCTTTCCGGGGTTCGTTGCACCAATATGATAGTCGGATGATCATCTCCTGGGGGGGGGTCGTGACTCGACCGGTAGTGCAGAGAGCCAGACGGTCGACATGCAGGACGACGCAAGGGGGGAGAATAAAGGAACCTGTAAGCCAGAAAGAACGAGCTAATCCGGGATGAGTTTGCTAAGAACGACCCTAAGCGACTAGCAAAGACATTGCGTCGGGACTAGATAAGTTGATATCCACCTTGATTACTCCGTAGAACCTTAGCACGAGACTAAACACCTGGTTATTATCCGGGCTCGCTTGGCCCCAACTCTTTTACCCCTGGCCCAATGCGCCCATCGTATTCATGATCCCATGGGTCGTGCCATCAGGAGTTTGCCACTGGCCACTTTGCCCACGGCTCGGTCGGTCGGAAATGCCGGGGCAATGGAGGCACAACTAGGGGATGGAATACTCATAGTGAGTAATTGACTCTGAAGTGCACAAGAGATTACTTCATGATTCACATCGTAGATGATTCCCACCACTGACGCAACAATCCCGGAGAAAAGAAGCCCAACTTTTGAGTCTCAGATACGAGACATGGATCATAACGCAGTTGCATCGATTGTCCCCCGCCAGCGAACGAACCGCACAGTTGCAGGACATGACAAATCCCCAAGATGATCACGTTTGGGCTGCAATTGATTCCGAAGCTTTATGAGTTCTTAACCAATCTGAATTACAGGATGAAGATGATTTGACTAAGTACTCAGTAGAAGTAGAAAGAGGGGCAAGGCCGAAGTGTGGTACAGAGTTAGTACAGCAGATAGGCCCACCGTTCTTGTTCATCCTTTGTGCCATTTGTGGTCTTTGCAACCGAAGACCTACCTACCACAGATTAGGACCTACTCGGTAAGATGCGCATGCAGATAGTAAATGTCACGCTAAGCTCCAACTCTCCAGGTTATACTTGTATAGATGCATGTGTGTACGTGTGTATGTATAGACAATTTTTGGAAATATGTAGGTAAGAATAGCCACGACCTGAAACCCCGGGACCAGACCAGACCAGACTAGAGCAGTGGGGGTTCTCGCTTTCATTTCCCCTGAATTGTTCACGCAGCAGCTGCAGCAAGTGCCACTGTCGACTCCGGGTGTGACCCGTGACCACCGGGGCCACTTTTCGTCGTCCCCTCAAGGAGTTTAGCGCGTCGACTAAAAGTTCCGCCTGATCAGATCGGGGGGGACCCAAGGCTGGTACCTGCGTCAACTTAAAAACCCCCCCGAGTCAGGGCCTGTCCCGGATTGGTGCCACCAACTGGCTACAGTGCTGTAGCGTGTGTGCATTGCCGCCTGTTCTTAATTCACTCGTACTTCTACGCTCTGCTGTGGGAAGCCTAAGGCACTAAAGTTAGAAGCGAATGCTTCACCGTTTCACATCTTATTCTATTCTCGACTACACACGTATCACGTCGCCACAGACTCCCGATCTCTCTCCGTTGTACTTGGGCCTGCAAGGTCTGTCCTAGATGAATACAGACATATGGTCCCGGATTCTGACGACCAGCTATTACATCATAACTCCAGCCGCTAACCACACAATGGAGTCTATATTGAGTGCTGATATAGGCGGCTAGCACCTACAGTCGTGGTACTCACTCGGGCTAACCCTATCTGTGGATGTCCTCAAACTTAAATTTAGATTTAGTGATTGATGGGTCGACCTGGAGACTGGCTTGGGGCGAGGAACGCCCGCCTCCTGCTGCACCATAGCAAACAATCCACGATGGCGGGTTATCTACAGTACCTACTCACTGGACTTGTTTTAGCACAAACCTGACAGATTTCGCCCCCTACTCCAGCCCATCATGAACAGTGGCTAGAACAGTGAATAAGAAGCTGACCTCTACATGTCTGTTCGTCTGGTGACAAAGCATTTAGCGTATTTGTTTGTATATAGACGACACAGGCTTGGTTGTCCCTGTCAATCACACCCAGCCTCCTCACGTTTCGACACTAAGTCAACCTACCCTACATCCCCGGGATCAGACAGTGACATGCCGACCATAATACCGAGTACGACCGGACGAACCCCACCATCAGCACCAAATAAACTCTATTACTCCTAGAGGACCACCGCAACACAACAAGCGCAGCTGCAGCTGCTAGTGCCATTGCAGGGTGTGCATGCATGTGTGCGACCCAATTGACTTTTCTAGTGACCCTTCACCACCTCCACCATGCGATGACATTGTAGTAGCAAACAGAAAAAAAAGAAAAGTGAGCTTGGACCGCTTCTATTGTTTGTTGCTTTTGTCCAGGGTCACTATTGAATTCTGGCGATCATGCCGATAGATCGGATGCCTACCGATCAGGAAGGGCTTGCTTACCAACACGCCAGGGACAATCGACACCCTGGTTTCTCACATCGTTGATGACGTGAATCATGCATCTGGGAGTCCTACTCCTCCGTGATAAGCGAGGTTGAGTTGACATCATACCTCGAGGAAAACAAGATTTCGATGGAGTGCGCAGGGCTGATCAGATGATCTATCTTCTCAATACACGTAGGTGTACAGCCTGCAGTCGACGCGTAAGATCTTTTCAATCGCCAGTGGCATTGCTTCTCTCTTCACTCGGGATGTCTATCACCAGAGGTTCTGTGTAGCTAGCGGGTGTACCCATACTACTATGTATGTAGTGAGGTGCATGACTATGGAGCGAGGTGCTCACACAAGCTCAGGATTGGCTCTTGCGTTGGTCAGATCCACTTGATCTTGTGATAGCAAGCCTATGGGATTTGTCGACTCTAGCACACCAACTTGCCTTCATACTCAGAAAGATACACGGATCTAAGTCTCCATGACTTCCTCCCCTCTTCCGAGCAGGAAGATGCACATTCTCCGAATCTCATTCCAGTCTGTAGAGTACAGTTCATGACATGTAGAGTGAAACAGTGGGGTGAGACTCAAGCCTGTATCTGACGATCTAGAGCGCATGTCTCACTACACACAGCAGCATCTCTTCACACCAAACCAACATAAGACACGCCGATAACCATGTATACCTCAGGCGGCAGCAAGCCGGACGACTAGACCTAATGCAGACGGGAGATAGTACGGGGGCGGTGACGGGCCGGGCTTACCGAAGCGTCAACACGTGGTTCGCCTGCGGAAGTCAATTACCAAGCGGGAGTTCACTTCCCTTTCGCATTGCGTTGCGCATTGCGCATTGCGGCTTCTGCAGCATTTGTGTACCTGCTGGGGGCCTTGGATGCGGGTTCCTTTCTTCGTTGTCGACTATCTGATATGTGCCATGGATGTCAGTCGATCACATTATGTAGATTGTAGTATCGCAGACCAGACAATTCCACCGTAGTGGAAACCAACCGAAGCATAAACTGTAGCTCATAAACTTTATGTCAGAAGATGATGTAAAGAGCACCTTAATCTATACAGACACACAGAAGCGGCTTATACACAAGCCTCTAGATCAATATATTTCTCTGACTTTGTTCCCTCCAGTCTGCATAGAATCCTCCGACTCCCCTCATACACACACAAACTCCCCCAAAAAAGACCCGGATCACATGCAAACCCACTCCATCAACCCCACTCAAAAACCACCCCAAACCCCATACAAAATAAAACCTCATCTCCAAATCCCCCTGCACCTTCACACTTCCCCCTCAAAACAACCCATCACCTCACCCAACCCTACCCAGCCAACCCAGTCGACCCAGATAGACGTGCCAAAAAAAAATGTCCCTGAAAACCTCCTACCTCCTACTCTACAACACCACCAACGCCCTCCTCTGGACCCGCATCCTCCTCACCCTACTCACCTCCTTCATCCTCGCCTCCCCTTCCCCCTCCTCCCCCGAAACCCTCTACACCACGCTCGAACCCTGGACAAGATGGACCCAAACCCTCGCCAGCCTTGAGATCCTACATTCCGCCCTGGGTACGGTCCCATAGCCAGCCAGCCCGCCCTGCAGACAACTAACCCAAGGAAAAGGCCTCACCCGCTCCCCCGTCTTCACAACCTTCACGCAGATCTTCGCCCGCAGCGTCCAAGTCTGGGCCATCAACTACGCCTTTCCGGCAACCACGATGACAGCAGCCGTCTACCCGGCCATGCTGCTGGCGTGGGCCTCCGCGGACGCGATCCGGTATACGTATTTCGCCGTGCTGAGTGTGGCGGGCTCGGCGGCGGTGCCGGGGTGGTTGCGATGGTTGCGGTATGTTCTCCCTGGTTCCTTCGCTTTGTGTTCCTGTCCCGGTCTCGGTAGCTTATGTCCCCGGTGCCCCGTCGTGGGTTCCTCCGGGGTTCGAATATGTGGAATAGGTGGCGACGGCTAACGGGGCGGTTAGATACTCGCTTTTCCTGGGGCTCTACCCCATTGGGATCGCCAGTGAATGGTGGCTGATGTTCCAGGCGACCCGGGTGACGGACAGCGTCGCGGTGAAGGGGATCTTTGTCTTCTTTTTGGGGTTGTATGCGCCTGGTGAGTTTCCTTCCTTTCTTCCGGGTGGCTTGGTGGGTGGCAAGAGGGGGAGGCGGGTGGCTAATGTCCTTCGGTGCAGGATCGGTGATGATGTACAAGTATATGGTCAAGCAGAGGCGCAAGGTTTTGTCTACCGCTGCTTGAATCTCTGTTTCAAAAGGTGGGTAACAATTGGGAGTCGGACATTCTGAGTCGACCACTTGTTTTCCAAAAGAGAAAAGAAAAAGAAAGGGTTGGTGGTTATCCCTACCACTACTTATCCTACGTATATAGACCGACCTCCATCTTACAGACCAAAAAAACCAAAGACAAAGATAATGCTCTGCATTTCATCTGCAAAATATAACCCGGGTATCGCTATGCATACAATCGAATTCTAGTAAAACAACCCCCGCCTCGACACACACAATTTCCAACTTTCCCCCCCCCTCCCTTCCTCCTCGCATGTACCGTACTAGCCCAGAAACACAAAAAGTCGATTCGACGACAAATCACCGGAAAGTAGCGGTTCGGCCAGCCATCTCGCGCTTCTGCTTGCGGACGCCGGAGGGGGCCTCCAATGCCTTGGCGTACGGGTTGAATTGCTTCCGTCTCGAGGGTCTGGAGGCCTGCTCGGCGGGGTTGGCATTCAGCATCGAAGCCGCCGCCTCGTAGTCGAACGGCGCCTCTTCTTGCTGCTGAGCCTGCGCGGTCTGGGCGGCAGTAGCAGTAGCCGCCTTGTTCTTCTTCTCCTTGCGGCGCTGCTTCTTCGTGGGCTTGTCGTTCAGGTCCTGGTCCAGATCCGCCGCGGAGCTGACGATCTCGTCGGTCTTGGTGCCCTCCGCTTCGGACTGCGGCTCCACGACGGGGGTAACCTTGCGCTTGCGTGGGCCACCCTTCTCCTTGATGGTGAAGTACTTGTTCTCGGGTTCGCTCGCCTCGGGTTCCTGCTGCGCTGCCGCCGGTGGAGCCGAGGTCGCGGCGGGTTTCGCGGGGGCGGCGGGCGCGGATACTCCGAACTTCTCGCGAGCTTCGGAGACCGTTCTGGGCATGGGTGGGAGGGGTAAGGAAAGACGAAGAGCTTCGGCGGAAGCAATCGCGGAGATCTTGGGGGATGGGAGTGGGGACTGCGTGTCAAGCACACCGCCCCAGAATTGCGAGATCTCGTAACGGGCCGCCGTGGGGAGGTCTGTGTCGTCTGCGGTGGGCTCAGGCAAGAATCCCGCCACCCCTTCAGCGGAGGCTGCCGGCGTGCTCTTGGTTGGCTTCACGTAGACATCGCGCCACTCCGGTCCGTCGGCACCCTCGACCTTCGCCGCTTTAATGATTTCCAGCAGATCATCTGTCCGGTCCTTGACAATCGGCGTCATAGGTGACAGGGTTCGGTACAGAGTGCCCAGGTCCGTCGGCATGGCCTGAGCCACCCTGAAGAGCACGTGCTTCGGGAACACACACTGCACACCTTCATCCTCCTCTCTCGCTACCTGGTCGCGCCACTGGTGCACCGCCTTGAAGACGGCGAACTGCTCCTTGTTGATGACGATCTGGTTGCGAGACAGGACATCGTACCAGCCGCCAGGTCCCTGTCCGGTTGCGGCGTCGTAGACCGGACGCTCGTAGATCTGCAGGGCTTCCTTCTTGGACTGCTCCAGGACGTACTCGACCAGGTTGTTATCAGGCGTAGAGTTCTCGACGAGCTCGTTGCGGATGTGGTCATACACGTAGAGCAGGTAGTGGGTATCCGAGCGGGCGTAATCGAACATGCCTTCCGGGATGGGACGAATGCGCCAGTCGGCCATCTGATATTTCTTGTCGGCCTCGAAGTTGACGAATTTCTGCAGCAAGAACTTCAGACTACGCTTCGGGTAGTTCAGCGCGCAGGCGGCGTGATACGTATCAAACATGTTGACGACATACAGCCCCAGATCGCGCTGAAGCCAGATCATATCCATGGACGAACCGTGCAGGACCTTGAGAATCCCGGGGTCGGCAAAGACCTCGTTCAACACCTGGAGCTCCTCCCTCCACGGCTTCAACGTATCGACCACCCAGTCCTTGTCCCGGGTGCTGATCTGCATCAACGAGACCAGACCCTGATACGAGTGCACATCATGATGTTCCAAGTCGATCGCGATCTCCTTGGCCCCCTTCAGCTCCTCCAGCATCTCCTGCACGCCTTCCAGAGTATCCACGAAGGTCGCCGTCGTCGACTCCCACGGTTGATACTCCCGCGGCGGCGACACGGTGTACGTCGAAGCCGGGAATTTGGCCGCGCGGATCTCCGTCTCGTACGGGTGCACATAGCCCGTTGCCGTCTCGCTCCGCTTCAGCGACTGCTCCAACGGCACCGTCGCGTGGGGCTTGGACTTCAGCAGCGGCTTGAACGGCGACGTGTCGGTGTTGTCGGGCAGGTGCTCGAACAGCAGCTGGGGCTTGGGGATCTTCGACGGGCCATAGTCGTAGACGGTCGGGAATCGGGCGGCGGCGGCCTTGGTCTTCGCGGCCTTGGCGGCGGCCGCAGCGGCCTGGTCTTGCTGCGAAGGGCTCAGTTTCTTGATCACGCCGGTGAATTCATCCAGGCAGGCATCCGCCCGCTCCAGCAGCGCATCGATCACATCCACGACGCCGCGCCAGTTGTCTTCGAGGGAGTCGTCATCCTCCAGCGTCGGCGCCGACACATCCGTGCCCGCAGTGGCCGCCTTCAGCAGCGTCGAGGTCAAAGAAAGGAGCCGGCTGCTCTGCTCGTCCAACGAATCCGAAACCTCCGCGTTCGAGGATCGGTGGAAGTCGACATCTTCGGCGGAAAGCTGGCCAACGGTGCGCGTCACTTGGACCAACGAGGAGGTCAGCCGTTGCTGGAACGGAGGGAAATCTGCTGCGGAGTTCATGGTTTCTTCAAAAATCAATTCAGGCAGCCCAGTCACCAGGACAGAAAGAAAAGCCCGATGTGGTCTTCTCTTTCGTACAATCTCGGGCGAATGCTTGCTTGCTTGCAATTCAAATTTCTTGTCCCGCGCGACAAAGGAAAAAAATGGCGCCGGCGGATTCGGAGGTGGAGAAACGCCGGGGAGGGGGGGACGTTTGACCGCCTACCGCCTTCGGTAAACATCAATCAAGCCTTCGACCCTCAATGTGGATTACGTAATTTCATGATAGAGAGGATCTCAACTAGAATACCACGATTTGCCTCCCAAACCAGCATATCAAATCACATACATAGTTCTATTTCCTTTACTTTGGAATCAGTTTCATCTCATTATCCAGCATCATATCGCCTTGGGGACCTATTCTTACGCACATCCCAACATGGCCGCCTCAATTGCCCCCGAATGCAACGAGATCAAAGAGTAAGCCACCCACCCTAGCCACCCATCGTGTATATCAGAAAACCCAACTAACCCACCCCAAACAGGAAATACGACACCTGCTTCCTCAAGTGGTATAGTGAGAGTAAGTTGTCGTTGCCAGCCCTCTTCTCCCCACGTCCGCACCCTCTACATCACCGTGACCAGTACAACTAACCCCATGAACCCCAGAATATCTCCGTGGCAACACCACCTCCAACGACTGCGAGGAACTCTTCACCAAGTACAAGACGTGCTTGAATGTATGTGCTTTCATCCATGCTTCTCTACCATTGTTATAGACAGCCCCCTTTCTGCTTTCTCGAGTGACCCCCTCTCTAACATCATCTCACCAGGTCGTCCTCAAAGAAAAGGGCATCGATTCCATGCTCGAAGATGCCCGGAAGAGCACGACCAAGGAATTCGACGCCGAGACTCTTCGACGGGGTTGAGGTCTTCTCGTCCGACTCCGGTCCTTATTCTTCTTTGATTCCGTCGATCCAATCATCTCTTCTCTCTCTCTTCTCGGAGAAAACAGCTACTTCGGATCTCTCTACCCTCTTGGTTAAGGAGGGGTGATGAGAAAGGTATTTTGGAGTGTTTATTCTTCAGGATATGCATAGGGCAAGGGGTCAGGGAGAGTCAAACCCACTCCGGACCCCTTCAGAAAGCTCATCATAACCCACTCACACCATCTCGTCTCGTCTCGTCTCATCCCGTCTCCCCCCTCACTGCTATATATGGCATGATCTAGTAGGGGCGTTGCTTGGTTTCCTCTTTTCCTTTTTGATCAAGACACTAGAGCTGTGCTGTCTACTTACTTGTACTATATGTTGTGATGTACCACCATGTGCGATACGATGTTCCTGGAAACATGCATTATGTATTATATACCTACAACCCCCCACCAGATAGCTCAAATCATCCATATATTATGTACTTCATCCCTGTATGTTCTTAGCATAAAAACTTCATGGCATCATCGATGGCCTCTTCTCCGCAGATCCCCTTGTCCGAATGACCCCGGAACCTTCAGGATTCCATTCGCCGCCGTGCCAATCCCACCACCCATGGATGAGGAGCTGCTGCCTCCGCTACTGGTCTTGCGGGGTTGTGTCAACATGGACCACACCTCCATCATAGTAGCCCGGCGCGCCGGGAGCATGCTGTACTGCATGCCGTAGAGGTTGCGACGGTGGATAGGAGGCACGAAGCGGCCGGTGACGAGGCAGAAGATGACTCGCGGGGCGAGATAGTGTTTCCGGAGACGATGGCCCAGTTGAAAGTACTGGTCGAACATGGCACGCAAAGCGAGCGGGATGGACTCGAAGTGGATATACGGTACGCTAGTGGTGGACTTGCCGGTTGCAGGAGACTTGTCGTGCTCTTGCCGGAGTTCAAAGCGAATCCCGCCTGATTTGGCCACATTCCATTAGTGATTTAGCCTCCAAACATTATTCTGGGGGCATAAGTACCAGGCAATCGCCGCGAGTCTTTGACTCGCAGCATCAATGCAAAGAGCGGGAAGTGATTCAAGAAGGCTAGGCAGGTGTCAAGCGCTGCTTTTAGTGAGATGATCAACATTCGCGCACTTGCGAAGGCCAAGTAAAAGACGATTACGGTCGGCAGGAGGAAGAAAAGGACAGTGAACAGTATGGTTCCCAGCAACAGCTGATCGAGATCATAATCGCACGAGTCAATACGGTTGCGAAGCACATTTCGCTTCTTGCCGCGGAAGAGGTGGAAAAGCGAGATGATGATGGACAGTTGCCAGTTGAATATCCGCGCCGACGCAATGTAGAATGAGTAGATGTGGACAGTCAGGATAGACACCAGGTCGGAAAACAGGGCAATCGGCATGCTTGCCCCGGCGAAGCTTGAGCATCCCACCACGTAGATAACGTGCGGAAGATAGGGTTGCAGGTTGGCAATGCAAGCTAAAAACATCCTATCAGTATTACTAGTCTGTCGTGAGAACGAGAAAAAAAACCAACCTGCCCAATTCTCTATCACCCATAGAAAGAGATCTCCAAGGAATGCGGCGAGCTCATTGTTCAATTTCAAGCCAGCCGGCCAGTCCATCAGCCAGGATATGGTACGTTGCAGTCCCTCCACTGTCCAGCCCGTCAAGATGGAGTTGATCTGGAAGGCGACCCAGTTGGCGTTGTCTATGATGTATGACCCTAACGCGATCCCAATGATCACGTCATTAGCCACAAGCCACAGGCTGTTGTAGAATCGAATATAGTCCGGATGACTAGTCGTCACACTCTCCCAGTTGTCTTTCCTTTGTCGCAGCTTCACATATTGAATGGGCCAGTAGCAGAACTGCTGAAGGCGGATGTCAACCTGCTGAGCGGTAGCAGAGATATCCTTGAGCGCAGCAGCGTCGGGACGAGCGCGCCATTCCAGGATCTGTAGGACGATTTCTGCGATGGTACGGTGAAACACAAGCCCGACGACGAATATCCGGGTGATCACAGGCCATATCCACTGCCAGAAGACGTAGGAAACGCCGAGAACGAACAAGTCCCACAGGGTAGTTGCAGACTCCACGACCCGCTCCCCCACACTCATGCTTCTCTTGACCCGAATTCCAATCAGATGGCTGTTTTTCTCCATAAGCTTGCCCATCTCGTAGGCGCAATTGACTTGGTTGATGATGAGGGGCAATGCTTGCTCCTTTGAGGACGGAACATGCTTCACGACGGTATGAAGCTTGAGCTTTTCCACCAACTTTCCAACTTTTCCCTTATCATGTTCCTCCTCGGTGTCAATTTGACTGGACACCGCATCGGATTGATCGGCCGCAACCACTTTATCTCCCAGCGCCAACGAGATCGGATCTAGCGACATGTACTCCATGCGAGTCGGATGCGGCCGGTGAAACATGATGACCTGCACCGAGAGATTCGTCTCCGGTGGGCACCAAATCCGTGGCACCTTACAAGCCGGAGTCGTAGTGACATAGAGGTGCGACGGATTGAACGCACTAGGCGGGTCTGGGGAGTTGGTCGAGCCTAGAACATGCATCGCAGATCGTCCACACAATGTGAATATGCGCACAATGGGATGCGGGCTGTTGCGAAAGAGGATGCCTGCGCGAAGGGCATTGTCGACATTCCGTGACTGGCAGGTAGAAAGAGCAAGATGTCAGCATTGACTGGCTTTTCTTCACATGTGCAAGACGATCACAACCCCAACAACCACAAACAGGAGAGAGCCTTACCTCAACACCCTCCAGCACGGTCAAGACGAACAAATCCAGTTCCGAGTTCCTCCACCCGACAATCACCCCCGGCGACGACGATCGCGGCAGATCGTATGGCCAAAATACCCGTAACAACCCATCGCTCATGAGCATGTTGTCATTCCTTCGGCCGATGCTCTAGAAGGAGCCTCGACGGCGCAATTGTTCTCGAGCGGAGACCCCTAGGTGGACGTAGCGCGGGTGCTATTAAGCAACATATATCCATGATTAGCGTCTCTTCTTCCCAGGTTCAAGGGCCCAAAGCAATGTCGTAGGCATTGCTGCCATTTCCCACTGTGTGATGTGCGATGTGTATAAGCATACCAATTCACCCTCAGTCGCCGCCAGATGATTGATGGGGAGGACGAGCAAGAAGAAAAAGACCGACAATAGGAGAAATCCTTTGGCCGTACGTGTCTGAATGTGTCGGGGAGAGAGAAGTGAAATCAGCGAACAGTATCTTTCCGTGGTAGTGACAACGAGGTCGCCCGAAGCTTAAGTTGCGCGCGTTCAGGTCAAGCAAAGAGGGCCATTGGGAGCCATACCACCACACCGTGATCCCATGCAAAAATGGCTAATTCGTACAGCCGGGTGACCAGATCCCACCGCGCGGTGATGTAGCCCGCTACAAAGATTCCGAGGGTGAGGATGGAAAAGGGGTGCATGAATCGTTGTTTGGTGTGCGGGAGGATTCGCTTTTAGGTTGCGCGCATCGCTGAGGGGGTTCAGTAAGGAAGCGTAGAATAGACTAGAGAGTGAATGTGAAGAGCCGGTAAGGAGCGATGACCGTACTGGCAGTGGCTGAAATTCAAGCCTCGGAAATGAAATGGGATGATAAACAATGAATGTCTCTGGAAGCTTGTCTCCAGGATAAAATGGTTTCCTTGGATTGAGGGTGCATTTGGTGTACTGTACGACCCGCGCAACCCTGCGGCGTCTCGACCTCCGCACTTGCACGTGACTTGTAGATTGTACACAGCGGTTTGAGTCGTCTTACAGACTTGGTACATCTGTACACTCTGTAAACTTTTGTGACATCGTTCATAACTCTACCAGTGTGCATTTAATGCTTGAAAGAGACTCGTAAAGACTCCAAGATCTACCTCGCCAGCCTAGTACACTCAAAGCTTTCCACCTCCAGACCTAGAAGCCCTGACCTAAGCCTATTAGCGTAGTAAGTCAATACTGCAAGCCTCTACTTTGACAAGGCGCTGGTACTCACTCGTTAGAGTAAGAAGAGACCTTTGTTGTTTATGAACAGAAAAGAAAAAAAAAACAGAGCAACAGAGCAAAGTTCGACCTACCTATGTAAAAGATAGTGGGAAGAGACATTTTCGCCAACAGAGTAGAAAGTTGAGTTCTATGGGAAAGGTGGTTTAGAACTGGAATAATTGAAGAGAAACTACCTAGTGCTGTTCGCATCTGTGCTTTTTCTACCGGAAAAGCCTTTTAGTTGTCATTCACTATAATCCTTACATGAGGCAGGAGTCTGAACGGGCTTGCCTGTGGTCAAAGCTGCATAGAGCCAGTAGAAAGGCTGGCTGTCTGTCCGCGACCCTCCCCAATTTCGGAGCAGCACACTCAATGCGATTGATGATTCATTCGCCTATGGTGATGCCGGGATTGGTTTCTAGCTATGGCATAATCATAGTCGAACCATATGTGCACGAAGTACTTCATAGCCTCCGCGACCGAAAAAAGCCAGACAGACACAGCTAATAGCTCACCACAAGCAAATATGAGATATTTCCAAATCATCGACAACCGTGAACGCGTGACTGCACGCCATAGCAAGCTCCTCCTGGTTGGAGTCAAGATTGTGCCGACGTTGCCCTTGTCTGCTTCCGACCTATTCGGAATCCCTGCTTGTGGGTTGCAGGGTTGATAGGACGGTCATGGCACGTGCCTGCTGTGCAACTGAACGCACTCCCTTCGGGTGATTGTGCAACTCTAGATAAGAAAGAACCTCTTCCAGAGCAATTTAGATTGTAGGCTATTGGGGATATTATGCCTGCTGGTATGTGTTTACGCAAATCCAGTAGCTGACCTGCATTGCATGCATGGAGGGTCAGAAGTGCAGGGGTTGCAGCCACCGAACTCTTGCGTCTAACCATGCAGACTTCGGACTCTGGATGGTGCAATTAGGTACCGAAGGGCTGAAAATGAGAAATATATATAAATGGCGGGTCGATGGGATCGTTGCCACGCCATGTACGGTCTTGTTGCTGACTATCGCATCAACATGTGTGCTGTACTGTCGTGCCAGGGCTTTTAGAAAGCGCATGCAGCAGCAGCAGCAGCAGCAGCAGCAAAAAGTAGAAGAATTGTGAATCGGTCTCAGATTCAGCTCTGCTAAAGCCATCACGAGGTCTAGTCTGGTCTCCTCAATACGAGGCAGCATCAAGGAAACCGTGTCAAGAATCCCTACCATGGATAGCCCGTCAGAGCTTCCTTTCGTTATCGTCCTGCTGCAGCTGCAGCATCAGCAGTAGTCAGCGTGGCAAGCTGGCTCTATGCTTATTTGCTATCGTTTGGTCCAGAAGTCGAAGGTCGAGTAGCTCATCCGGGATGAATGTGATATCTGCAGGCCTATTGCATTAATACCCCTGGCCCATCAGGTGTTGTCTGTAGTGCAGTACTGTGCAGTACAGTACTGATATAGTAGTAGGTTAGTGAATCCTCCAGACTGCCTGTCTAGATATATTGAACCCGCCTCCTCCCTCCCTCCATCACTCTACGGCAGCTGTTCCACAATAATCACCACCTCCCTCCTCCCAGACCAGACCAGACCATTGAGGCGAGCCACAGATCCAATTCACCATGCATGGCTTCGACCTCACCCAAGCGCCGCCGGAATTCCAGGCGTGGGAGTGGACCAGCTACCTGTGCCACTCGTACACGAACATCACCTGGGTCTACGTCTACTACCTGATCATCCAGCACTCGTACACGGACCGGTCGTACAGCATGCCGCTGATCTCGCACTGCTTCAACATCGCGTGGGAGATCACCTTCGGGTTCTTCTTCACGCTGGACCACTGGCTGATCACGCTGTCCTTCCAGGTCGGCCTGCTGACCAACCTGGGCACCATCTACACGGCCATCCGCTACGGGGGCCCACGGGAGTGGGCGCACGCCCCGCTGGTCCAGCGCTACCTGCCGGGCTGGTACCTCCTCGGCATCGCCTTCGCCATCGCCGCCCACCTGACGCTGGTCGACGAGCTGGGCCCCATGGCCGCCTGCTTCGCCAACGCCATCGTCTGCCAGGTCATCCTCAGCGTCGGGTACTTCGGCCAGCTGCTGACGCGCGGCAGCACCCGCGGGAACTCCTGGCGTCTGTGGTTCTTCCGCTTCACCGGCTCGTTGACCCTCGTCCCGGAGTTCTACCTGCGCGCCCGCCACTGGCCCGCCGAGTTCGGCTTCCTCGGCAAGCCCTTCATGCTCTGGTGCTGCGCCATGTACCTCGTCTTTGACCTGGCGTATGGGGCTCTCTTCTGGTACTTCCGGCGGCTGGAGCACGAGGCGGAGCGGGCGAGGAGGGTGCTGAAGAAGAGCGGCTGAACTCGGAACTCTCCCAAATCCATGGCTTGTTCGAGCGAGGGGGGGGGAACACCCACGCGGAAAAAAAAAGTCTGCTTGCGGGGGAGGGCAGGGCTTTTGGAGTAGGAGACATTTCTTGTTTCGCTTGATGATAATGTGAGGTAAACTGTGGGCGAATGTGGGCAAACCTACCGAGGTAGGGCCGTGCATGATAGTTTGGACATGAAGACATGCCTAGCCCGGAGAGCAAGCTCTCCTTTCGGCCTGTTGCCGCTGAAGAATCGTGAGCAAGCCACGTTCAATAGAAGAAGATGTATTGTAATGTCTTCGGTTCTCCATTTAGACATTCCAGTGTATGGGTATGGATGGATGAGCTGGAATTAAAAGTTCCCTAAAATGGACAACGAGCTCATCATCTTCAAATTGGCAGGGAGCCTTGTTCACTGCAGCAGGACCCAGGCTCGCTAAGGGAACCGAGAAGAATTGCTCTGAATGTAAGAAACCGTGATACGGAGACACGTAAGCGGCATTAGGGTAACTTAGAAAAACAAAACGCAGGTTTGCTTACAAGCTTCATGGGGGGCTACGTTACGCTGTCAAGTTCTATGTATATCTGAATGACATATTGTCAAAAGAGTATCATCTTTTGCTGAGCGCATGCTGATTGTTCCTGGATTTTGGAACAGGTATGGACCAGAGCGTGGGTAGGTGGGGTGAGTATAGTAGCATGCTCAGGGACTTCAGAGATATTAGGCCTCCAAAACACGATACTGCCAGCCTACAGGCTAACTCACGCCACAAAGGCACCAGCGCAAACTATCGATGTAGATCACGAGTCGGTTCGACCAACCCCAGTGATGTCCATAACATTGTATCCCTAACATACATAAGGTACATACAATATGACTCCCATTTTCCGTAACTCCTATCCGCTAGAAACCAATACCCGAAACATTGCCTGATGATCATAAACTCCCGCTCTACAGAGCCTTGATGCTCTGAAACACTTTGTTCGCTTGCAGCTTGGGATCGCTCTTCACCAGGTCGCGCATGATCTGCCGCTTCTCCTCCACCGTAAGGGTCTGCCCGGGTGACTCGACGGCCGCCTTCCATTTGAGCAGCATTTCCTTCAGGAGAGCGCTGCCCTCTTCGACTTCCTCCTGGGAATACTTGTCGATGGAGGACGGGGCCGACTCCTCGCCGCCGCCGCCGCCGCCGCCGCTGCCGCCGCCACCACCTTGAGCCTCTGCAGAGGTGAAGTCCTCGAGCTCGTCCGCCTTCTGCCGCGCCATGTTGACCACCTTCTCGGGGAAGCGCACCAGTTCGGCCACGTGGATACCGAAGGACTGGTCGCAGATGCCGGGCTCGACCCGGTACAGCAGGGTGACCTGGTTGCGCTTGGCGTCTTTTGCGTCGCCTTGGGAACGCTCGCCGGTCCCGTCGCCGATGAAGGCTACGACGTGCAGGTTCTGCGCGGACTTAGGGTACCGGTCGGCCAGGGCTGTTAGCTCGTGGAAGTGGGTGGCGAAAAGCCCGAAGCAACGGATCTCGGTGACAATGTGCTCGGAAATCGCCCACGCCAGACCGAACCCGTCGTAAGTGCTCGTTCCACGGCCGAGCTCGTCGATGATGATCAGGGACTCCGAGGTCGCGGACTTGAGGATGTTGGAGGTTTCCAGCATCTCGGCCATGAACGTCGAGACGCCCTTCAGTTGCGAGTCGCTGGCACCGACACGAGCAAGGATGCAGTCAAAGATGGTCAGCTCGGCCTCGCTGCACGGCACGAAGCATCCCGTCTGGGCCATCAGCGCGATGACACCGATCTGCCGGATGTAGGTCGATTTACCGCCCATGTTGGGACCGGTGATGATGAGGAAGGACGACTCGTCCCGGATTAGGGAGACATCGTTGGTGATGAACGAGATGTCATCCTGCATCTCCATGCAGGGATGGCGGGCCTCCTTCAGGATGGTGTTTCCCGTGCCGCGCGGGTGCATCTTGGGCCGAACATACGGGGTGGGAGCATGAACGGCGGCATGCGCAAAGCTCACCACAACATCCAGGTGGGCGAGAACGCCACCAAGCTGCTCCAGCACAGGGCAGTAAGAAGCAGCGACGTTGACCACCTCACTGACCAGACCAGTCTGGGTGCGGTTGTAGTTAGACGAAAGCTGGTCATGCTCGCGGCGCAGCGCCTGCATAGTCGACGTGGTGAAGTACACGCCGTTCTTCTGCGTCGAGCACTCCTGGTACTCTCTCTTGTTACGGATGCAACCAGCCTCGTTACGGGTGAGCCGGAAGCACCAGCCATGCACACGGTGATTCTCCATGAACAGCTTCTTCTCCACCTCCTGGTCCAGATCCCGTCCGACCCGACGGTGCTCTACGTTCATATCATGTCGCAGCTTATCCAGCTTCTTGCGGATGATGCGCAAGCTCTCATCAAACTCCGGCTTGATGATGAACTCGTGATTCTCCAGCGCGTCCAAGTCCACGGTGGTCTCGACCATCTCCTCCAGCTTGGCCAGACTATCCGAGAAACCGCGCAGCTTAAGGGTGTATTCGTTCTCGAGTGGGGTCTGGTACTGCTCATCCATCACGTTCTCCAACGAAGCAACAATCCCCGGCAGACGAATCGCAACCTGGTACACGCGGACCACATCCTCCAAGGTCGCCTGCTTGCGCTGAAATCGCTTCGCGAGCCGATACAAGTCCGGGATCGACCGCAAGTGCTCCTCCTGCATCGTCTGGCGGACCTCCGTATCCACCACAAAGGCCTCCACCAGCTGCTGCCGCTTCTCGATCTCCGCGCGATCCATGAGCGGCTGCTTCAGCCACTGCGCCAGCAGCCGGCTGCCGACGGGGGTCTTGCAGTGATTCAAGAGGCCGAACAAACTCATGGACTTCGATCCGTCCCGCGGACCGGGCATGAGATTCAGCGCGCGCAAGGCCGACGCATCGAGCTTCATGAACTGCGACAGATCATGCTGATACAGCTGATACTGCCCGAAATTCGAGGCATCCGTCATCACCCCGAGGTACTTGATCAACGCGGCTGCGGCGCCCATCGCCAGCTTCAACTCCGTCTGCGGCAGCGTCCCCGCGGACCGCTCATCCCGCAACAACCTTGTCAAATCCTGATCAATATCCTTGACCCCAAAATCCCCGGCGGGGCGCTCCGACACCGCGATGCCACAGCTATCCGCGATCGCACGGATCTTGGCCAGCTCGACATCCTTACGCCCGGCGTCCATCTGCACCAGACACTCCTTCACGCCCAGCTGGATCACCAACGACTCAAAGTTCGAGTAGACGTCATTATCCAAGAACTCGCTGACGCCCAGCTCGCGCACGCTCGCGTCCGCGAAACACACGCCGACGTGGCGCGCCTCGCCGGCCTTGGCCGAGATCTTGACGGCCAGGATGATGGGCGCGGCCGCGTCCAGGCTCAACGCGCCGACGCTGCCCAGCTCCTCCTCCACATCCTGCAGGTTGCCGGGGCTGGCCTGCTTGGCGAGCTTCCACGAGCCCGGCCCACGGCCCGTCGCGGCCCAGATCTCCACCCGCTTGTTCAGCCGGAAGAGCGCCTCGCGCAGGAAGTTGCGGAACACCGTCACGCTCATCGTCACCGAGGGGAGGCCGCCCGTCTCGCTGCGGCCCAGGTTGCGGAGCACCGAGGTCGTCTTGTAGACCGTGCGCGCGATGAATTCGGCTTCCGTCCCGTGCGCCGAGTACCAGTCGCCGCGGTCGAAGATGCGGATGGTGTCATTGTTGTTGTTTCCGTTCGTATTGGTGTTGGTGTTGGTGTTGTCTGAGATGGAGCGGTAGAAGCGGATGAAGCCGACTTCGTCGTCTACCTGTTTCAACAAGAAGTGATTAGCACTTGAGGTGTAGTGTTTCGTCGTGTAAGATAGTGTTCAAGGGTGGGACGAGAAGAGAAAATGTATCAATTGGCGAAAAAGCACTTACCCTGAGATCCGGCCGTGAAGACATATTGCCAGGAAGCTCAATATGGACAAAAAGGACTTCGGTTCTGAGCCAACTTGCCTGTTGTTGTTAGCTGAGGTCTGGTCAATCGCGGATGAGGGAGCGTCGGTCAATTGATGGATCAACGCTGAGACGCGGTCTGTGGCAGCGCGATCACGTGCATACGCGTTGCGGCGCGGAGGCCGGAAGTGGTTTTCGTCCAATCAGAGAGGTCCGCTGCATAGCTGTCAGTCACCAATCTATGAATTATTGAGTCTACAGACATTGTGGTTTCGATGATTAGTATTGCCTAGATATTTAAGCAGATGGTATGGAGGAAGGAATCAAGTATTGTTAGATCTATTAGTCGATAGAATGAGGCTATGCTAGTGGTGCAGTACATAACAAATGCCGCTTAATATACAGGACATGACAATGCGATGCTCAAACAATGCAATCATAACGCCGGAACTGCATACCAGGCATTCCGGATGAGGTATCACGACATCCAAAACGAGTGAGGGGTAATCCAACAACAACTATTTCACTTCCGGGGAGCCTCGCCAGCCTGCTCCCACCCGATCTTCAGCTGTGCAACTCTGGCCGCAATCTCCTTGGGCTGCACATCCGCACAGGATTTCAGTACCACTGATTTGAGCTGATTCACCATCACGATGTTGACCCATTGTCCCGCAACGTCCTCCCGAGCGAGAATCTCAAGACAGATCTCGACCTCTCGATCCGCCACCGGGTTGCGCAAGGAATCCTTGACGCTCTGGACAATCGTCTCCATTCGAAACGGCGTTCGCTGCGCCGTCATCACCGCCTTAGCACCATTGCCCGTATACCCCCTGGGCCTCAGCAGAGCCAAGACGCCAGCAACCTCCTCGACCCGCTCCGCCGCAGCTCGCTGGAGGAGCATATCCTTTGTGGGCGGGGACGGCAACTTCGCCTGTCGCAGCTGCTTGTCCTTGATCCGTTCCAGAAGGCCCTTCTTGCGCGTACTTGCCGCATCCAGCGACTTGGCTGGCACAGAGTCCTCCTGCCCATCCGCCCGCAGCTTCTCAGTCTTCACCTTGATCACCCCGCCCCTCAGATCCTGCAATCGCTGCTGACCTTTCCGGAATGTCGTGAAGGGTACCAACGACTCATGAATGGCCGATACGCCCAGCGTACCCACAAAGTCCACCTTCTCCGCATCCCCGTCCGCTGCATCCAGCGCCTTTTCCCAGAGCAGATCGACCGTCTGCTCGAACCGTTCCTGCAATTCACCGCTATCATCACTCCGCACCGGTGCTGCAGAGAGTGGTGCGTTCGTGCCATCAGCGGCAGCCAGTTTTTCCAAGCACACCCGGCCCAACCCATAATTCGCGATCCTGAACGAGAACGACGACGACGATAACGATGATGTCGATGGATCATCCTGCTCCATCACCCAGATCAACCGCTGCAGGTCCTTGACCACCACCTTCCGCTTCTTCCAGATCCGCTGAATACTGGGCAGCAGTTCCCGCAAGTCCGCCGGGCGGTTGACGCCGTTGTGCATCATATGGATGGAGACCGCCTTCTGGAAGGCCGAGTACAGGGCCACCAGATCATCAACGCAGGCGGGACGTTCTACGACCCGCGTGTCTACAGTGACGGCACTCGCCTTCCGCGGCAACGATATCGAGGTCGTTCTCTTGTGCGTGGCGGCCCGCTTGGATGGCGAGGTCGGAATGTCGTCTTCGTCTTCTTCGCGGGCAGCGGAACGCGCGTAGTGGCCGCTTCGGGGGGTGTTTAGGGCAAGTTCGCCGAGTCGGAGGGTCCGGGAGGGGGTGGCTGCCTCTGGGACGTCTTTGGCATCAGCAGAAAGACCGGGCTTGCCTGCCTCTTGTGTCGTCGGTTGTCCGCCGCCGCAGGTGACATTGTGTAACTCGTGGAGTTTCCGCTTTTTGGACGGTGAGATTGGAAGGTGGGCGGTGGTGGTGGGAGAGATCGTGCTTTTCGTCGTGGACGGCAGGGGTTGCTGCTGCTGCTGCTGAAGTTGCTTCTTGGTGTCCACGAGCGATTGAGGGGTGGTGACGCCGGGCTTGATCGCTCTTGCAAAGGTCTGAATGCCGGCCTGTCCCCGGGGAAGGGCGGCCAGCCTTGCGGAGGTGCGCGGCATCGCGGTTTCCTTTGCAGAATGGGAGGGAAGGTAAGAGATGAGGAAGATAGGAAGGTGCTAGTGTGCCAACATGAAGGTATTAAGCAGGTAGTAATGCACAACAGTAATATGCTAAAGGGTAGTTGGTGGAAAGTGGGTTTATGGAGGGGGAGATCTGGGGAAGTTGGTTTGACGGGCGAAGAAAAATTGCCGGTGTATATTTTAGTCCCTTTTGTGAGGGCGCTTGGATGCTTTTTCTCGGGTGGAGCGCGTCGACGCGGGTCGCGTGTTCTCGAGGCGTCGCGGCCGAATGCGGTAATATTAGGATCCCGCCGCGGCCATGATCAGCAGGGGTAAATGAAAATGAAAGCTCAATTATATCAGCAACACAAGTAGTTTTTCCAAGTCAAGAAATGCGCTCTGGAGGTTATATATCAATCCGCTTCAATCCCAATATAGATTTCTACTCCACCATTCACAATGCACGGCAACCCGTCACTACAGTAATCGTGCATTGGGAATGTAGCATACCACGGGCAGAGTGGCCCTCATCTACTTAGTATACTCCACATTGAAGCCTTTTCTTTTTGCCTGATCCACTCAAGAATGCGATTTACCCTGATGCAGTCTAGGCCTTTTTCTGATAACCTGATGATAGCATCCCGTCGCAAGACTAGTCAGTGCTCCCAGTGCTATTTTGCGGCGCTGGCTCCAGTTGCGCCCCCAGCTAATACTACACAAAGACCCTGTCGAGCTTTTCGAGCATGCAATCCGACACAACAATGGAGGACAGATAATTGAGAAATTGATATTATTGAACCGACTCGAGTATAGTCTCATTTATAAACCTCCTCGAACCTATCATCACGGTAATAACATCCATCAACCATCGTCGTCGTAATCGTTTCCCTCGTCGTCGACAAAGAAATCAACAGCAACGAAAAAAAAAATAGAAAAAGAAACACACGCAAGGCCCAGCCATACATATGCAATTCACTCACTTTTCTTCACAAAGAAAGAAATTGAGGCTTTGTCAAAAACAAAAATCAACGCAACTCCCGCCGTGAATGAGGAAGAAAGAGAGACAGAGAATAAACCCCAGCGAGCAGCAGACACAAATTCAACTCACGCATGCGATGATGTGCTCGAAGCGTGTCTGTCTGTCGGCTAGTAGTAGGCAATTGAAAAAAAAGGAGTCTATTTCTTGCCGAACCATCCCGACAAGGCGCCCTTGGCCTCGGAGGCCTTCTCCTCGACCTTGTGCTCGATCTTCTCGGCGCCCGACTTCAGCTCGGCGGTGGTGTCCTGCCGGATCTGGTCCAGGCGGCTGGCCTGGTTCTTGGCCTCGGCGCGGGCGGAGTCGACCTATTCCGAGAAGAAAAATGTCAGCGCGAGTGTTGCAGGTTTTCACCTGGGCGCATTTGAGGAGGTTTGAAGGGAAAAAGGGAAGGGGGCCAAGGGGGAAGGTAAGGAAAGTGTAACCAAACGTACCGCCTGGTCAACGTTCAAGCGAGCCTCATAAGCGGCCTTCTCTCCGGCCTTCTCGGCCTGGTTACCCGTGGGGGCGTTCAGGCGGGCAAGGTGGGCATCGTCTGTAGACATTGATATTAAGATCCATGACCGTGTATCACCGAGACAGGGTAAACAACTTACGCTTAACCTCCTGCGTAGCACCCTTGGGGTCCCCACCGGCGCGGTAGAGGTAGTAACCACCCAGACCGAGGGCGGCAACAGCGGCGTAAACTCCAGTGCGACTCTGAGCCATTGTGATAGATTTGTGTAGGTGGTAGGTGGTAGGGGAGCGGGGTGGTTTGGAAAATTGGTTGGTTGGTTTGGTTGGTGTGTTCCTAGATGGCGAAGTTTGTGGGTGAAGAAAAAGTGAGCTATTCAGGTTCCCAGTGCGATGAGGAGTAGTATTATATAGTCGTCGTGTGCTACGTGGAATCTTGGCTGTTTGTTCCCTTCAAGTCCGTGGTTGCTGGCGCAAGCGGGTTGGGGAACACAGGGTATGACGTCGTCGTGATCGTGGGCTGGGCTGGGCTCGGGGACTAAAATTGCTTAGTCGCTTTTTTCTCTACGACGCAGCCTGGAGGGACTGCAAGTTATACTCATCCTGTGCGGGGAAGCCGCGGGTTGTCTGCTACCTGCTTTGTTTGTACTGTGCAACAGCTGGATTTGAAGGAATTGCATCTCTGCAGTCTTTTCCTACTATATAACCAGAGTGAATAAATTCACTGCAAACCCTCTTTCATTCAACAAGCTTCAGCACACATACTCATCAACCGTGGAGGAAGACGCCGAGTCGGGTGCGGCAGCCATCGGCCGATACTACGTCACCTGAGAGTCATCATCATCCACTGGGGCTTGTTCCATGGTGATCTGGCTGACAAGGTCTGTCACCAGGAAAAGGTACCTTAACCCGTGGGTTTGACGTTACTGAGATCGTGGAGAACGCGACTCGACAACGTCATAATGGGTCCGGCCTCCTAAATTAGCCAGCTCCAAGCTGCAGGGGAAATTATTCTGTGGCTGATTATCCACCCTCCTCCCCAGGTCCAGGTCCAGGCCTTGGCATCATTGCATCTAAATTGGTTTCGTTCTGGTATTGGCTCAATTACTGTAACCCGCAACTAATTGCTGAACCCCTTGGAAGGCAGAAAAGGCAAAAAAGAGAAAAAGAAAATCCAAAGACAAAAATAGTCAAAGCCCCACAGTCGCCAAGTAAATGACATACTAAAACACGATGGCCAGCTGCAGCAATTCACATCACCACCACCGAAAGAAGCAGATAAACTTCGGTATAGACAGCGTCAAACGAACAATCGAAGCCACACCACGACCAGAGTAGGGAACTCCTTCCGTGATCTCGTTGCAGTCGCTCGAGATCAAGGCCGGGGGGGTATCTTCATGCACTATGGACAGTATTCCGTTCCGGAAGGACAAAGAGGGAGAACGCCAGAACATGCAGCGATAGAGAGGAAAGAGAGAGAGAGAAAGACCCCGAACAAGAAAAGAAAAATAGGATTGCGAAAACCCCAGTTGTGCCAACCCACCGATGCATTATTTCATCATTCATCACTTCATAAAGATTCCCGCAGCCGAGCGGTGCGTGCAGCTCCGAGTATACGAGAGAGGTCCAGGTTCTAGAACTCCGCGGCTATATCCAAAACAAAGAAAAGGTCGAGGAAACCCATGATAAGAGGCCAATGCCTCGTACTATACAACTCCCGCTCAAAACAAATGTAAAGAGAAAGAGCGGCGAGCCCGAGCAGGGTCGGTTTCGGATGCGGGATCGCTCAGGACGTGATCACCGGATGAAAATAGGGAAATACTCCTAAATCACAGACTTCATTCCCAATCAGAGGCTGTTCAAATAAAGAGCTTCGTGGCGCTTTTGTTCTCGCTGGTGGCAACAGCGACGAGCGCTTCCAGTCGACCCATTCCAGGTTCCCGGACCGAATGAGGAAGGAAATCAGACCGAAGGTCACGTTTGCCGTAGTGGCTGTCAGGTTGGGGGGCTAGAGGGGGGCAAGCCTGCATTCCAATCAGTGATCTGGCCCTCATCGTTGGTCCTGGTAACGTGTGCGTACTGTTTGAGATGCTTCGGAGGCAAAAGACGGGTGATGCTGCTCCACATATCCATTGTTATGCACAATCGCGGGATGATACTCCAAAGATGCAGTAGACGGGGTATGAACTCCTTCGCTACTGCTGGAGTCTTCGGGTGACGTTCGCGTGGCCTGGGAGCTCATAGTAACACTGCTATACGACGGAGCATGGCCATGTCCGCGAGATTCCTGCAGTTGCTGCTGGTAAGACGAGGATGGCCGGGAACCAACATTCTGGAGCTCGGCAATGGTTTGCTGGCTCCAATTTGCTGCATCTCGCTGAGATGGTTTGTCCCGAATGTGGAGTCCGGTTAGATTTGTGTGCAGGGACATATCCCAAGAGACGTGACCCCGTCGATGACCGGGGCCCGAAATTGGCGGTGCTGGTCGGCTAGCCGGTTGCGTGTAATTGAATCCTCCTCCAAAGTTGTAGTTCGGCGGCTGCTTGGTCGGGTTATCCATTTGCATGGGACTCGGTCGTCGAACGGGCGGGGTCAGTGGTCGGTGAGCCACTACCTTATCGAAACTCTCAATACCTGGCAGTCGCGGAGGCTGCTCCGCCGACCCATTGGTTTTCGCCGACGGGTGGAACACTTCGGGAGTCTGGTAGTTACTGAGGCCACTAGTGGCTGGCCGAGGAACGGCAGACCAGGTCGAAGGGTGCCATGTCCTTCTGCGTAGATCGGCGTCCGAAGCTCCGTGATTCATCTCATCGCGAGACAGGGAGTAATTGGTGCTAACGGGGCTGGCATACACTCCTCCGTGCGCAACATACGCGGGGGGTGGAGCATATCCTGGGGGATAGACGTTGGCAGGCTGCGATGCGAATGGGTTTGCGCCTGATGGCACAGACAATCGACGAGCGGCTGTCTTGCCCTCCCAAAATCCCGAGGCCTGAGACACTGTAGACATTGGCGAAGCAATATGAGGGCTACCATGAGGCCCTGCCGCAAAGACATGGTGTGAAGGTGTGTAAGGGGAGCCGCCGGCCTGCGGTCCTGGCAGGCCCCGCCCCGGAGGAGTGCTAGGGGCATCCAGCGTATCCATCAGTCGCGCTCGATCATTTGCCATCATCAACGGCGCAGGCCGACGGCGAAGCTCCTGCGGCTGACTGAATGTCGATACAGTGGAGGTGATGCTCGAGGCAGAAAGGTTTCTGCTATGGCCCCTACTATGAGTGCCTTGACTGCCCGCCGTGCCCGCTCTCGCGCGACCCTGGGGACGCACGCGATCCGTTCGAATTTGTCGTTGAAATCTGGTCCCTGTCGCCGCCAGTGAGTCTCCTGGAATTTCCTCGTTAACGTGCACGGTTTGAGCATGCTGGCGCAGGTTGTCCAGTCGAGAAAAGCGGCGGGAGCAGTGACATTGAAACGGGCGTTCACCAGTATGTTTCCGAATGTGCCGTGCCAGATGCTCACTCCGTGTAAAACTCAAGTTACATGGTGGGAAATCAGTGCAGTAGAAGCGTTGTCCCTTTTTCTTCTTCGATGGGGGAGCATTGTCCTTGTTGTCCTCGTTTTCAGAGCCTTCGCGTTCCCCGTCTGAATCGCCATGTGCGGGCTCATCTGACGTTAACGATGCGCTGGTTTGCGAATCTGTCGGGCGGGTTGAGTCATCGTTGATATTTACATTCCGCGGAGTGCTCTCGTCCGTCTTGGTGCCTAAAGATGATGCAGCGTCGGAGCTGGGATGAGGGCGAGGGGTGGATGATGTCGTCGCGTCCTCCATGACTCGATCTTGTGGGGGGGACATAGTATTGACAGGTAAGAATGAAGACATATTGGCAGGAAGACGACTGTGGCTTGGGCCCACAGCTATGTACTGTCGTCGATAACAGAAATGGTGGGATGACGGTCGACACACAAACTCGATCGGTTTCAAGGGAGAGGAATGGGGGTGGGTTTCAAAATGTCAAAAACGCGGTGTCGATCGCACGGTGCAAAGTAGTCCTAGACATCATTGCGCAGTTAAGGTAAGCAGGTAATCCACATTACTATCAGGTGTAATTTATTTTCGATGTTCCAGGAATTTTCGCCTCTCAAGCTGCGGTAACAGAAACATCATGGGGGAGGAAAGAGGGACCGAGGGGTTCGGTCGGTGAGAAACGGAGCTAGTCTGAAGGGCGAAAAATAGAAGAGAAAAAAAATAGCAAAAGAACTTACACCGGAATGAAGAAGAATTCACTTGCCTCCCAAAAATCGAGCGAGGGGTGAGAGAGTAAGGAATGTTCAGAGATGATGGCGATGACTTGTTTAACCGAATGCCCGACGACGATGGCGAAGCAAGGGTAGCCAGGTGGTACACGATAGATGGAAAGGAACGACCATTAGGTGCGAGAACGCATCGCTTACAGATCGGCCTGACCAAGAAAGGGCAGCGGGCACTCAGTCACGGGTAGATGGGTAGGTAGGCCGAAAGACGGGGAGGAAGAAAGAGAAGGACTGAGGAAGTGGAAGAGGAAGTGGAAAGTGGAAAGATAGCGATGGGATGAGAAGAGTTGGAAGAATAAAGAGAGAGAGAGAGAGAGGCTGAGTACTCAGAGTGGTTTGGTGGAGAGTTATCAGTGTCAGTGGATCAGTGGTAAGAGGTAAATGGAGAAGGCTCAAGTTGGCGGCGGCGGCGGACTCGAGCGAGAGTTTCCCGTTCGGTGTCGAGTCCTGGAAGATTGTTGTTGGGGGAGTGTGGTGGTAGTGGCAGTGGTGGTGGTGGTGGTGGTGTGTTTGGTGGGTGTGTGGTGTGGGTAATAGGTACTGGGCAAGGGTAAAGGTATGAGTAGGTATGACAGTCAGGACAGTCAGGACACCAACCCAGCCAAGACCTGGACTAGAGTGGAATAAAAATAGGAGGAATCGTAAACCGATCGGAAAGCCCCTGGTTTACGGATCGTCCGGGGAGGGCAAATCAGTCAAAATAAGATATATAGGTCAAGAGACAGGTCAAATCGGATCCCAGGCCAGCTCGAATATAAGATGATCGTTTCAATGTGACCCGTTTGAGAGGGTTTGGTTTGGGAAAAAAGGGAGATCCTTTTGGGTCTTTTTTTTTTTGCTTCTTCCTTCTTTCTTTCTTTCTTTCTTTCTTTCTTTCTTCCCTCTTCTGTTTAGTTAAAAAGGGACGCCCGATTATATTGGCAGGAGAACCCAGACCCACAACAGATTTGAGGTCTACTAGGCGAGGATGTACAGGCACCAGGACCACGAAACTCGGTGGTTCGCTAGCTCTCGGGAAAGGTATGCGGGGAAGATCCCAAAGGAAGGTTGGAAAGAAGACGAGTGATAGTTGAGGAAGGATGGATGGTAGGATCGGATAGAAGAAGCAGGGTAGATACGATTATTCACAGGAGGGGTGGAATGGAGGAAGTGGAAGGAAGATGAGGATGAGTGAAGAAAGAAAGCAAGAGAGGATAGATGATGAGCAATAGGAAGGGGGGAAGAGGGTAAGAGGAGGCTGATCAATCCGAAACTCAAGACCCAGTCGAGAAACAAGACAAGCCAGCAGAGACGGACGGCAGAGGGACGGGCGATGGGATGCATACAAGTACTGGAGTACGGCGAGTAGCCTGCCTGTAACCCAAGTGAGGATGACGGCAACCCACTCAGGCCAGGCCGAACAGGTGAATGGTGACGACGATAGTACCGGGCGTCAGGACCACCTCACCTGGATCACCTCAGGACCACTTCAGGACCACTTCAGGACCACCTCAGGGCCAGAAGGCACCCTACAGGAGGATAGCAATTGGGAGACTGGGAGGCTTATCGGAAACAACGGTCGACTGCGGCGAAACGAGGGGCAGGAGAGGGGAAAGGGAACCATGGACGGAGAAGAATGGGAAGGGAAGTATACTTTGTGGAGGAGAGAAGAAAGGGTCGTCGCAGTATCCAGCTTACTTACCAGGTATAACTAGTTACTAGTTACCAGGTAAGAAGTGTATACAGACTGATGAATTGTACTGGATGTTGTACGTACAGGACATTCATCATTCATACTATGGAGTATAGGTTCGACATTCAGCAATTTGTTCCGGTCGGATGGGTTGGCACTCATTCTTCAACACTTCATCGGCTGCCACGTTCTATGTGTATGTATGGAATGAATTGGAAAACGCGACGAAGATCACCAAGCCCAGATGATGATGATTTCGTCTACATTAGGTTCAGGCGAATCACTCACCCTTGAGGGGCGAGAGGGAATACGCTACTGGATAGTGAGCTGACGTTTTGATAGGTGAAACCCTCTCTAGCCCCAGGTACTGACGACTTGGTCCGGACCGACCGACACGAATCATCGACTGCATACCCGGTGGAGTTCTCTCCAGCTAGGATGAATTCATGGGCCATTCTTGATCTCTTCTTGGCCTCGTCGAGCCTTGGATGGTTAAGAACATTAGGTAGTGCGAGGGTACTTTGACTGCAACTGGGATTTTCATATCATTCATCATCATCATCATCAGTCCATCATCAGGCTGGCGGGAAAGCATTTCCCTCCATCCCTTCTCCCCTCTCCTTCAATCCGATTGGTTTTTATTCTAGAAAGAGACACAGACAAGAGAGTATGTGTACTATGTTGGGGTCCAGCACGAAGGAAGTCTATCCTTGTAACTGATTGATATCGGGCATACATTGTAGCCAGTTGAGCAGATGGGCGGGAGGTAATACATACATTACGCGCCGGTATGAAACCCGTCTCAGGAACCCAGCGCTTAGCACTACTAATCGCCATGGCAATCCTTGCCCACCCCCACTCCCTCAATTTGAACCACTCAATAGAACTGGATAAGAGTCTGTGATGGGAGGAGATGAGGAACTGGCCGGGTAGTCTTCGGGTGAATGGGATGGGTTTGAAACATTATTTTTTTTCTTTCGGGTTTTCTCATCTTGATCAACGAGACTAGACCTTGGGAAGGAAGAGAGAGACTGACTGACTGGAGAACGAAAGAAAGGAAAAAGAGATCAGTCTCGACTCAAGTTCTTGGTCCCGGCAACCATGGTCCCCCTCTCCATCAAAGGGTCCTCGACTGACCATCCAAGCCCATCATATACGGGCGCTCTCCGTCTTGTTGAGGCACCAGGTACGTTCAGGCGGCGAAGTGGGGCAAGGCAGCGCAGAGGCATCCGATCGGCTGCTATTTCCTTCCCTCAGGGATCGACTCGTAGAGAATTATGGTTGGCATGATTTCATGGATTGGAACCAGCTAGCTTGGATCGCTCGGATTCCAGGGCTGACCGGACAAGTGCTGCCAGAGACCCATGGAACACAACCCTCAGTGACGTTAACCACTTGGAACGAGCCGGGGGTGGCCCCTTTGTCCCCCGTTCCTCGGGTAACTTTCGCCATCAAGACAAAAAGGTGGTAGAACAAGTAGTCGGTTCCCTCCTTCCCATTGATTTTGGGTTTCCGCAGAACCTTGTCGCTTTCGCTACAGAGATCCGAACCTGATCACTGGCAGTGTCTGCCTGGATGCCTGGATGCTAGTATGCTAGTATGCTAGTATTCCAGAGATCAAGGAGGGGAGAGAAAGCTGGCAACCCGTGACACATGAGCAGTTCGGAGAGCTCGGGGAGGTGGGGAGCTGCTGCTTTCGGGAACCGAACCAATCCATTTCTTGACTCCTTGCGGTTCCACTCTCGGCATCAGGGCGATATACTCTGAGTGTTATGTACGTAGTGGTGACACTAGCAGCAAAAGGTATTGTATGTGCCTACTCATGTCCCAACTAAATTTAAGCAAGAAATAGAGGTTGTTGTGAGATGCTGTTGTAGGCTGCAACATAAGTGACAGTGATTGCAATTGAGTAATCCAACCCACAGGCCTGGCAAGGAGCCAATATCTGATACCAGCCCCAAGAGGAGCAGCGAGGGAGAGGGGGCTTCAGCATGGAATACGAACAGAAGGTCACACAGTCACAGAGGAACCTTCAAGATCAGTTCCGGACCTTCCACTCCTGCAGTCAGGTGCAATTTTCCGGGAGCCGAACTCTGCAGTACCTTCAGTACCTTACATGGAAGGGAAACTTTCGCAGGTACTCTGTAGCAGGTTTCAATTCATGACATCTCCATCTCTCTCAAAATGCTACATCTACTATGGTAATGCATGCTACTTAGTACTTCAAAAAAGAAAATCTCTGGAGGGCTAGAACAGCGCCGACCACCAACACAAACGGTACCTTGCCGTGACCTCCAGAATAAAGTCATGACTACTAGGTACTTTCTTCACTCCCCACAATGTTACCTTCCCATGTGCACTCCCCAGATTTCTAACCCGCCCAGCAACAACACAGCGGCGGCGGCGGCGGCAGCAGCAACAACAACAGCTTCGTCGATGTCGTCGTCATTATCATCGTCATCATACCCTCAATTTAAGATTCATGATCGATCAGGTCGTCGGAAAAGCTTGTTCCTGGCCACCAGCGACAGGAGCTGTCAAGCCCCTCCCTTTCACCAATGATCTAGGCATCATTGCCATATCCGGGGACTCCCCTCAAACTTCATACCTTCACGCCTGACCAAGATTTGCTGGTAAGGAGCGACTGGACTGAGGATTATTAAACTCATTGAAAGACCTGGAGCAAACTCAAAAAAGAACCCAGGAGACAATTGCTCCCACTTACTGACCACTCAATATTTTCTTGCTTGCCACCTCCGCCGGGATCGCCCCCGACTGCAAACGGCGCGCGGGAAGCACTGGAAGCTTCTTCCTGTCTATGACATCTCGCGAGAACTGTATCTCAAACGCGCAAGCCTATCTTGCGCCACTTGCTGGGTTATGATGTGCTTCTGTAGTCCCAATGAGCTCGGGTTTGGGGGATAAGTACTGTACTCGGTGAGGGGTGGTGGTCTGGATTGAGGAGAGTCAAGTACAGTACAATGTGCTTCCCCTCCCCCGGTCAGATAACATACGACGCTACGCCGCAGGATCCCGCTTTGCCCTTCTGGCGTGTCGCGAATCGTGCTGCCTGTCACGCTCGCCTGTGAGGGATGGAGGCAATGCAAAGGATGCATTAGTCTTTCCGCTTTGACGTTTTGACTCAGATCGTGGGCGTTGAGGGTAGAATGTCCGTTCGCTTTCCTGGTTAGTCCCGCTCTGTGCTTCGTACGTCTAGACCCTACGACCTGCCCGCTGTTCTCCGCAGGGGAATGGACCGGACCAGAGTAAACCATTGAGCTGCTAAAGCCTAGTATATTTTTTCGGTAGGTCTTCAAAGTATGTCAGGATGATGAAGCAAGGTCTCCTCGATAGGTTTTTTGGTTCAGATTCACCCCCACCAGATAGCTAGGCACTACTGACGTATGTAGAGTACCGTACCTCCAGGGAGTGGCGGCAATGAATGGTTCGATCGACCCCAGGCCCTACCCCGCCAGTCACTAGTACTTTCTCCATATCCAATTGCTTGATCCAGGAGACCTTGTGCGTGTTCTCAAGGCGAATGTGACTAACACATTAGCTCCCGTCCGGTTTCCAATGAGACTGGCGATACGTTGGTAATAACATCTTATCAAGTTGCAGACTACTCAACGGTGCTACGGCGGAGTACGAGTATGAGTAGTAGATATCTATGCCTCACCTCTGGGATCGACCCCTCATGACCCCCCAATTGCCAGACCCTCGATCCATTCAACCTAGTCAAGCTTCCCCAATATCTATTCTGATGCAATGATTCGCTTTAAAACAGACGGCTTGTCATGATAACCACTGCACAGATAGCAGGCTACTATCTATAGAAAGCAGCATCTATAGCAGACCTCGGTATAGACTTGATCCGAGTATATACAGAGGACAACGTTTCATAGAAAGGCATCGGACTTGGGCCGGTATCGCATTTTTCATACAGCTTAAACCATTTCATCTTGTGTTTAACCGCATGGAAGCTCCCCCATTTCTATCATCACCCGCGAATGCTATACGACCTTGGCAGTACCGGAGAGCACCACTTCAACTGCAACCACCACGCTGGACAGTTCACACACACGGGTAGAATAAACAGATTGATTAGCCCCGACTAGCTCCAAGACTAAGTGCACTGCAGGAGCAGGAATCCCCCGTATTTGGATGATCGACGTGGCACTCCCACCACCCAATAAGCGCAAGCTCGTCATCTACGAGATCAATCACGGCGGAAGGGGAGAATCACCACAATATAGTTAAAAGGATAAATAGAATATGCTCATTTACCTCATCTGAGAACAATTGCACAGTGCCAGCCTACCGGTAGTAAGGCTATACTCCGTACCTCAGTGGTAGCTGATCACACATGCCGCCCAAACAGAACAGAAAAACATGTGCAGTGCAGAACTAAACTTCCCACTGCAGATTTGACGACCGAATCAAAATCCTGTTGCCCCTCCCACCAAGCAACTTAGAGAGGTGGAAGTAGACACAACGCACACATCACCTCCTCCACACACCACACCCACACACACTGCCAGACACGCACACACGCGGGCGCCCCTCCGCCACTGAGGGGCAGAAGCTCAATCAGGTTTTCCCCAATACCCTTTTGCCCCTTTTGCCAAGAGGATCCTGGATTTCGATTGTGGTTGGCGTGGTGGTTCTACCCAGGAAGAGGGGGAGGGACAATCGGACAGCTGAGGGGGTGCCCGCTCCGTCGGGTTACAAAGCAACTAGCTAGTAACTTAAGAAGAAGAGAAGAATTAACTATTGTGATGAGATGGATTATTTCCACCATGTTGCTCTTCCTTCCCTTCCTGCGCGTCCTCCTGACTTGATGGCATAATCAAGTTGTTTCAGATTGAGCAGGGATTGCCAATGCATCAACCTGTATCTCTCCGCCTCACCTTCTAGATTACCTATCCTCTTTCTGCCACCCATCGGCCGAGAACGGCGATTCTCGTTTTCCTTCCCCTCCTTCAAGGGACCAGAGGGACAAGGCAGAAGTTCTTATCGCATGGACGGGGGGAACTACAGAGGGGGGGTAAGTAAATTGAGAAAGCGGGGTTTGTGAATTGACCACCACTCGACTACCAGTTGATCTATACTTCTGTTCTTTATCCCCTCCCGTTTCTTTTGTTTGAGTCTAAGGCTTGAGGCGCGTGCACTGGCAGGCATCCTCTTGCGTTTCCCAATTGTTCAGGTCTACGGTACCAGTAAGTTCTACAGTAAGCCTACCTAGTAACGTTAGGGGACATGATAACCTACCATAGATAAGGCCCCCCCCTCCTCCCCCTCACTATCTGGTCCCCCTCCCTCCCTGTGTGACATAAGCTCCCCGGGTTCCCCTTCCCCCTGCCCCCTTCCTCCCTCAAACAAACAAAAAGCTCGGAGTACAAAGCAGGTACCTGCGTTGCGCTTGAAATGCTTGTATTTATGTACCTGGTGATATTAGTCAGGCTCCCACCTTCTCTCCCTCGGAGATTCTGCACTGTGTATACATCTTCCCAGTTTGATTCACTTCTCGTCTATCTAATCTACTGCACTGTACCCATTCACACAGTTCTCCGAATGTAATGAAAACCGTAAAAAACAACTAAGATCCACAAACAGGCACAGTGAGTGATCCGATTGCGTCCACGCTTACACTTACACTTACGTAGTCCTAACATATGCCGTAATTCAAAGCAGAGATCTTTTAATCCGATCATAATCAACAAACAATGGGGCCGGGTCCCGCTTTTTTTTTTTTTTTTTGGTTAAGGTCATCGTTATGCTGACGTCTTGCATTTACTGCACTGCCCGTTTGGCTGGTACTTCGCGCCTGCTTTCTTGGGATCGATTCTACATAGTATGTACAGTATTCATACTAACTTGGAACTCGCTACAGGAATTTTCCAGACAACCAGGAGAAACGTATCCTTGCTTGATCGGAATTCTCAGTTAGCTTGCATGAGATTGTATAAGAAGGAGGGAGGGAAGCTCGATATAGCTAACGAACCGATTCGCCTGTCATCTTGAACAAGCCACGCACACGCACACGCACACGCCATCCTCAAGCCCTTTCCCTTTTTACCTGTTGCCTGTTGCCCTACTATGAGTCTTGGATCTACTCATGTACATGGTATGGTAAGATGTATGAGTATGGGCTTGAGGCTGAGTAAGCACCCTGCATGACGCCGCCTCTGGACGATATGTGGCAAATCGTAGATATACCATGTACTGTAACGAGCACAGATACTCATACATACATGCACCAAGAACGAAGCGAAGAATAAGGCTTACGCTTACACTTACGCTTACGCCTCCCGATGCTAGCCGCGACAGAACTCCTTCTGGAAATTTCATTCCAAACTGGAGTTTGTCCAAAACATTACCTGAACCCGGGAGAGAGAGGGACACGCATACTTCAAATGAAGAAGCCGTCAGCTGATATGCACCGAACAGGGCGGGTGGGGTCTGGATTGAAACTCGATGCGTTGTACCTGAGCTGGAGATGATCCCTGCGTATTTTCACATGCTTTGTGCGTTTGCTTGCTCTTGTTTTTTTTCTTGCTTGATGTGGTGGTGTGTACACCACAAACTCGGTACAGCGGGCATGATTCATTCCTTGGATTAAATGGTTGTATAATACATAGTTTCAAATGTACATAACGTTGTTCTTTCCGGCGGTTACCAATTTCCACAAGATGCTATTGTCCGCCGGTTTCTATTTCAATATATGGATAACAGAGAAATGAAGACCTTCGTCCTACACCGTCTATCTTGCTTCATTTATCCAAGACACTGGCAATCGAACTGACCATAACCGCTGCCTCCCGTTCCCAATTCTTCCCCGTCGCCGGCTCGCCACCTAGTCGCTTTTCGGTCCCCAACACAGAAGTGGGCAGCTGGGAGCCCCGCAGAACACATTCCTTGACTTCCTTCTTGATGCGATCGCGATTGGAGCGCAAGGTCCGCGCCGACACGCCCCCACGGTTGACGATCTCCTGTACCCGTGCCGTGAGGTACGACGCCAGGGATCGCCAGAAATATGAGGGGAGGGAAGATGTGTCGAGAGAAGTGAGCAGCGGCTGAAGCAGGTTGTTCTTATTGCTGCTGGACTGGGGCTGTGCTTCACTCTGAGCTCCGCCGCGGTTGGTAAGGGTAGCCACCGGCTGGGCAGAAGGGAAGAGTGGATGTGGCGGTGGGCGAAGATGGTTGAGCACGGCCTCCAGAGCGAAGATATCCTGGCATCGCGCGGACAGGTCGGCAAGCGTCCGCTCGAGGGTCGGTAGCATCGACAGTGACCGCGTGAGGTTGCTCACGGAGGTGGAGATGGCCGTATGCATGTACCCCTGCAGGGTAGAGAGGAGAAGCTCGGGGACGAAGTCCGCCGCGGTGTTCAACGTCTTGGGCACCGGCGACAGTAGATACAGGATGTTGACGGCTGACACCAGACGGGCCCTGGCATCGCGCGCCTGCCTGTAGCCCGACTGCGTCTGGGAGCTCGCGCCGCCGGAGATGTTCGACATGGAGAATCGCGTAATGGCCTGCTGTGCCCGTGCCTTGACCATGTTCTCGGCCGGCAGGACGAGCTCTGCTCGCAGTGTCCGGACGACCTTGACTCGGTCAAGCCCGTAGCCTTCCTCGCCCTGGCCGGTCTCGGAGAGCATACGCCGTAAACTGACAATGGTGGAGGCGGCGCGCTCCAGCGTGCGGTAATCGTCCCGGCCGGTGACGGGTGACGTCGTCCCTTCAATGCCACCAATCTCTGCCAGCTGGCTTTCCAGCTGTCTGCCGAGAGACAGGCAGCGCGCCACGGCTCGTGCGAGTCGCACGGTGGCCAGGGACTTCTCGGCCGCCACTCGAGCCTCGTCTGCAGCCTCCCACTTGCTGAAGACCTCCTTCTCGAGGCGCTCATACCCCTGCGTGACGGAGGCGATCTGGTCCTCGGCCTCCTTGAGGATGTGACTGGCTGCATCGGTCTGGTCGCGTGTGTGCGTCAGCAAGGGGAGGGCTGATTTGGTGGTCAGCGCATGGATGTGGGTGTCGATCTCTTGGAGATCGAAGAGTACCCGCGAAAGCGGGGTAGACAGATCCAGCGGTGTGTCTGTCGCATTGTTGGTGGCTACAACAAGGGAGTTGGCGAACGAGGCGGGTGAAAAGTCCGGGTCTAGAAAGGCCTCATAATCTATGTACGATGGTTCCGCATCCGCCATAGTGGGTGTCGCTTTGACTCACTCTCTCTTCCACGGGGCCGGTGCTCAATAAGAGAATAGAGAGCTCAAGAATGGAAGGGGTATCAGAAGAAAGAAAATGGACTAGAGTGGAGGAACGAAACTCAAAAGAAGCTTGGGTATCACCGTATCAAACAAAGCAGAAGGAACACAGATTCACGGCACGGGCTTCCTGGGAACTCGGTAGAGCATGGGGTAAACAAAGCTAGACGTAGTCAACTCTTCCATGTGATGGTCTCAGTAACAGTCATCATCAGCTCAATTGCGAGGGGGGGGTGATCGAACCAGCAACCAGAGGAGACTTGGATGGATGCTGTATTCATGCCATGTGTCGGCCGGGATGGAGGATGGATGGAGTTGACCAGAACTCGCTTGGTGGATTAGTCAGCCAGCATAAAACCACTTCTATGCATCCATGAAGATGTATACATCGGCCAGCTCAAAGGTGCATTTCGAAGGGCAGCTTTGATCGACCAAAGAACATGGGGAGTTTCTCCGGCGAGTATTTCATCACTCCGTACTATAACTACATTACCTCTTATAGAGCGGGATATTATCTATCGATACATCCGCTCAGTCATGGTCTGTCAGCATACACTTCCAAGCATTGAGCTAAGCACCATACATTAGGCAACTGTAATGGCCCCTAGTCTGTGGACTACTATGCAGGACTGACTATACGGGGAGCTTCATATCTAGAGACGGGATGACAGCAATCTCGGCGTGTGAGACCTACGCATGAGTTCATTGCGTGTTCATAACATTCGGTTTCAATATCAACAACTAATCGAACTACTCTACCGTTTTACTCTGGAATCTAAAACCAATTCACCCTTGCATAGCCTATTGGCTCGACAATAATGCCGATAGTACTTTCTGAGCTCGAAGTACTTCGTTGGTTGTCTTTGCCAGATCTCCTCCTCGCCGTCTCCTGAGCAGTAGTCACGACTACAGAGAGACAAAATAAGCTCCCATGCCTAGAACCGCTGACAGCGAGCCCCTCAACCATCGAGAGCAATTTCACCCACGCTGCACCTTCCTCAAGATTCCCGAGACCCGAGGCATCATACTCCACTTCTCCCCCTCCGACCGCAGCTTCACAACCTCCCAATCCGCCGACTTGAACAGGATATCGGCTATCGGGCGATCCAAACGACACCCATCCAACGCCACGGGCCACACCAGATTCCAGACCTCTATATTCTCCATGTCAGCTCTTTCCTGCCTCCCACAATACTCTATACGTAATCACACAGGGGAAACGTACTCTGCACGACCCAGGTAACCCAATCCTCACTCGCCCCGTGCTCCCAGACGACCAACTCGCCGCCGGGCTTCAGCAACCGCCAGAGCTGGGCGACCACCTCCTCCGGGTGCTCGACGGAGCACAGCACCCCGAAGCTAGTCACGCAGTCGACGCTCTCCGCGACAAGCCCGTGCCTCTCGAGGGCCGCGCCGTCCATAACATCGCAGAACACTGGCACATATAGGGTGTCCAGCTGCAGCGCCTCGATCCGGGTGATCAGCGCATCGCGGAACGCCGCGTTGGGCTCCACGCCGTAGATGGCGGTGATCTGGTCGGTCTTGTACCGGTGCAGCTGGTTGCCTGATCCGGGGCCGAGCTCGAGGACGGTCCCGTGGGCGGCGGCCGCGAGCGCGGGCAGGGAGGTTGTGTCCTCGAAGGCGATGAAGTGCGGTGCTGTTTTTGTCTTCTGTTAGTTGTATGCCCCCGTGCCATTGGGGGGACCTGAATCACGGCCTTGACGTACCAACTTCCGTGAACCACTGCGCGAACGCGCGGCGCTGGACTGAGGTCCCCGGCTCATGGTCGGTGGATCTGTAGACCGTCCATATGGCTGGACGGTTGTCAGTATACTTTTTGATCCTATGAATTAGAAAATGGGACTGGACCTTACACTTGAAGGCACTGATCAGTGGGCCGTACTTGTCGAAGTAGCTGCGAAGGCGAATTTTCAGGTCGAACCCCATTGTAAGCCAACTTGTGTGGGGGGATTAGGGGGGGGTCTTATCTTTTGGTGTCCTGTACTAACCGGGGTTGCAGGACACGGGCTTTATATATGCGGGCAAGCGAGACGGAGCTAAGCAGGATATGGTGTCATGCTGTTCGAATCCTTCTAACTCCAATTATATCCCGCACCTCCCGGCACATGTTGATTCTTATGCTTGCTTATCTGCATGGTTCTGTTCGGTGCTACTATATTTGCAGCGGCTTGGTTGCGTCTATTGCTGGCCGTCCAGCTGCTTGGCGATTGTGTGTCCTATGCACGAGATTGGTATCTCTGTTAGGTGTCTGTTTGTCTATCTTGTTCTTAAAATCTGTTGTGTTTACTCTTTTCAGTGGGCCTGTTTCGTATCCCATCTCCCATCCAGATCAATCAGATATATATGCTGAAGCATTCAGAACACACCAAGAAACCAATATTGCAACCCGGTCGATTGAAAGGGCAAGAATTGATTCTTATATACGTAGAATGTTGTCAACTACACCAGACGCATCTACTAGGAAGTTGACGGTAGCTAAACCTCTAACTGGCCATGCTTGTTCAAGACTAGAGCCAATTATCAGAAGCTCCTATATCCCGCCTCGCTTACAACAGCACTTGCTGCTAAAGAGGGTGATGTACAAATTATGCAAAGCCCTAACATCAATCAAGGCAAGATGGCCGAGTTGGTCTAAGGCGTCAGGTTAAGGTTACCTTAACACAACAGCTTCACAGCTTCCTGATCATCGTTTGATGGCGTGGGTTCGAATCCCACTCTTGTCATTACTTTTTGCATCTGTTCGCATGCATCCCTATGGCTGGGTAGTGGGGAGTACCGCCTGCCCCGCACACTCCGCAGATAGAGATAGATAAGCACACTACTACACCAACTCTTCTGCAACCTCATGTGAGCAGTCCTTTTTGGCTTTTCAGCATAGATGTGAGTACTGTTCTTGCCTCTGACAAAAGTAGACTTCCTACCACCAATCAAGAACTCCAAATGGCTTCGTAACTCCGACAATGAATTTGATCCCTCTTCAGATTCCTGAAATCGCAACATACTCGACGTATATACTCGGTTACCACTGCACCAGGCAGACACCCCCCACGAGAGCAGCACCCCTACTGTAGAACTCTCCCATTGGTCTCCTCAACAATCAGCTCAAACTCTGGCTGGAACTCCGTGTAGAAGTTGTGCTATACATCAAATCACAATCAGCGGCATTTTCTTGACAGAGGAGTGACGTAGAGGAAATTCTCACCGCGCCCTGCACAGCATCAGCCGTATACTTCGCCACCTCATCGGAGATGATCTTCTTTTGGATCCCGTTCGCAGCAGCCGCATCCGCCAACAGCTGCGAGTAACAGGCATTGTCCAAGCTCGAAAAGAGGAAAGCCGCCTCATCGACAGTCCGACCCACGGTCAGAAGACTAGATGCTGACATGTTAGCCTGGCTTCTGGTCGAGGCCCTCACCGGTTTGCGTAACGGTCGGTACAGATGCTCTCAGAGAGAAAGAGAGAGCGACGCACCCGTGATTCTGCAAAATACACGCCAAATTCTCCTTCCCCAGCGCCTCAGCAATCTGCCGTCCCTCGTCCTGGGCAAGGGCAATGCCGCCATGATCATCGTATACAGAGAGTCGGCCGTAGAAGTTGCATGCATCTGATTTGTGTAGTTCTCATCATTAGCATTGAGTCACCAAGAGCAAAGACAAGAAAGCAAGCAAGAAAGAAACGAACCCTGCGTCAACATCTCCACCGGCTTCCCGAACGCACTCCACGTCTTCCCATACACGGAATGCGTATGCGCCGCGGCGATCACGTCCGGCCGCGCCTTGTGGATCTCTGAGTGAATCATGAACCCGGCCTCGTTGATGGGCAGCTGGGCGCCGCCCTCGGTGACATAGCCGTCCGCGTCCACCAACACCAGATCCGAAGCCTTGATGGACGAGAAGTGTTTGGCGAAGGGGTTCATCCAGAAGTGGTCCTTTAGGATGGGATCTAAGTATTCGATATGAGTGGTTAGGTTTATGAGGTCGCACGATGGATTCAGCTTTCAGAAAAGCTTTTATATACGGGCAAAGGGGGAAAGGGAAAGACACCTCGCATAGAGATATGGCCCGACACTCCATCGCCGTAGCCCTTCTTGCCAAAGTATCGAAAGGCAGCGGCCATGTGCTCCTTCATCCACTGCCGCTGGGCATAGACATCGGTGAACGTGGGGATCCCTCGCAGCTTGAGGGTGCCACTACGCGTGCCCCGCGCCAGGGCCTGGAAGGCCTTATCGCTAGCGGCATCGCCGGGGTGGAAGTTGTTGTGATTGATGGCGGCGGGGCCGGCAACAACGGGGAGCGTGCGTTGTTCCGCCGGCGGGGCTTGAGTGATTGTCGTGGACATTCTGGGTCAAATTGTGGGAATTAGGAAGTAGGGATGAGCTATGAGGAAGAGTATGACAATTGTCAGGCCTGAACGAGGGGTATATGATGGTTTTATTACCTTTTGACTTGGACTTACTCCATATCGTCAAGTAGGCAAGTGACTTCGGCCCCGCTGGATGAGATCGGGTTATCAGCTTATCTCCGGCACTTCAGATAGGCTCGTCTCGCCGATGCGCCTTCCACGAACAAATCACTTACTCTTTTGGTTGGCAGCGTTGAACTTAATACTTGCCTAATTGAACCCCCCAGCTAGACAACGTGACGATAAGAGAGCTGAGGTAAATTCGACCACCCGCTCCATGATAAGTATTCATCCGTGCCTCTTTATACTGGGCATACTGGGCAACTTTCTAGCATTTCCCGACCCGTATCTCTGGGTAATAAGAGTATATAAACCATATTACCCGCAAATATGCTATAAACTGTAACCAGACTGAGGGCTCCAGGTCATGAAGAAGTAAACATATATAACACAGAGAGAAGGAAAAATAAAACGAGAGAAAAAAAATACCACCACAGCAACGCCATCTATACAGGTACCAGCCAGCCAGGGTATACATGAAGAAAAGAAGAAAGGACAACTGTGCCGGGAAAATCGCTCAATGTTACATTGACAATCATATGCACCTCTCTCCCCACACTCATCAGAAAAGCATGGAAAGGCAACCGGATCGTCTCGAGGCTACACAGCCTGATCACCCGTGCCCTTCAACAGGCTCATCTCATATTCATCTCCCCCGTCTGGAAGGTTGCGGCCCCGTCCACGACCCCGCGACAGGGAGAAGGACTCGCCAGCACCATCGGCCTGAGGCTGAGACGAGCCTCCCGCCGCACGCCCCGTGTTGTTACTGCCGGACATGCCCCCGAAGCTGATCGGTTGCAGTTCCCGCCACCGACACGCCCAGATCCCCAAAAACGTCATGAGGGCGGCACTGGCGCATTGTAGGCCCCACCAGAGCCAGTTCGAGGGCACGGAGCGAGTGTAGAAGACGGTGATGATTAGGTGCAAGAAGTGTATCGTGAGCGCAAAGTCGGGGATGAGTTTCGAGCGCGACACGAGAAGTAGAAGATAGATCACCCTGAGCGTGAGCGAGCAACCGTTAGCAACTCCCATAATCTCTACCCAGAAGCAATGGGGATGGATGGGGGGTCCCGGGCTTACCCTATCCCACTGTTCAACATCCATACCAACCCTAGCATCCACCCTACAGTGGTATCTCCTCTCAAGGCATTCCAGTTCAGAACGAGGTCGAACGAAAACGGAGTACCGTAGACAATCGTGGTAAATAGTATCAGAGCTGTCGCAGATACGTAGTAGGCACTTTGAAGGAGGGCGATCTTTCGCACGATCTTCAAAGGTGGGAGGTCAGTCCGAGCCCCCGCAGGAGGCGGACGTCGGCGCGGGGGCATGAATTGCAGATGTTCTTATGGAGCTTGCTGTAAAGGAAATGTTCCGTCGAGTCTCCCTGCACCGAGTGTTTGCGCGAAAGACTGGTGAGAGGCTCAATGCGGTTCGGTGTGCTGTCCGCCGGGACTTGTGAATGTGCCGTGGGTTTCGCCCGTCGTGGAAGATTGCCCACCTGCCTTATATACAGGTTATATCGAAGGGAAAGCGAGTAGTAGAGTTTGCGCCCTGCAGCAGCTCGTATGGCGACAACAAAGTCTAGAGGAAATGTCGCCAGGTGGCTGGAAAATGGGAGGTTTGTTTGTGAGGATGAAAGGTGGTGGACGGGATAGGCTAGCGCCACATGACCCGGCCGTCATTGCGGAGCGGAGCGGGCAGTGCGAATATCCTACACGGCGCCGCCGCCCCATACGAACTTGCTCAAGGCGTCTCCAATTCTGCATTTCGCACGGTCATCACATCTCAGTTCCAGCTTCCTAGAAGCTTCCTCTCGAATTTCCACCTCTCACTATCAAAATACTGCGCAATGGGCTGGCTTCCCTGGTCTTCCGATTCCTCCTCCAACGCCGCCTCCGACGGCGGCCGCATAGCCCCCGATCGATCCTCCCGGCAACGGTGCTACGAAGGTCGCGACCTGTTCTTCTCATGTCTGGATAGGAACGATATCTTGGATGCTGTGAAGAATGACAAGGAAGCGCAGCGGAAATGTGGAAAGGAACTTGCACAGTTTGAGACTGCTTGCTCGAGAGCTTGGGTGCGTTGCGCCTAAACCCTCCCACACCATCACGGACTCCATCCTCTTCTTCCCTGGTTCAAACCGATCGGTCACCCTGGCTCTGCAGGACCAAATCAAGACTGACTGGGATGTCGAACAGGTTAAATACTTCAAGGAAAAGCGCGTCATGGAATACAATCGGGACAAGACAATCGAGCGTATCAAGAAGGAAGACGCAGCTAAGGTTGAGGATCTGAAATCACAGGGTTGGACTGCGCGGTAGAATGGGGTCATCTTAGTGACAATCCCCCCAAGGAAAAACGTATCGGGTGATAGAACGGTGCTATCAGCCCGAGAAGATCTCAAACTGTACTATATCGACTTTCCGCCCACCGATGTATAATGACTTCCAAATGAGGCTTTCGGCTAATTCCTTACTTTCTGTCACAATATTTACATGCTCTCCACTTTGCTTCCAGGGACACCAATTCATTAGCATTACCGTGTGCTTGCATTCCTCTAGCGAGATTGGATAAGAGACGCTCAGTATGGTGTACGAGATCATAATAAGAAATAGATACAGATGACCTTTTGTAATACACCACGCTCTCCCCAATGCCTGACCAATTTTCTGGAAAAAAGAAATTCAACCATTGCACTCCTGTAACAGTTGCTCGCTGATTCGACTGATGCGAAAGAAAGAGAAATCCCAACAACCGAGCCATGATAATATATCCACAAGTAAAATTCCATATCCGATTCTCGACAGATCAATCAATCAACGCCCGACTTCCTGAGACGTCGCCAAAGACCGCAGGTCAGAGAGAATAGAAAGAAGAAAAGAAAAAAAAAAAAAAAAACAAATAAGCGAGGTGAGGAAGGTAGTCGAAGAGAAAGCATGCATCACTGCTTCCATTTACCCAGTTGATGCATGATGTTCTGTACTTGGTGGCCAACAGCAGCCTGGTTCTGCGACTGTTGACCTCCCAGACCTTTAGCAAGTAATGAGATCAAGTTAGGATCCGAGACCACTGGAGCGTTGGGTGTCTGTAAAGGAAAGGGCTGCGGGGCTAGCGGCTGCTGCGGATTTGCCGCGATGGGCTGTCGGGTAGCGGCATTCAGAAGACTAGCAAGATCCGCGGTAGTATGCGGAGTGGCGGCAGCAGGGGCAGAAGCAGCATGGGGAAACGGCTGCTGCGCGCCGGGGGCAGTTGACGGTCGCTGCTGTTGCTGTTGGAGCACTCCCAAAAGCGATTGAAGAGTAGGTCCATCGAGAGATGTAATCAGATTCGCGATATTTGGCTGAGTTGGTACACTAGGCAAAGGGGCCTGAGGCACCGATGCAGCCGGAGCAGGGAGAGGAACACCAAACGCCGGGTTTGGTGTGAATGGATGGGTCCCGCCACGTTGCACGGATTGTGCATGGAACACGATCTCAGCGGCGATGCTAGGTTCGACATCGGGGTATTCTGACGTCATGTTAGATGACACACAAGTTCCTCGTGAGAAAGACAACCGGCACGACATACCGTTTGACCGAACATTGTCCGGACCCCCACTTCGATCAAACACCTGCAGCGGGATCTTTCTTGAGAACTGGCTTGGTCGTGATAGTCTAACTATAGCAAGGACACCCTCCTGGATCTGGCGTTGAACCGCAGCGCTGAGCGGGATCCTTGGTCCAAGTACTAGAATATCGACCCGAAGCCCCCGGTTGCGGAACGAGTTCTCAACGTGGAACAAGAAGTTTCTGGACTTTGGCGTTAGCAGAGCCGTTCTACTAGGAGACATGCACAAAGGCAGGACAAGTTTGACTTACCGATCAACTTCCTCAAGAACTAGGAGCTGCACTTCTGGGACATCCCTTGGAGCTCGTCGGGGAACCGGTATGTCTGTCTCTGATTCATACGCTCCACGTGCCCGCGGACTGGGGCTGCGGTACCTTCTATCCCTGGCATATGGAGATCGGGAACGCCGCCGCTCACGTCGGTCATAACGCTCAGGGGTCCGATCCCGGGACCTGTACCCATCCCTGCCGCGAAAAGCACGAGGTGAAGGTGACCGAGGAGGACGGTAGTCATCGCGTCGCCGATGGGTCGGTTCGTCCCTGAAGTCGCTGAAAGGCACTCTACCGGAATCATATGGTCGGTCATAACGCTCACCCGGAACTCGCGCGTTGCGGGTACCGGACGAACCGCCTCGACTGTATTCGGGGGACCTTGACCGTCTCGAAGGGGGCGCACGGGGCTGTTCCCCGGAAGCAGTTCCTGGCCTTGTGTTTCTCTGCGGCTTCGAGATTTCAAGATCTAGAAGGGGATCAACATTAGCCTCCAATTCGTCTGTGAGAAGTCTATGAGCTATACTTACGGACTTTCCGTCCTCTGACCACGGCTCCCTGCTCCGAATCCAATGCATTCTTGCAAGCAGAGGAGTCTAGGAACTGAATGAATCCATATGCCTGCTTGATCGAAATCTGAGCGAGCTTGCCGAACTTGTGAAAGATATGGAACAGATCCCGTTTCGTGACGCGTTCTGTAGGCAAATTGCCTGCACACATAGTCGAACGGGACAAATTAGCCGGATGGAAAACGAATACATTTGGGCCGTGCGGAGGAGTACAACTCACCAACAAATAATCTAGAGCCAGGCGGGAAACGATCCCAAAGGCCTTCTGTGACATATATCCTCTCATCGTGAAGAAACTCGTCATATTTCTTTTGTACTTCAGGACCCCAAGGAGTATCTTCATCGGCGTTGCTTTTGGACTGCCGAGTACTTAGCCGTTCCGCACGACCGTTCTTAGTGGCTGAGACCGGAGCGGCGGTGGTGGTAGTAGCGGCAGCAGTGGGAGCAGTGGCAGCAGTGGCGCCAACAGCAGCAGACTCTTGAGGCTCTGTATGCTGGAAGCTCGCCACAGGGGGAGGGGGCAGCGCGCTGACTCCCGCAGAGGTGCCCGGGGCGCCAGCAGCTGCCAATGGCGATACTCCCAGGTTAGACTGGTAATTATTACTTTGTTGGGCGGGATAGGAGGGGGAGGAGGGCTGTGCGGCGGAGGAACTAGGGGGGAGCTGGTGGTAGGAACGGATGTCATCACTAGCATTGTAGTTGGGATGGATAGAGGGTTTGTCTTGGGGAGGCGGGCGCGGGGGAAGTCCCAGGTCGTCCGTTCCGGCTTGGGAGAGCGCAGATGCATCGGCCGTAGATGGGGCGGTTTCTGCAACGGTAGGGGCAGAGAAAGCAGTAGAGGAGGGGGGGAGATTATCGAGGAGGTTTTGGAAATCGACACCATCCTCACCGTTGCTATCAGCGGGTTTGTTCTGGGAGACTAGGCGATCGGACGGGGGAAACGAGGTCGTCCAGCTGGCAATAGCAGGATTTACCTCACTCGCACTGGGGTAATTTTGGGCGGCATGGGAAGAAGAGGGAGGGACATCGGGCATAGGGTGAGCTATGATGGCAGCGGCATCTGATGGAAGCAATGTGGTTAGAGAAGAGTTTGTGGCTGTTGTTCCTAGGATCGTAGAAGTGTACGGATTCGAGGGTGCAGATCGATCTGACGGCAGAGACGCCTGGGAGATAGTAGCCACAGCAGGCATTGTGTGGTTGTTTCGGTTGTTCACCGAACCCTCATCCAGTATGAAAGAGCCAAATTGGAAGCTACCTTGTGTGTGATGCTGATGATGCTGATGATGCTGATGATGTGTATGATGTGTATAAGGCGGCGGCGGCTGTTGCTCCGGGGCTTGTTGCGCGGAGCCGGTCGCATTTCCCCTCATTGCTTCCAACCCAACATAGGGGCCTTGGGATGCATAGGGATTTGATCCATTCTGATGCGCCTGGGAGTTGAGTCCGTGAAGATATTCGGAGGACCTCTCATAAGTCGAAGTGTCGTTGAAGACAGGATCCATTTGATTTTGGAGCACCGGGATTTTGGCCGGCTCCGCGACGTGCAGCGGACGAGGGCTTTCGGGAGTCAAGGTCTTGCCTCGGAAGTGGAGAGCTTCATCTGGGGAATTGGGCGTCATGTAGACCAAGGTCGAGAGGTCGAGTCATCTACAAAAAAAAAGACACGCAGAGAAGGACCAGAAGGACCAGAAGGACCACAGGAGAGATAGGGATTTTGGAAAATCGTCCAAGCTAAGGTGGGGCTATCTTGAAAAAAGAACCGGGCCGTTGGAGCCGGGGCGGTAAAGGAGACGATGCGATGGCAAAAGACGAACGGACGGAGGCGAAGAAATAGGAAAGGGCGTGTGTGTATGTGTAGAGGAAGAGGGAGAGGAAAGAGGGAAAGAAGGAGAGGATCGAAAATGTCAAGGTCGGGTGAATTCCCAAGTAATAATGATCAAAGGGTAAAAAAGCAAGAAAGTACAGTACAAATACAGTTGAGCGGAATCGGAGCAGAGGTAGAGTGGGAGTGAGAGAGGGAGGGAGAGGAAGGGGGAGGGAGGGAGGGAGGGAGAGGGGAAAGAGGGTGGTGGCAGGAAGAGATGGGAGGGAAAGAAACACCACCACCACAACCACCACCACTACCAACACAAGGTCTGCGTAGAATAAGAGGATTCTAGTAATAGAACAAGTAACAGGGATTGACAAAGTGAGGGCGAACAGGTTTGTTCAACCATACCCAAGCACTCAAGAATAAGTAACAGTGATGCTGGAAGGTGTACGGGGTAATGAGCTTGGAGCTTGGAGATAATCCCGAAGGAAGTAAGTTAGGAAGTAGGTACGAAGTGGTACGAAGCAGTAGCAGTATTCTAGGTAGGAAATTGTCTTGAACCTGCCGGAGCAAACTCCTCGAGTAACGTACCCAGTACCTAGTACGTCGTGTAGTATCGGGGAGGAAAGAGGAAAAGGGAAGGAGGAGACGTCGGCCCAGTAAGTGTGTGTACTGTGAGTCTGAGGGAACTGAAGATGTGAGTGAGTAGTGAGTGAGTAGTGAGTGAGTGAGGTCAGGACACAGGCTAAGTCATCATTACGGGAGAATGGTCAAAGTTTGCGCCAGTCAGCTTGATCTCGCAGTATGAATGGCTAGCATTGGCTAGCATTGGCTAGCATTGTCATTAGCGGCGGGTCAAGGCGCGCCTAGATTTTCTTCTGCTGGAACTGCTGGAACTGCTGGAACTGCTGCGACTGCTGCAATTCCCTCCCACCATCTAAGAATAAACGCTAAGTCGACTCCATATCGGTCTGCCACCGAGTCCAGATTCATGGCTCCGATGGGCCGCTTCCGTGTTTATGTCTGGGTTGGGTTAAGCTTACAACAGCTGGACATGTCAAGTGACTACCTGGTTTTTCGTATTGTAGTAGTAGAAGTTGGTAATAGTCCACAATTGTGGCTTGCTAGAGATAATTGTACTTCGTACCTTACCTCATAAATCAGATAGTCTTGCGTAACAACGATGTGAGGTTGAAGAAGAGAAGGACACTGGCGGGAATGACTGGCAGGAACCAAGCAGTAACTTCTCTGCCCGACCGAGCCGACCTTAAATGGAACTCACAAGTTACCATTCTTACCACTAAGGAACGGGCCCTTATGCTCGATCCGTACAGCTACCTCGCTAGAGTCGCTACAGCTAGACTACGTTCTGGAAGATCCTCCTCGTGCTTGTTACTGGTTAGCATCTCATCCTTAATTCAATGTCCCCTCACCCCTCCCTAACTTCCAATTACGTGCATCTGCACCACACACTGCAGCATTTCGGGTTTTCTTTTGACAAGCACGCAGTAGAACGAATCAGAGAATGAACCCGTCACTTTCTGCCATGGCTACCGCGCTCCTTCATAATTCTTCCCGTAGTCTTCTTTGTCCTGTTCGCCGCGGTCCTCTCCTTTCTCATATTGCCAGCCCCACCGTCGCAAAAAGACCCTTTGCGTCCAGACGGTCCGCCGCTATCAGAGATGAACACCAGGTATCGGAAGATGACCTGAGCGCCGCGCGTCAATGGCTAGCTAGCTTCAGCTCCAAAACCATCCCGCGTGACATCAGTGAAGTCTCCTTCAGTCGTTCGGGTGGCCCGGGGGGTCAAAACGTGAACAAGTCTGTTCCCGCCTTGAAAGCCGGTTCATCCCGGTGTTAACTACGAATAAGATATGAAGTACCATCCGACTAACGCATGTGCCTCTATTGGAGATGAACAGGGTCAGCTCGAAGGCTACCTTAAGGGTGTCGCTTGATTCTTTACTGCCACTGGTGCCCCGGATCTTGCATTCCCCGCTGCAAGCTACCCACTATATTGCACCAAGGACTCGCAGTCTGGTTATCCAGTCAGACGAATCTCGCAAGCGGAATGAAAATGTGGAGTCGTGTTACGACAAGCTTCACCAGCTTATCAAGAGAACAGCAATGGATGCTATCCCTGGAGAAACGTCGCAAGAACAAAAAGACCGAGTTCAAAAACTGTATGCAGGCCTGATAACTGCTTGGTATTCACGAGACAAGACACAACTCTCAGCTAACACTAAACAGGCAAAAGGCCGCAAACGAGGCTCGTATCAAATCGAAGAAATTCCTCAGCAGCAAGAAAAGTAGCAGACGAGGCAGTAAAGACGACTAATATAATGCTAACTTTTTCATGACCCCTCCTGCTGCTTGCTAACGCAGTCTGAAAATGGTAGATCCCGTTAAACGCCTGCATATAACTTGACTAATGATGCATAAAATCTAAAATCCCTGGACAACGCGCTCTGCATTGCGGACAGTGGCAGAAATGGCTTTTTGCAGTGAAGGATCCAGGCCTTCGGTCTTCTCGAGTGGTTGCAACCAGCTGATGACCTCCTTGGCCACGGAGGGGTTGTTGCGATGAGCCGCAAGACGGCCAAAAGATGCGCCAAAAGCACGTGGGAACTCGGGCGAAGTGACTTGGACTCCTGCTGTGGGGAGCTTGATATAACATATGTGTGTATGGTGACTGTCGGGCTTCGCTTTCTGCATGGAATCAACCACATGCTGCAGAATCTTGCGCAGACATGGCAGATCGTGATATTCGGCCGCCATATCATAGAAATCATGGCCAAACCTGTCATCGTCGTTGAAATTCTTCATGGCTGTTTCAAAAATGGCGATAGGGATGGCGCCGCTCAGGGCGGGTGTCGAATTAAGGGCTTCAAGCGCCGCTTCATCCACTTCATTCTCATCCTCAGCGCTAGGATTGATATCTTCTCCAGTGATTGTGGGCAGCCTGATCATGTCTGCATCCATGTCATCCAGAGGCTCCTCTTCCTTTCGGGCCTTGGTGGGCTTGTCGAGTCCTAGAATCCGCTGTCGAGCAACAAGTTTGGCAATGTAGAACATCTCGAGTCTTGCATAAGCGAGCCACAATTTCTTCGAGCTTTTGCAAAACCTCAGCCCGCGCTGCATGAAGCTTCGAGACTGGGTCATATCGGCGTGATCTTCCACATTGTATTGTGCGGCATAGATCCACAGATCGACATTAGTAGGATGCAGTCGCAAGGCATCTGTGAGGATATTTGAAAGCTTCTTATAGGACTTTTGCTGTCTGGTATATTCAATGTACTGAGCCCACAAGCCGATATCACCGTGGAATTTCCGTGTTGCACGGTCAAGGATGAAGAAAATCCTCCTCTGCCCGGTATGGCCGGGCATCTTGATACCTAGGCGCTTCACTCTCTTCCGTCGCAAACTATCCAAGTTCATTTCATATTGGGCATATCGTACAAAATCGGACGGGAGGGCACCGCGGGCATTGAGCTTATGCTCGAAATCTGATCTCTTCTTGACAATTGCCGAGATTTCTTCCTACAATCCGATCAACGATTTGCATCAGTTTTTTGCGGCCACGACCGAATGGCTGAGGGCTGGATGAAATAGTACCTTGGAAAAGATCTTCTTCCTCTCGTACTCTTTAAGCTCTGGTACCGACTTCTCCAGATAAAAGCGCGCTTTGTCAGTAGCGTTGGACATGATTGCGATGGCTTAAAGCCCTGTTCGGAGGGTTCAAGAGCAGATCGCAAGTCCTGAGTCCTGTCAGAATAATATGGCAAAAAAAAAGTGGTCGGCATCCCGCACGAGATCTCCGACTATCATGGTCCCTGGCCGCCTGCCTATTTGGCACTAGTATCATTTGCGCGCCCGCGTGGGTGCCGAGCCTCCAATCCGACCGAGGGTCATCCCATTCAATCCATCCATCCCATCTCACCTCAGGGGGGTTTGTTTCTCTTGGACATTGACTTGTCGTTCCATCCCCCGGCCGAATCAGTCTCTCTCTTTTCTTTCTTTCTTTCTTCTTCTCTTTTAAAATTCTTCCGCCACTCGTTATATTACTTTATTCCGAAACTTCTTCAATTCTGCCCTAATTGCTCCATTAACCACCGGAGCTCGAGCCCGGTGTCTCCTGCCCTATCATGGCACCCAGATATAAAGATGGGGATGCCGTCGTGGCTGTTAGTGTCTATCTCAATTCAAGAAAGTTCGCCGTCTAATCGAAAGCCCGACACAGATAAATGGAAAATGGATCTCATGGACTCACACTGCCGTCGCCTACACGGCCTTCTTCAGTGCCCTGGTGGTGGGGATGTCCTTGCATTTCCACAAGATCGTCCAGAACGAACACTATGGTTATCCCGATGAATGGTTTCCTTCCGTCTCAGCGACTATTGGCGATCGATACCCCGAGCGGTCTTTCTTCCAAGTATTCATTGCTATCACTTCCGGACCTAGATTCGCCCTTGTCTTCCTATGGTATCTCCTTACGGCCCGTCCGAACTCCGCTCTCCCCAAGCTGGTTGCTGGTGTCGGATTGTTTCGGACATTCACTTGCGGAGGTTGGACATATGTGACCTCGACTGATGATCACGACTGGCATGACATCTTCATGATCTCATACTTGGTTGCGACTCTGCCTTGGACCCTCGGCTGCCTCGCTTTAAGCCCGAACAACCGCCAGGCTGTCAAGTATCGGAAGATCTTCGCCGGTCTATTTTTTGGCACCCTCGTGCCATTGATCTACTACTTCATTCAACACAAAGTGCACAAGGTCCCCGGAGGTAAGTCTCAAGTGAACCCGCAGCTTGCTCGGCTTGTGCCTAACCTCGCCAAGCCTATACGAAATACGCTTTCTTCGAGTGGTCGCTTATTCTGTTCGACGTGGGATTCGACGCGGTCACTGCGCTTGATTTCGAAGCATTCGAGATTGTTGTAAGGGATGTCAAGGGGGTCAGCAGAGGGTATGTACAGTGGCTTCCAAAATAAATCACGTGGGAGAGGGGAGAGAGAAATGTACAGTTGCCAAAAAAGAAGTCGGTTGTGGTGCGCTTGAAAGACGTGATCTAAGCTCTTTGAGAAAACATCTAGGCAGTTGAAGACCACTGCGGACTCCGTTCTTGAAAAAGAGTGTGTATAGCCTGTTCTCCAACAATTTCAAGGATCATTGCAGTTGACTCGTAGTTAGGAAGGGCAAGCCTGTCGGCAACACCTTTGGCGAGGGTTTCTTCTGGACAGAGGTCATTGATGCTGCTGCGGAAGTTTACAATGGGGTAAACATTTCTTCTGTTGAGTCTCGCTCCGGAAGCTTTGCTAACGACGTGTAGTTCATCTTCTGGACTCTTTGCACTGCCCTGCCCGTCCTCGTCTGGTGTAAGTGACGGTTACAAGGCCCCGAAACGTGCATGGCTAATCGCACTAGACTTCCCTCTCTGGCATATGGGTATCTCCGGATACGAGGCTGCCATCGTCTCATATCTATCACCTATTCTTCTGGCTATTCCGGCTTTGAAATCCGCGGTGGTCAAGAACCCTCGTCTTTTCCATCTTCTTTCGTTGTCTGGACTTCTGGCATACAAGATCCAAGATCCTGCCAACCGGCTCTTCTTGACTTCTTTCAGCGTTGTCTGCAGTTGTATGACATGGGCCGCCACTCTCTACGCTGAGCGTGGAAACACGGCCAGGCTGGAGTCGCGGGTCTTTGCGTGGGGCACCGGTCTGATCATGTCGAGCGTTGCCAAGTTCGCTTGCACCACGAACAACCCGGTCTGGCCGATTATGCATGCGGAGAATGGTGGATGGAACAAGGTTGGACTTCTACTCGCCATTCTGGCTGTTCTGCGATCCTACAGAAGACCTGCGACAAGTGGAGGTGATTACCTGCCATCCAGCGGCAAGAAAGGCTCCTGGCTTCCGGCTGGATTGGGCATCGGAGCGTTGGTCTTCGCCATGCATTACCTTCTTTCGGACTCTAGCACCATGATTGCCTGGGTCTGGGAGGGATATCCTGTGCGCGGGCCTATCGCGGCTCCTCACGGTGCCCTCACCATCTTTGCCATGGGCGCCGGTCTTGTCTATGGTCTCTTCTATCCTGCCGCGGCTGGCAGCTGGACGGCGTACGGACTTGGTTCTCTCGGCGCAGCATTCCTTACTTGCTACAGCCACTGGACTGGATTCTACGGTGCCCTTGTCGTTGCTTTCTACTTGCTCGCAGTAGCCCCGGTCCTCATCTCTTCTGCTGTTCGGCACTCGCCGGCGGCTACCTTTGGACTTGGTTTCTTTGTTTATATGATTCTTGTGCTGTTCCATGTCTGGGTTGTTGCCTACGCCTTCGTTCCTGGTGGATACCTTGTTAGAGAACACACTGACTGGATCATGATCACCACTATGCTGTGTATTGGTGCTGGTGTCTTTTCTGCTGCAGTCTCTAGCACACACAACTCACGGAGCAAGATCGTCAGCCCCAACGGCAAGAGACAACGTTCCTACTTCATCTATGTGCTCGCGGCCCTCCAGCTTCTGTCCATCTCGATTGCATACCTTCGGTTCCCCACAAATGACTACACTCCCTATCACAAGGAAGACAAGGTTGCTACCATGGGGATCTGGACGGTGCACTTCGGCTTGGACAATGACATGTGGGCTTCGGAGAGGCGCATGCGTGATGTGATCCAAGAGCTGGAGCTTGATGTGATCGGGCTGCTGGAGTCCGACAACCAACGTATCATTATGGGCAACCGTGATGTCACGCAGTTCCTGGCAGATGACCTAGGCATGTACGCTGATTTTGGACCTGGTCCCAACAAACACACGTGGGGATCTGCCTTGCTATCTAAATTCCCGATTGTCAACTCTACTCACCACCTCCTTCCCTCCCCTGTTGGTGAGCTTGCTCCTGCCATCCATGCTACTCTCGATATCTATGGGGAGTTGGTCGATGTCGTTGTCTTCCATTCGGGCCAGGAGGAAGACCCCGAAGATCGTCGCCTGCAGTCCGAATATCTGTCCAACCTGATGGGCTCGTCGGACCGTCCCATGGTTCTGTTGAGTTATCTCGTCACGAAGCCGCTTGAGGGCAACTATAACACATATGTTAGCGAGACAAGCGGCATGAAGGACATTGACCCTACCGATTGGGACAGATGGTGCGAATACATTCTCTACAAAAATTTGAAGAGAACAGGCTATGCCCGCGTCAGTCGAGACTCTATCACCGACACAGAAATCCAGGTAAGACCTCCTGACTGGTCAATGTAACTCGTTCCCTGCTAACAGATCCGTGCGCCAGGTCGGCAAATTTGTGATTGGTGAGCCTGAGCCTGAGAGCGAGTTGCGTATTCCCGAGGAGATGGTCCCCAGGGGCCGTCAATTCCCCGCCCTGTTCCGTGGGCAGGGTGTACGTGGCCATCGGTATCATGTGTTTGACGAGCCTAGGTACTGGCAGTAAGCGTGTGTTTGCGGAAGACTATGCATTGGTGTCATAGGAGGTGCGAACCATGCTATATCGTTCCTGAGTATATTCCCATGAGACAAGCATACCAGCAACTAGTGGCTGACAAGTATAGCTTGGTTGCTATGATTATGTATTGTGAATCGAATTGCAAATAATGTACTTTTATCCTTTACTGTAAAGCTTTTTGAATTGGTCACTGTGATCAGCCTGGAGTGCATAGCAAAGGTTGGGGCTCATCTGCAGACTAAACAGTCTGCGACAGCCACCATGAGTGTCTAGAGGATCATGAGCTTGAGCCTGAGCCTGAGGATGTTGAAAATCAACGCAGATCCTCCGTCCAGCTGACCCTCCGGACCCTTTTCTCTGTGATGTTGTATTAGGTACTTGATAATTCAAATGTAACGTAGTTATCAGTGACTCGTTCAGTTCGACTTGGTCTAAACACACGAGATCGCCACCCCCAGCTGGAGGGAAGGAATGTGAGCAAAGATATCGCCAGGGCTGGGGTGACATAATGCATATGACAAAAACGAGGCATGAGGGCTTGGGTGGGCTCTTTGCTGCAATGTCTTTCTGAATTTCCACATGGCGCTGGGAGTGGTCTTCTCCCCATTCCCCCTCTCTTTCCACCCTCGTGAGAGTCCAATCAACTTATGATGAACCGACATTCCAGACGCCGCAGATTCAACGGCGCACTGGGACAGCTGTGGGTGATCCACGAAGCATCCAATTGTGCAATGAGGAATCCTCCGAAGAATGCTGGCCCTCCACCTTTGTTGATCTTCCCCGTTTCCCCCGACCTGACCCTCCGCAGGCGAACGACGAACACACCCGACCAGGCCAGAATAACTACGCTCAGGAGAAGGATTGTTCGTGTGGAATAACCCTTCTAGGGCAAGAATTCCACGAACACAAAAACCGAATACCAAGGATGGACCTGATCTCGAGAGAAAAGAGCCGTGATCAGGGTTACTGGGCAAGGCCATAGCGTGATACGAGAAGGTCAAGGAAAGATTCCTTGACGTTATCAACCTTTTATTTCCTCGCGTGTTTCCCCGCCCCCTCGATACTGAGCAACAATTTCTTGAAAGTGTCTCTGGGACTTGTACGCTTCTCGACGCTGGCTCCAGGAAGGATTACGCGTGTTGAATCCCAGGACTGGATTTTGTCCCTCCTGCTGGTGCTGTCATCAAGGGACAGGACTGGGTATGCATTGGGTTCTGATCAAAGCTTTGTGGCCTCCTGTATTGTGTTCTCACACACGTGCTGCACACACTGACAACTGACATGGGAGAAGAGTTGGGGTAAGTAGCTGGGGATCGATCAAGCTGTTCTACTCTCTATGAGACAGTGTGTGTGACTGACATGGGCAAGCAGATCAAGCCAGCTTTGTGTTTCTCCCACTTCGAAGGAAAGTCAACATTGCTCCAGTTGGTACGCGGAGGATTGACCCGCGAAGTCAACAAAGAAACCTCAGAGTCTAGTGCATTGCACTCATTCTGCTGCCAACCTTGGATAAATCGACCACCGGAAAGTGAAAGACTTCCGTGAACGTTCTTTGTTCCATTTAACCACACTTCCTGCTACCGAGAGGAACTTGCACACGCGCACACCAGCAAAGAAAGGAGCTCAATCAAACGATACATAAGGTATTTTCCTAACTTCAAAGCTGAATTTCTACTTTGAATATCCTTCGATTCTGTTTCTTGGACTCAATTAATCGTATCTCACAGCTACTTTCTGTTGTACGCTTCCTCATCTTATCGTCTGAAGAGATAGATTTTAGATGTGAGTATAAGGTTGATTGCTCGCGCTCAACTTAACCTCGTTTGTTCTGGCTTCTAGTACTGATCCAACATAGAGCCACCATGGCGGGCAGACCGCCGGAACAGACGACGGGAGAATTGCCTCCTGACAGTCCTCTATGGACGTATGATATACCAAATGGCAAGGCTCTCAATTCAGGGCTCCCAAAACTGCCCGGATTGAACGTTGAGATTTTTTTCGGCGTTCAAAATAACCGTCCGCGGTGGTTGATAGTACCTGCACCATGGACGGTACTTCCTAAGGAAAATACCCCAGGTGGAACAGACCTGCAGGAGAAACGTGCTGACCCAAAGAGTCCTAAATTCAATGGCGCCGAAATCTTTTGCTGGGAATTCGATCCTCCTCCCGAGCAGAAGAATGACCGAGAGCTTTATAGACATGCCTATGATGCGCTCCGAGAGTCCCTCCGAAATCCTAGATTTAGGGAAGAAGTGAGAGACTATATTCAGCAACGATTTCCAAACCTCTTGCAAAATAGGGAGGATGTGCTCCCACGGCTTCCTATGCCCCCCGATGGTCGACCATCCCTGAAGAGACAGGAAGCCATTCCAAATACAGCCAGCCCGCAGTACAGTTGGTTCGATCGCCCGATGCTCGTCTCGAAGCCTGGGTCAGCTATATCAGCCGGCAATGCTCTCCCAGGCGCAGATCCTACAACCCCGCCTTATGAAGCAACCTCTCCCTCCTATGGTGAGTACAAATGGATATGGTTCATCGTCATCATCTTGCTCCTGGCAATGTTTCTCTGCCTATTCCTGTATGCATTCAAGATTCTGAGATAGAAGAGTGTGTGTATTTGAGGATGCTTTCAACTTTGACCAACGGCAAACTCCCCTCCTTTCAACCTAAGCTCAAATGTGGTCAAGTATTTCTCTGGTAGTCTAAGTTTCTGGGTTGTCCGATGGTTTTCTTTGCCAGGATTAGCACCGCAAGATTTGCACCGTCCCTGCTCACATTCTTCATGATACATCCCTTGCGTCCCTTGCATTCCTGCCCCCATACTTGCTTGCGTGCTATATACCTCGTAAGAAGCTGATTACTCCGTTTATACACGCAGCGTGGGATGATGATGATCCCGAAGAAACCGCTAATCCCGCTCCGATACCAGGCCCCTCAGATGGGGAGACTGAACCTCACGCCGAGGTGGCTCATGAGGGCGGCCTGAATCCATCACGACCATGTAAGGGCAAATCACAGCAACGGTTCCTTATACCAGCTTTGCGCAAAATGTTTTTATATCTATCTGACTAACCAAACACCGGCAAACTTCTGGCAGCCCCGTTGAGCAACCAAGAAAACATCCCGATATCCAAGCTACCAAGGCCGAAACCCACCACGCAGACTAGCCAGCCAGTCCCAAAAGAGGCTGCAGCAGCTGCAGCACCTCCACCACCCAACCTACCAGATCCAATCCCCACCAACCAAGCCGGCCAGCAAATCTCCAAGGGGGCCGCCCCACCCCCAGCCCCGGAGCAGGAGGGGGAGGGGAAGGGAGAGGGGAAGGAAGCAACCGAAACCACAACCGACAAAACCCAAACCCAAACCAGCAGAAAGACCGCCCCCACGCCGTGGCGCAGCCGCGAGTACACGGACAAGCTGGTCCAGGCAGCGGCCGACACGCTCCTGAAGAATGCCCCGACGTACTGGCCGCCCGGGAGGATCCGGCGCCGGATGAGGATGTGGTCCGGCGTCGAGATCCGCGATCGCACCACGATCGGGCTCGAGGGCCAGATCGACCAGCTGCCACCGTTTCCGGGGAAGTTTGACCCGTCGGCGGACGCGGTGGGGACGACGCTGAAGCGGAAGCGCGGGAGGGCGCCGAAAGCTGCTGCGGCGGCGGCGGATGATGCTTCGAAGCAGGCGGCTCCTGAAGATGGGGATGGGGATGGCGATGGCGATCAGGCCCCGAAACCTGCTGCGAAGCGGACTACGAAGCAGGCTCCGACGCGCGATGTCTTCTCCATTAATACGAGGACCCATGGGAGTTTCTCGAAGACGGCGAGGAAGTGTCGCAGGAGTAAGAGGATTAGTCGCGCGAGTCGGAAAAAGAAGAAGTAGTAGTTGGGGTCAAGTAGTGGCTGGCGGATGTGGTTCGTGAGCGGGGATTGGGCAAGTTTGGCACGGAGGCTCGAGAGGGTCAGTAGCCTGCTAAAGGACGCCAGGTGGTGGTTTGCTGCTATGTTGCAAGTATGTCTTAACTTGTCTGTATCCATAATCGATTTTGCTTGCTATGACTGGGTCTAGCAGTAGTATATAACTTAATTGTTGTGGTACTGTAGGCATCAGGATTGGAAGTCTTGCACCGCATGTAAGTTGTTGGGAGCAAACTGGCAATAGATATCTTGACTTCAGAGTTGTGGAGAATGACGATAACACTTCCTTATACAGAACCTAATATACAATTATGGCATCGGAAGTCAAGTTCCTAAAACTCACAGCTCCAACACTCAGATACCACATCCCCATACCTCCGCAACAGGCCCTCCAGTACCGGGCCTACTGCCTGCGATCCGCCGATGGTCACCTCTAACGACAAAAGCCCTTTGACGAGAACATCCACCCGTTTCTGCCAGACGTTATTATCATCATCATTACCATCCTCATCACCACCACCACCAATAATGCCGGTTTGATAGCCTGAGCCTGAGCCTGAATCTCCAATCCAAAGCTCAATACCGGTCTCGATCGCCAGACGCAAGGCTGTGACCATAAGCGTCGGGGTGATATGATAGGCGGTGAGCGGTAGGTCCGCGCTCAATCCGTTTTGCAGGTTGAAAATGTCGTGGGTGACAGGGTGGGTGAGAGAGCATTCTATCGCCTGGGCAATGGAAATTACGGCGGTCTTTTGGAGAGCGTGGATCTGTGATTCTGCGATAGGGAGTGATAAGAGGGAGTCGTGGTTGAGGGAGGGTTGGTGGAGGATGGCGGTTAGGGTTTGGGCGAAAATCAGGATCCCGAGGTCCCAGAAGGTTAGGACGGATACTGATAGAAAGAGAGGCAGGTTAGGCTGGGTTGATTGATGGGTGGAAGGTCAGGGTAGATAGACCGTAGGGACTGCGGAGTGTGGGTGGTTGGGTACAGGGGACTGTTTCGTGGAGTCCGAAGCTTGGTGACATACATGCGTAGATCTTGGACTCGGTGGAGAGGTGAGCGTAGTTCTCCATGCAGTGAGACATGAAAGGGCGGAGGGTGTAATTGTAGTCGTCTACTGCGGTCATGGTCGACGCTATGATTTCCCATGTTGTGGGATGAAGTGGGTGTTTGTTGTTAGTGGTGCGGTTGGGTGGGACGAGATCCTTAACTTTGATCATCATTCGCCAGATGGCAAAGGCTCTTGCTACAGCAGTGCGATAGATGCGTGGGATACTATCATCGAGATCGCCAGGGTAGATATGGTTGATTGACGGCGGTAGTGTCGAATTATTCTCCGGGGATACTGTGATCGAGTCAGACGAGGTGAGGAGATATTGTGTATGAATGAGTGAAGCTAACATCTCCTTTGAACAAGCAGCTCAGGGAGCTTGCACTGATGATCTGTGAAAAGCGCGGCCCCAATGTCCCGGATATAACCCCCCCAGCGGATGATGTCTAGACTGGAATGTAATAAGGTCCCATAAAGTGATGTGGGGCCTAGTTGACAGCAATACTTCCGGACGAGATCATCCAGACGAGACAGCTTCTGCAACCCGATGTCGAGGAATTCGTGCATCCTGACAGTCGTTTCGTCTGGCCTGCCGTATGCTTGGGAAGGAATGACGATACCATCGAAGAGAAGAATGGCACACACCACCCGAAATGAAAGGACTGGCAAACTACCCTGGATAAGTGACAGTGCCTCCGTCCAGGAGTCATGGAAAGTGTCAGTGAGAACATCACGGCCTGCGTGCTGCCTTAAAGGTGACACCCCCTCCGACGTGGGCAGCCATTGAAGGGAAAACACCCGAAGCACTGCTTTCAGAACCGTATCTGACTGTTTCCGAGCTGCGGTGCTTAGTTTATTGCCGTAGAGGTGACTAAAATGATCCAGGAACCGCACAGCGCCCAGCATAGTCATTCTGGGGTGTCGAATTTCCTGAGTCGCTGACAGCTGAGAGGATAGGTTCTTGTTGGCGCCTCCTAGAGCTAGATATGAGTCCTGATAGGTTCCGAGGTGGTTTCAATTCATGTTTGGACTGAGGGTACAGCTTACCAAATTCCGCTTGCTCTGAAAATCTACTTTCTAGGTAATAGGGATGACCCGATGCAGAAAGGTTGCACTCATAATCTATAAACCTCGACGCAGAGTCCCTTACGATGGCATTGTAGATCGAAGCAAGACACTCGTCGAGCACCGTCGCTTCCAGTTTTGAATTCAAAAGGTGTATTGGACTATTCCTACTCCTGCCCACGAGCATTGACTGTGGTTTGGTTGGTAGAGAATGCTGATCTGCCCGAGAAGATGCCGAAGGAGAAGGTAAAGACGGCTCATGTAGCGCTTCTGTTGTCCTTGGGGAGTCCAGTGATGAGGCCGAGAACGGATCGTATATATCGGTGCTGGTGCTCTGAGACAGCTCAATATCAAGATTCAGCCACGATGTGAAGTCTTCATCGCCAGTGCCAATACTTAATTCGAAATCGTCTCCAAGGCTATTCGTCAGTGTCTCATCCCTTGGATTAAGAACCTGCGACAGGTTAAGGGGCAGTAGCTGTGTGCTAACACTTGCTGCGCCTTTGCGTTTCCTCGGCCGCGAAGAAACAGACTTGATGAAGTCAAAGGTGCAGTGATGGTTCAATCGCTCGCAATTAGTGCATACAGAAGCGGGTTCACCATCAGTAAGGGACAGCAAGACACATCGCCGCTTCGAACGACGGCATGGATCACAGCTTGTGTTCTGGCGACGCCGAGCAGTGGGAGACGGCGGTTTCACCACCCTTGAAACTTGCACGTGGGACATTCGGACAAGAATATCCAATAAGAAGCAGGAGTACTTATGAGCTCATTATTGAGTATGTGAGTCTACCGACATCAGTAGGATGAAGTGAATATAAGGATTCAAGGTTGAAGATACCTGCATCATAGCTATAGATCCAGAAGGCAAGCGACTGTGGACTGCCTGTTCGGGTAAAACCGGCGGCGATTTCTTGCCTCGCTGACTCATAAGCTGGTAGGTCAGCTGACTCTGCCGCTTGCTGACCAACGAGAGCCTATCTCAGCAACTACAACAGACCTGCCGGTTCATCATGGATATGAATTCTACTTTACAGTGTGCATCATTATCAATATCTAGAAGCTACCACATTTCAGATTCATGAGTAAGGATAGACAACGACCAATAAAATAGGCAGTAACCATCACAGAAACAGCTTAGAGATCCTCCCCAGCAGCCCTGCGGACGCAATCCACGATGAACCGTGGATTGCTCAAGAACGGGGAGTGTCCTTCTTGACACCGTTCAACCTGCAGCGCTCCCTCACTTTGGACAATCATCCGCTCTTGAACAGAAAGCGGCAAAGCCCTATCATTCTCGCAGACTATATACGTGCTGGGAATTTCACGATAGGCCGTGTAAGTCACTGGCACGGACAGCGGGCCGACGGGGTACGAGCCTAGCAGATCAAGCGCTTCCTCCACGTCGGCAGGCTCGCATCGATTATAGAAGACCTCGCGCGCTGCTTCCCTGTCCACGATCATTGCTCCATCCTACAAAGCCAAAATATATGGTCAGCCGAATCGGCCACTTTGCGACGACATAACGAGAACAACAAATCATACCTCAGTGAAACGCATTCCACCATGCTTCGCTACGTACTCCTGTCGCTGCCGTTCGAGCTCCTCTTCTTCGGGTGTCTGAGGTTTGATCTGCCCGACGTGGTTCTGACCTTCGGGTAGTGCCATGGCAGCCATATACATCAACCGGAGAACACCACTTTTGAGGTCTTGGCTTTCGCGGGTGCTCTTGCCCAAGCCCTTGACTGCTTCTGACATGGGGATCCCGCCGAATGAATGAGCCACGGTGATCACATCCCGGCCTGCGTCAAGGTAGCCCAGGATGACCTTGCGGATGGCCTCTGCATCGGTGGCCCAGCTGCTGAGGGGAGGGCTGGAGTCCACGGAGGGCAGTGTCACACCTACTGCCTGATAATTGAATTTCGCCAGCCCTTCGACTAGACGCCGATAGTGCTGCGGCCGGTGCCAGGAGCCTGGGACAATAACAATAGCTGGTCTGATCATATCGCTGATGTTGGTGCAGGTGGATGTCAAATGAAGCAGGAAGTGCCAGTATGTTTGCGAGGGAAGGGGGGGTTGATTGGAAAAGATCACAGAGACACTAGGTCATTCCGCAGTGGCTTGATATAGTCTGAGCCATAAAGACGGGAGGTAGAGACGATGAATTTATACTGCATGAAAAGTTTGGCGTGAGAGAGGCACGATTATCGGAGCCGCAACAGCAGATACAATATAATGTCCGAGGTGTGTGCAATGTAGTACTGTACAGTCCTGAGAAATTGTCCCCGCATTAGTTCCCATCGGCTCCGAACTTCTGTAACCAAAGTGTCGGATCCGCATAACCACATTGAATATCGGTTCCGCAGCAAAGTGCCTTTCAACGAATCTTATATTGAGATTCCTGGTCACTAGGATTCCGCTGTAAGGCTACTAGGTAGGTAGCTACTCTTGTTTAGAATACCCCAGACCAACTAGAGGCAGCATGGATCCGTCCTAGAAGGCATGTTCAGAAAGTCCGGATTGACCCGACTAACAACACTTTCAGAATGTCCCTGGTGATTGACGCTAGAATAAGCACGAACTTTTGTCAAATCAAACGATGGAGCATGCCACAGGATCACAGCTATTCCAGTTTCATGTTTTTTTTTATCCACTTGTGATATAGCTTGAGCAGTTGTATAAGTGTTTGGGCTTGCGGGTGGAATAGAGGTTCTGTGTTTCATGGTCTGGATCAAGATTGGTGTGTTTAGTTCAAGTAGAAAAGCGCACTTCAATGCTATTTGACATCATCAATGTTGCCAATGCTCAGGTTACAAGGGAGTTGGAGTCATATTTTGTCCTCCTTATTCTTGCATCAGTAAACCAGTTGGCTGGAAAGAGGGTCTATGCCGCGGCGGACAAAGAAAGGAAAGCCGCAGAAAGCGGTCGATGCAAACAGGACAAAACCGCGACCCGCGATGGCTTCATCGCTCGGCGCTCAATGAAAGCGACAACATCCGACCGGCCCCAGGTCCAGAATCCTGCGCCAGGTGTGTCTAACCCAGCGGATGTATCTGAGCATGCAATTAACTCGCTGTACTTAGACTGTCGCTCTCATTGACCTCTCGTATCGATGACTTGATTGGAGCATCTTGCCGTCCTCGCGACACTACCATCTCACTTATACAGCCGAAGCTCTCCCTAGGGAGCGCGTGACGAAATCCGGTCAAGATGATCACCTTCACTCCTTTGCTCGGTGCTCAGTCATCCGCATCGAAGGCATCGCAGTCGCTATTGGAGCTTGAAGGAGGGATAAAAATCCTTGTGGATGTCGGTTGGGATGACACCTTCAATACCCTTGACCTGCAGGAGCTGGAAAAGTGAGCCAACTTGTTCCTCGGGAGATTCCGAGCTCCCTGATGAAAACAGTCCTTTCTAATCATACCCATCCCGTACAATAGACACGTTCCTACATTATCGTTGATCCTCCTAACCCACGCGACCCCCGCACACATTGGTGCCTTTGCCCACTGCTGCGCGGCCATTCCTTCGTTCACTAAGATCCCCGTCTACGCCACGAGTCCCGTCGTTGCCCTCGGTCGCACGCTTCTTCAAGACCTATATGCATCCTCGCCTCTGGCTGCGACCTTTTTACCCGAAACCTCGATCTCGGACCCCGGAGCATCCACGTCGGCCGCGTCGGCCGCAGCATCCGTCGACGAAAGCGACGAAAGCCCTGAGGCTGCACATGCAGGCCGCATCTTGCTCCAACCCCCTACCGCCGAAGACATTGCGCTCTACTTTTCGCGGATCCATCAATTAAAATACTCGCAACCTCACCAACCGCTCCGCTCTCCTTGGTCCCCGCCCCTGGACGGTCTGACCTTGACTGCTTACAATGCTGGACACACCGTGGGTGGTACGATATGGCATATCCAGCATGGGATGGAATCCGTCGTCTACGCGGTCGACTGGAATCAGGCCCGCGAGAGCGTTGTGGCGGGAGCGGCGTGGTTCGGCGGCTCGGGGGCAAGCGGGACGGAGGTTATCGAGCAGCTGCGCAAGCCAACGGCGCTTATATGTAGCACCCGTGGAGGCGAGAAGTTTGCTCTCCCTGGCGGACGGAAGAAGCGCGACGACCTGCTCCTCGACATGATTCGGAGCACGGTCGCCAAGGGCGGCACGGTTTTGATCCCGACGGATACTAGTGCTCGTGTTCTGGAGCTGGTCTATGCGCTGGAGCACGCCTGGCGCGATGCAGCGGGCTCTGGTCAGGGTGATGATGTGCTGCGGACGGCAGGATTGTATATGGCGGGCAAGAAGGCCAAGACAACCATGAGACTTGCAAGGAGTATGCTGGAATGGATGGATGAGAACATCGTACGCGAATTCGAAGCTGCAGAAGGCGTGGATGCGACAGCGCAGTCGAACAACGACGGTCCGCGGTCCGGAGGACAAAACAAAACGGAAGGCAAAGGGTTGGGGCCGTTCACCTTCAAGCACCTCAAGATCATCGAAAAAAGGAAGCGACTCGAGAAGATCCTCACCGACCAGACCCCCAAGGTAATCCTGGCCTCTGATGTGTCGATGGATTGGGGGTTCGCAAAGGAGTCGCTCCGTCTGGTAGCCGAGGGCACCAACAACCTGCTGCTTCTCACCGAGCCTCTACACAAGGAGAAAGTTTCCAATAATCATCGGGAGAGCCGTCACAAAAAGACTCTTAGCAGCATGATCTGGGAATGGTACGAAGAAAGAAAGGATGGAGTTGCTCTTGAGAAGGCTGCGGACGGCGAGATGCTGGAGCAGGTGCACAGTGGTGGAAGAGAGCTCTCATGGTCTGAGGTGCGCCGTGCGCCTCTCGATGCTGGTGACCAAATGCTTTACCAACAGTACCTCGCTACAAAACGAGAGCTGGAAGATGCCTCTCAGACAGCAGGGCAGGAGAACGCCGACCCTACCGCGGACGTTGATGACCAATCTAGTTCGACATCTGAAGACTCGGAAACCGAGCAGCAGGGAAAGGTGTTGACCCTAGTCACCACCTTAGCTCATGGTAACCGCAACAAACTCGGGCTCAGGGATGAGGATCTTGGTGTCAACATCCTCTTACGACGGAAGAACGTCTACGACTACGATGTCCGAGGCAAAAAGGGCCGCGAGCGGATGTTCCCCTACGTAGCTCCTCGGAGGCGGGGTGACGAGTATGGTGAATTCATCAGACCCGAGGAATATCTTCGGGCGGAAGAGCGCGAAGAAGCTGATATGCAGCAACGTCGGACCGACTCCCAGATGAAATTAGGGCAAAAGCGAAGGTGGGACGAAAGCGGACCGAATGGACGCAGGCTGTCCAGCAGTGGTGGCAAGCGCCACCAAGGACAGGGCGATACCTCGAAGAAGGATATCAGCACAGCGGATGAGATGAGCGTTATGAATGACGGCGAGGGCGCTGATGCTGCTGCCTCTTCCGACGATGAGCCAGACGGTCAGGCTTTCGAAGGGCCGGCCAAGGTATTCTTCGAGAAGGCAAGCCTGACCATCAACGCGCGCCTCGCATTCGTGGACTTCACCGGTCTGCATGACAAGCGCAGCCTGGAGATGCTCATCCCACTGATTCAACCCCGAAAGCTGATCCTGGTCGGAGGCATGAAACAGGAGACGACGGCCCTGGCCGACGAATGTCAGAAGCTCCTTGCAGCCAAGGTCGACGTCGACGTCCCCGCATCCGCGGATTCAGCGGTGATTTTCACCCCGGTCAACGGAGAGACAGTCGACGCCAGCGTTGACACGAATGCTTGGATGGTCAAGCTGAGCAACCACCTGTTCCGACGATTGAAGTGGCAGCATGTACGCAGCCTGGGCGTCGTCACACTAACGGGACAGGTTCGGGGCCCTGAGTCTCTGCCTCAGCCCGCAACACCCGAACAGGATCAGGAGGGCCCGCACAAGAAACAGAAGGTGTTGCTGCAGGAGGAGACGAACCCTGCCACGGATTCTGAAGCCGAGTCGACAAAGCAGCAGCAGCTACCGCCACCACCGACCGACAAATCCGATCTCTACCCCTTGCTTGATGTTCTGCCGGCCAACATGGCGGCGGGAACGCGATCCATGACCCGGCCTCTCCACGTGGGCGACCTCCGTTTGGCGGATCTGCGAAAGCTCATGCAGGGGGCCGGTCACACGGCGGAGTTCAGGGGTGAGGGAACGCTGTTGATCGATGGGATGGTGGCCGTGCGCAAGTCGGCGACGGGCCGGATCGAAATCGAGGCATCGGCGCAGTCAGCAGCGATGGTCCCCGGGCGTAAAGGGGCGGGTAGTTTCCTGGCTGTGAAGCAGAAGATCTACGAGGGATTGGCAGTGGTCTCGGGGAGTTGATTGATATTTCCGGACGGGATGCCACTCTGTACAATTTGATGGATGTGTGTGTATCTGTGCAAGACGAGCTTTGATCTAATCTATCACGAGATTTGGGGAGTGCTCGGACATCTCCGTGTAATTCATGCATGCATGTATTCTAAGCAATATGCATGATTGATTGTTATTGCGGTACTTCAATTTGGGTCTTTTTGACTACGCAACGACTAGTTATATCACGAAGTACTGGTACTGCAATCCCAAGTCACGGAAGTCCCGAGACAGATGACTACCGACACTTGATACTATTCATACCGATCCAGCCCAGCAGCCTTACAACCCCCCTCTCCGTATACTATAACCCGCAACCAGATCCGCAACCCGACCCTCTCTCTCCCCCCCTTTCCTTAATGACCTGTAACCTGCAACCTGCAACCTGCAACCAATATGACTCGTGCTCACACTCTCAATCAACAGTACACGTCACATCGTCCACCACAACTACCGGTACAGCCACAGCCACAGCCGCGACTATTGACCTGCATTCTCGAAGTACGGAATCAGGAATTCCAATCACTCTCCTGAGTACGAAGTAGATCGTTAACACCACATCCATCCAAATCCAAATTAACCCGACCTGTACTCCGTACATACAGTACAAGTTGAATCTATTTCCAGGTGCAGCCCATTCGCATCGCCTCCCCCCTTTCCCCCTTTCCCCTTTCATGAATACAAAGCAAGCCAGGGCACAGCTACCCCTTTTCGCTCTATAACTGGACACGACGGGTCCATTGTCTTGGGGTGAGGTGTTGATCATTGGTTGGGAGTTATTCGATGTTCCAATACCGTTTCTATCTGTGTGAGACTGGCTGTATTTGTTAGCAGGATGTAAGCCAGTAACTGACTGTCGATTGTGGTGAGGTGTGGCTGGGAAAAGAGGCGGTTCTTTGGTGCTGGTTCTTTGTGTGGTTGGGCTAGTGTTTCAGGGGGTTGTTTCATCGGTGAGGGTGTGTTCAGTATCAGGTTGGGTGGGTGCCGGTGACTTGGTGAATACTGCACCGTATACAATATCAGTTGTTTAAGGGTAATTGGGTCGGATAGTTAGATAGTTGGATAATTGATTGGATGACTAGTAATACGTGACTACTGTCTGGAATTAAGGAGTGAACGCCTGAAGTCCGGTACACAAATGAAGTTTGTCCATCCCCCTTCTGGGAAACAAGTTCCAATTATATAATATATTACTATGGGACTCGAAGTAAGCTACTACTCTGACATAGTTGACCTTCGAGGATCCTCGAGAAATGGAAATAAGCAAGGGCGTTCACGACCGGATTCTCAGGAACCCATCACCCTACCGTGTACTGTATACTCTATCTACCGGCCGGGTTCCCAGCACCGCAGACATAGTTCACTGCACTGGGTACATTTCCCAGCAACAACAGTCCAGTCCTACCAGACCATAATCAAACACATCACATGTACAGTACACAACCCGAAAAAGAAGACCATGCACTTTCCCATTAATGGCAGCAACTATGGAAAGCTTGATTCCAGCGGAGACTGGGCGTCGGGGAGGAAACTTGAAACCGCGGCGGTCTCACCTGATGATATGACAGGAACACTTCCTTCTAATCGATCATGCGCGCAGGTATGTGCCACTATCTTCCGCCGTTGGATGAGGTAGTGTACAGATCGACTCTACGCCAAACCAGACCTTTCTCCAGAGACCGTATTAAAACCAGGCTGGAGGTACGAAATACAGAGGGGTTCCCAATCCAAACGGGCAAGCGTTCCGAGAAAAGGCCGGGCATACTGAGGGCTCATGTGAGAGGCTGTAACCATAGTAGGCCGCAGTATGTAGGAGTACTTGTAGTTAGGGTCTTAAGGATCACGCCTCAACCTTTTTCCACGAGTACCAGCAATTGACAAGACAATCTGGTAATTTGCTCCACTGCGACTTCCGATGGGCGATGGGCGATGGTGGTGGTGGTGGTGGTGGTGGCCAGTCGCCATGATTCTACATAAGCAGAATCGGCCCAAGAAAGAGTTGCCACACCACACTGCACCCAAGAACTCGTGCAGTTCATGCTCTTAGGCGAGGCCCCAGAATTTAGCCATACCCCGAACCTTGGAAATGGTGCCAGCCTGACAGTGTCAGGGTTCACACAGTGGAGTCTGTGATTCGTTTCTCGGAAGTTGGCGGGATTGCGATGTTCACGGTGAATTGCCGGGTTCGGGAAAGGAGGAGGAGGGGTTGGAGGGGTTGGACAGTCCATACTGTACACTGTAAACCGTACACTTATGCTGGTTTCTTGAATATCCCTGACTTTTCCAAGAAACTTGATTCAGTCCTCGAATTGATAGACAACGATCAAGTCATCAGCTTGATTAAGATTAAAATAATTGAAACAACAAGTGAGAATAAGTTGCGGTGGCTACGTCAAGAATCAACAACAGCCTTGGGCCACAGACCAGTGACAATGCACTAGACCCTGACTAATCCCCCTCAACAATGGGGCACGCATGACAATGGATCTTGCAATAGAGTCAAGCCCTGATTTGTGGATGGCCATCGGCTGATTGATCAATGAATCTGGGCAAGTCAATCTGTGTGGCCATCATGTGGGCGGCTGTGAGATCCACTGCACTGGTAGAATTCACTGACTGTCCCTCTCTTTCTCTCCCTCTTCCTCCAACAACAGACAAAACCACAGAACCGCTGGACCGCTATCATCACGCGAACAAAGCAAGCAACAACCCCATGGAACTACAGTATCACAGTATCACCATATCCCCCGCATCACACTCCCCAAACCAGCCAAGAACAACAAAGTACTCCGTAGAAAAACCAGCAAGCCAGGCTTACCAATCTGGTGGTGCCAAAGTGGAACCGAGGCTCCTCTTTTGGTCCACCGTCGTCAAAGGGAACCCGAACAATAATGAGGCGGGTGAATTGGCAGCCTAGACTAGGTAGGGCCCGGCCCCCACTTCTTCTGGATCGAATTCGAGTTCTCTTGACGGAACTTGGCTTTTTTCTGGTCGAGGGTCCAGACGCCGCACAGTCCAATTTTCTTTTTCTTTTTCTTTTTCTTCTTTTTCTTTTTCTTCTTTTTCTTTTTGGCAAGGGTTTTTTGGTGCCTCTCCTTCCTTTTTGCCTGTCCCTTTCACCCGCCCGCCGCCGTCGGGTTAGCCCCATCGGGTTCTCGGGGATGGAATCATCCATGATGGATGAGGGATATGGCGTCATACTTGGGATTGGAGTTATTAACTCATATGAATAATTGAGTTCTCTCCAATCCTTGCCAGTGTGCTCGACTGGGACAAGCAGGAGGAGAGGAAGGGGGGTTTGAAGCCCCTCCCCTCCCCCTCCGGGTTTTCTTCCTCTGCCCCGAATACAGTCGATTTTCGTTTATGTTGAGTTGGGAAGGGAAGGGAACCCTACCGTAGTGGTTGGTGATGCTCGTATCGATAATTCTCCCCCCCCCCCCCAATATCAACAACAACACACCGCACAACCTTAATTCACTCCGGCCGGGGGCGACGTTGTCAAAATCGTTAGGCTGGAAGTCTGGCTGCTGTGTGACGAGTACCTGCATAGTACCTGCATCCCATCTCGGAGATGCTAAATGTATTGGCACAGAGTTGTGTATACGTGCCGTGTGACTTGTCCAAAACTTATTGCCCCAAACCAATTCATTGGTTTGGTTATCGATGTGGCTTGGGGATTTTGAGGCAAGAGAGAGAGAGGGAGTTTTCGTGTGTGAATTCTTGCCTAATTGCCTAATGTCCTGTTGTAACGTGTCAGTTTTGTGTTGGAGCCCACACGTCATGAGGAAACAAAAGGATATGAACAAGGACAAGGACAAGCACAAGGGGTCAAATGATTCACACAAAGGGAGAGGAGAGGAGAGGTTAAGGAGGTATTGGTCGGTTTGAGAGATTCTGGTTTGCGCGCTTGTTTTGTCTTGTTTCCCAACATCAATTGAGCCAATTGGTCTTGCGCCGGTTTCAGAGTCAATGAAAATACCGGGGAAGCCAGAGGATACCAATCACTGAGGAAAAAATCAGTAGATCAAGGTCTCCTCATCTTTTTACTGAGTGGGATTAGAATTACTGTGTGTAGAGTCACTAGATTACTGTCAGGGTCAACAAATGGACTGGGTCAACGAAAGCAGTAGTCATTCTTTTGGTCTATCGAGGTCTATCCGTCAATCGTGTGATGTCAAATCACTGCATACATCATAAAAGACATGAGCGTGGCAACAGCAGGCCGATTTCCTTTGGTTCTCTCATAACAAACTGGGGGTGGGAATCAAGGGAAAGTCAAACGAACAAAAAAAAAACCTTATCCCAAAGCCCAGGAGCGTTGTTGAAGTCGAGCTAGCCGACTCAACTCGCTCGCTGTTTTCAGATAGGCAAAGAAGTCAAAAGTGGGGACGATGACCACATGGTTGAGCATGTAGAACAAGCCAAAGAAGGTGGGGAAAAAAGGAGAAGAAAGAAGCAATGCAAAGGAAAACCCCTCGGCCTAGAAGTAGCAAGTGGCCTCAGGGTCAGAGAGGTTTGACACCGGCTGTCATCCTTACGAAGAACCGGTACCCAGGGTCAGGGTGAAGGTGGTGTCAATGGGGCAGCCGTGAGTAGCGTGGTTGTCATCGGGCTGCTGGTAGGCCTCTTGGCAGTTGGAGTTGCCAGCAGAGCAGGTCACGGTGGGGCAGTTGCTGTCACCCGAGGAGGGAACGACGCTGAAGCCGTACTTGACGAAGTCGGAGTCCGCGTTCAGGTTGATGGAGGACATGTCCCAGAAGATGGTGTCGCCGGACTGGGTGTACTCGAACTGCAGGACGTCGGCCTGGGTCTGGGAGGTGGAGAGCTTGATGGAAATGCCACCGCCGTTGTCGTTGGTTTGCCAGCTACTGGTGTAGGATCCGCCGCCCGCAGAAAGGGTCTCCATGCTTCCGACTCTATCAGAAACAGACCACGCGTAGACGTCGGATCCAATGTTGTTGACAATGGTGACACCACCAGCATTCTGGCGACGTTGAGGGAGGGCCGCAGCGAGACCAGCCATGGAGGCAACGAAAGCAGTCTTGAAGAACATCTTGAAATGGTAAGAGAGAGACAAGCGTGCTGATTGGGATATGATGTCTGAACGACGACGGATGATGTGGTTTATCTGAATCCTTAAGGAAGGATAAGAGAGTGGACGGTGGTAGTAAAGAAGGACGAATCTGCGCTGCAGATCTAAGAGAGTGGCAGATCAAAGGATCTGAAAAACAAAACCGTACGAGCAAGAGAGTGTCGATGGATGCAGAAGAGAAAGAGACGATCAGAGACGTGCGATCAAGGCCATTATATAGACAATTTGGGGGGTGGGGGGCAAGTCACCCACGCATCGGCCTTGTCATCGGGCTGAGTGCCTGGCAGTTACGGTGTCCCAACCGAACCATGACCCGCGATGGCGCAGGGGTAAAACTTTGTTTGAGCGGAAAAGAGAAGAAAAAAGGCCAAAAAGGAATAAATCCCGAATCGAAAAAAAGAGGCAAAGAGGGAAAGCGAACCAGAAAAGGGTGTGACGTGGGATTGGGTCCCCGGGACTTCTTGGAGAGTTGGTGGAAGTGGAGAGAGGGTCGAGGAAATGAAGAGCGAGAGTTCCTGAACGCCACGAGATACAGTGGGGCTTCAAGGCCGTCGACAGTCAAGACAGAAAGGTAGTATTCTGTACGGAGTACAATAGTAAGTACTTTGGTAGTTCCGGTAGCCATTGAGAAGGAGAAGCTGACAGGTGCTGCAGCCTGTAAACCTGCCCATTGCGGTGTATGAGCCGGGCACGGAGTCCCATGCATACGGTAGACATCAGTCGTACCCATGGAGGAAGTAGGACAATCCTTCACCAATATTCAATAGTATCAATCCTCAATACGAAGTGTGACTCGTCATCCATCGGCTGCTTGCTACCTACACTGTACACATTCACCTCACCAGCTGACAGGAATTCCTCAATTCCTCTCGGTCCGGAGGAGTGATTGTGATTGAATCCCAAAAATAGGCGTCATTCACACGCATCTCTATACTTTCTCTTTGCGGCATTCTTTTTCTTTTGCCAGTGTGGGGATGATTCCCATGGCCGTGGTTAGCACCAAATGGTGGTGGTGGTGGTGGTGGTGGTGGTGGGCCTAATCAGCCACATTTGCAATGGTAATACTCTTTGCCGTGTCTTGGTCCAGTGGCAATAAGGGTCGCCCCCCGCCAGGCAGCGCGTGGCAGTAACCTTGAACCACAGCCGATGCACTCCGGTCTGAAGCCCCGAACCAGAAACTCGGTTTCTTTTCTTTCTTTTGGCTCCGGGACTCAAAGAATGGTTGAAGAAGGAGATCTTTACCATGGCTCTGTCTGGGAAAGTCTTTGCCATTCGGCTGACAGGGAAACAATTTAGGTCTCCCGAACATCATCTTTTTTTTGTTCTTGTTCTTCCCTTCGAATGAATGAGGTTCCTTTTGTCGATGCCAAGTTCCAAAAGTGGATCCTAGGCTTTTTTTTTTTTTTTTTTTTTTTTGCCTGCAAGTGCAAAAATTCTTCACTTTCTCATGGCTCTCTCACCGTCCCGGGCGTCCACTAATCCCATTAGTCTCCGCGGCGCCCTAAGTTAATTCACACTTTAACTTATCCTTCCCTTTCCCTTCCCTTCCTTCCATTCTTCCCGGCCCGGGTTCTAGACTCCCCGCTCTTTGCTCACTCGTTTTCTCTTTCACCCTGTCGTCTGCCTTGCCTGACAGGGTTTCGAATTCAATCCAATCACAAGAGGCTACATCATCCGTCATTGCTACGCTTTACCTGCCTGTTCCTGAGGGATTTTCCAATAAGAAAACAAAACCAATAAAAAAGAAAAAAAAAAGTCACGCATCCAAACAAAAAAGTAGAAACCTTCTCAACTGGCTTCTCTGTATATGGGTGTAAGTGGTTCAAACGCTTAACCGTGGTATAACTGGAATGATCACTGCTGCATGTGTAAATGAAATTTCGCCATCACTTGCACCCCCTCCCCTCCCTTCCCTCCTTCATCCTCATTTACCCCTCCCTAGAACGTCCTTTCCCCTCATCTTCGTTCGGACATGGATAGTTTCAATGGTTAGATATCACACTCCCTTCCGGGGTCTTCTCATCCCGGGGGGTTTTTCACCAATAAGGTGCTCGTAAGCCCGCCAAACTCGTGATCCCCCCCTCTCCCACCGCATCGTCGCGTTTGCGTTGCCCCGCTAGCTCCAAGTTGATTTGCCGGTGGACGTGCACCAGCCAGTCGACGTAGCTCTGGGCCTCGTTGTTGCGGTCTTCCACTAGCATCCGCGCAAACTCGTATTCCGCGCCGTCGAGCCCTTGGCGGGCCAGCTGGATGGTCACCGCTTTGGAGCCCCGGATGGTCGACAAGTACTGGAGCAGGTTGCGCACCTGCGCATTCAGGTGCGTTTCCAGCACGGGAATGGTCGACGTTTGGGGACTCAGCCCTTGCAGCGAGTTCTGGCCCTCACCGAACAGGTCTTCCAGGAGATTGGGTGACACCTGCGAATGCAGCCACAGCAAACACTGCTGGCCATTGTCCACCAGGTACGCCCCGCCCTCCTCGATTTTCGAGAAGCTGGCCCGCAGCGAGGGGGGCACCTGTAGTTGACCCTGTTCGTTGGGGAACCCATCCGTCGGCTGCATGTTGTGGATGGGGACGATGCGGGGATACAGGTACAAAGACAGTTCCGTGCAGCCGATGGAGCGGAGCATCCGCATGTCGTGAATCCGCCGATCAGACGCTTCCTGGCCCCCTACTTGAAAATTAGTGTTTGTCTCTCTATTTTTTGCCCCAGCACGGCAAACGCGGTTTTTTACCTTTCAGGGCGCGTGACTTGAGGAGACTCAACATGTACATTGAGAACTCCTTCAAATTCTCCGGCAGTACCAGCTGACCCGGAGGATGCGAGCCGGAGAAGATCTTCCGATAACCACTGAAAATGTCCACACTCTTCTCTGTAACACTGGCCCGGACATCTTTGAGGGGCTTGTCCACCGTTTTCGAGGCCGCTGGATTCTATCAGTGACACGCTTCACCCAAATAGAGAAAAAGAAAATCCTACCCTCTTTGGCAATCATGCTGACTACTGCATCTTGATCCACAAATTTCATGGTTTCCAGACCACCCTCATTGACTGCCGCCACCGTGTTGATACATCGCACCCGACGCTGACCATTAGCCGAGGTGTATAACAGAGCTGCTTGGAAATGAGCGTCCAGCTTGGGATTGAGCTTCCCATCGTAGCTGAAGGTTACCCCAATCGCTTTGTCGGCGTCGATGGCTCCGATCTCAAGGTCGGCACCAAACGTGTGCTGCACAAAGTTGCCATGGTATCCAGACACCTGAAGGCCGTTGGAGCACCGGACCTTCATCAGAGCCTGATAGCCCGTTTCGCGCGTGATCGCATGGGCCAATTCTTGCGACAGCTTGCGGATATCGCGGGGCGCATGGAAGTTGGGGTAGAAGAACGTTTCTCCACCCGTCACTTCGGGAACATGACCTTTGAAACATTAGCAGCAGATTGTGGGGAAGGTGGCAATAAGAGCTTACCGATCGTCGCTACATCCATATATGTGCCGCTCGGCGCTGCAATGAACATATCGACACCGATGCCAGCCTCTGCCAGGTGACCGGCAGTTTCTCTCCAGCCCGTGTGTTCCGTCGTAAACAGCTTTCTTTCCCCGTCGGTTCCATGGACCTTGGGATCATCCCGAAGTGAAAGAGCTCCAGGGCCCCATGTCGGTAGGCTGGCAATTGTGCCGATAATTTTACCACCAGTAGGTCGCAATGCAGAGAGAGCGGCATTCAATGCAGGAAGCAATGCGGGCTGTGGGTTTTTGACACGGGAGAAGATGGTGGGGATTCGTTGTAACAGAGAGGTAATGACGTTCCTGTGTCTCATGTCAGTGATATTTACCAGAGTCGTGACCACCGAGGAGCATACTTGGATTCATAGGGGTCAACAAACAGACCCTCGCTGAGGGGGACAAAGGGCTCTTCGAGATCCGTCATCACCATCATTTGAGCTTGATCAAGCTGTGCCTAGGGGTTCGTGAGCATGTTGATCGATTTCAGCCGTGGGAGCTGCACACATACACTGAGATTGTAGAAGTGAACTTCCTTGTCATAAGTGACAATGCCAACCTTAGCACCCTCGGGGATTCTCCGCGCCGCAGACTCGTCGTCCGGGTTCTCCGAAGGCTCCTCGCTGTACAAAGCTTCCATTATACCCTTGCATACGCCCTTCAAGAAACCCCGATTGACTGATTCCAAGCTGACGTCAATCAAGAAGAGCCACTGGAGACCGACAGGTTCCTTGTTCCAGTAGTCTTTGGGAACCAGGAACTCGACAGTTCCCATCATCAACTCCGGACGCTGCATGCGATCGACACGGGACCCGGAGGGATCGATAGGCGCGAAATAGTCCGCCGTTACGTCGTTGGGGAATGTGCACATATTACAGACGAACTTGTTGCCTCCAGACCTGAATGACATGAACGGATTGATATATGTTCTGCACCGGCGGCATCGCGGCGGTCCGGCGTCGCCAAAGTCTAACACGGGGATCGGTTGCTCGCCGGGGTCGAGACGGGCTAGAGGTTGCAGGATCATGCCCAAGGGGAGTGCGGTAGAAGAGAGGAAATCGGATGTCGAAGGGATATTATTCAATGTAAGTCGGGCATACTTCGGGGAGGAGTTGCCCTGGTCGTGCGCCACGAAAGGAACCGCTGCCGGTGGAGGAAGGTGTCGTTCCATCGTCGGGTACACATGGTTAAAGTAGTACTGAGACGGGAGGTCGCGAGACCGAGGGATACTTGGGATCTGCTCTGGATCAATCTTGCCCTGTGTAGGAACGGAGCCTACATCGGCTCCTCCGAGCGCCGGGTTCACTGGGGCAGGGATCCCGGCTGCAGGGGAGATAGGGCGTGCGGCCTGATTCAGCCCGGTGTTCAGGAATTGGGACGTTGGCGGTAAACCGGCTTGGGGGACTGCGCCGAGGGACTGCGAAGCTGAGGTCGAAGCTCCTGCAATCTCGTGGTGTGCGTGACGATGCTTCTTCTTTGATGTCCGAGCCCCGCCATCACTTCCAATTATGCCCAACCCACTCATCTGAGATGCCAAACCAGCCATCGCGGGATCTGGAGACACACCTTCGGCAACCATCGAATCGGTCTGATAGGCGAATTGACCGTGAGGCGGTTGCAGAGGCTGCTGGGCTGGCGGAGGGGCCCCGTATCCGGACCATTGTTGTTGTTGTTGTTGTTGAGGGGCTCCGTACATAGCACCGGGCTGAGGAGGGGAAATACCGGGAGGAACACCAGCAGCAGGATAGCCTTGTGGAGGAACCTGGTGAGCTGTACGGTTGGGATCGGTCGAGGCCTCACCAGGCACTGCACCTTGGCCGAAAGAGTTATACATGCTCGGGTCGGCCATGGTGCTTCATAACGCGGGGGAAGACGAAACAACCGGGGCGGGGTGAGGACGAGGTGGGATCGATCATCCACGGGGAGGGAAGATCTTTTTGCTGTTTTACCAGAGGCGGAGCACCACCGACTGCTCCACGATGATCAACAAAATCACTGTGAGATCGAAGGCGAGGAGCGAAAAAGGGACAGGGAGACAGACCTCGAATGCCGACGCCGCGGCATCGCAATTGACCACCTAATACAAACAACTGCCCCGGCCCATCTTTGTTCCGGACGCTGTCCGCCTTACTCGTTTCGGCCAGGGGCTCGATCTATATCCCCACTTGTAAAGAAGTATACCCTCCGATGTTGCAGCACAATTCTTTTTGGACTTATAGTAGTATGATTGTCATGATCATATGGCTGATTTAAGATTGCTATACACTCCAGCTCTCTGTGATAAGTGTAGCCGTTGGAATGCTATGCTCTTCCCTCACTTCCTGTCCTTATCAAGCCTTCCCGACAAGCTGCATGATGCATGCAATGGAAGGACAGACGACCGCCACCCCTCCAGCCACTGGATCGATCCTCAAAATTCTGCTGTCTGACTAGCCTTTCTGTCGGCGTTGCCTTTACCGCATAATCACACAACGTCAACTTAGCAGAAGCCTCTATAATTGACCTCTCCCTCATCCTATCTTGTCGGAATTGACCCTAGAACTTCCGGGTTTCGTTCACCGTCTTTTTGGCGCTCAGCTTGGTGTTCAGTGAGTGTCGACTCAACCAAAATATGATGACTGGGAATCTAACATCAGGTCGTCAATCTTAGAACGATCAATGGCTGGAAGTATCTCGTACGACCGATCAATTCCTTCTCCCTAAACGGCCAGTGAAGAATTATACTATATATGACTAGGGCGTGACACCATGACCGGCGTTCAAGACAACGACGAGCTACTGCTGGCTCGCATTGGTTATCGACAGGTGACTTTTCTCAATTCCCACCACAAGGAATATCCTCTAATTGAACCAGGAACTACAACGCGAATTCTCGAAGTGGTCGACCATCTCCTACGCTATCTCGATCTTGGGAATCCTCGGTTCTGTTCCAGCGACCTTCGGTGCTCCCTTGGCCGCAGGGGGTCCGGCCACAGCGGTATGGTGCTGGTTTGTGGGTTCCTGTATGGCACTATGCATCGGCAGCTCGGTAGCGGAGCTTGTGTCAGCATACCCCACAGCTGGGGGCATGTACTTCGTCACCAAGCATGTCGTGCCAGAAGAATATGTGCCCATCTTTTCCTGGATTCAAGGTTGGTGTAACCTCCTGGGACAGACAGCAGGGGTTGCTAGTGTGGTCTACACCGTCAGTCAGATGCTGCTCGCTGGTGCTAGCATGAACTCGGCATTGGTCGATGGGAAATACTCTTACTCCCCGTAGGTTTTCATTCCTTTTTGCTTTTTGATTTTCATCGTTGATGCCATATCCGGTACTGAGGCGCTCTAGATCTGCATCCGAAACCGTTCTTCTGGCTGTGGTCCTCCTGTGCCTCCTAGGCGTGGTATGCTCGATGACCACCAGATCATTGCACCGCATAATTGCCTGGTTTGCCCCAATCAATAGTACGTCCTCAATGGATCTGGCTCACAGCCAAACCTAACGATATAGTTACCGCCACTGTCTGCATCTGCGTCACGCTACTATGGTACACGCCTAACAAACAGCCCGCCGTCTGGGTGTTTACCCACTTCACCGATGGGTCCGGCTGGGGCTCTAAAGTGTTCTCCTTCCTGCTGGGCTTCATCTCCGTGGCTTGGGTACTAACCGACTACGATGGCACGACTCAGTGAGCCCACCGTGACTTTTGGACATATAGATCCTCTAACTTCACCTAGCATGTCTGAGGAGACCCACGATGCGGCCGCCCTCGGGCCGATCGCCATCCAGACCGCCGTGCTCCTCTCTGGCGCTCTCGGTTGGCTACTGACGATATGCCTCTGCTTCTGCCTCACGGACTACGAAGGCATCCTCAACACGCCCACCGGCCTTCCCGCCGCGCAGATCTTCTTGAATGCCGGAGGCCCTGTCGGAGGCTCAATCATGTGGGGGTTTGCGATTCTTGTGCAACTCTTCACCGGCTGCTCCGCAATGTTGGCCGATACACGAATGGTCTATGCATTTGCCCGTGACGAAGCCCTGCCATTCTCCTCGTGCGTTACCCCCTCCACCTTCCCCCACGAACTCTATTCTCTTCTCCCAGCCCTATTCCCCCACGATCGATCTACCTTCCCTCAAATCCCCAAACCCCAAACTAACCTAAGCCAATCTCCACCCGAAGGTTCCTCTCCCGCATCAATCCCCGAACCCAGACCCCTCTCAACGCCGTCTGGTTTGTCGTCCTCTTCAGCATCAGCCTGACCTGCATCGCCATCGGGTCCACGCAAACCGCCACCGCAATCTTCAGTATCACGGCCCCGGCCCTCGACCTCTCTTATGTCTCCGTGATCCTCGCCCACCAGATATACCGCCACCGGATCCAATTTGTCCAGGGGCCTTTCACTCTCGGCAAATGGGGCCCCCACATCAATTGGGTCTCGATCGTCTGGGTGACGTTCATCAGCACGGTGCTCTTCTTCCCTCCGCACGTGCCGGTGACGCTCGAGAATATGTACGCACCACCAACCCACCAACCCACCTTCATCCCGATATCCCCATAAACGTCATTCAAAGACAGCCAAAGCTCATGCGTTTCACGAGTAAAACAGGAACTACGCGATCTTCGTCGGGGCATTTATCGCTGCATTTGCACTGGTGTGGTGGTGGGCTGCTGCAAGGGGGTACGTGCTTTCCGTTTTCCTTCTTCTTACCCTTCAACTATCCCGGGAGCCATCTCGACTGGCTTCATGCGAGTCAATTATGCCATGGTTAACAAATCGGTGCGATTTAGACGATACACCGGACCACGGATCAACGAACAGTTCGAGCCTGTTGCCACGGATGAGGATTATGGGACGTTTCGGGAGACGGGTTCGAATGCCATCTAGTATAGCTTACAGTCTTCCAGTTTCTGGAGGATGCAACACCTACAGACAAGTTTATTGTCAGCGCGCACGCGCGAGCGAGCGCGAGAGTGTGTGTGAGTGCAGTGATCATTTCATCCTGCCTCAGCACACAAATTGAGAAATGGAATTGGAATATCGGCAAGAGAAGTGAGATTGATGCGCATAGAAGTGGACAATTTTTCGGGCTACATGTCAACTATTTAAGAACCCCTCATTGTTGAAAGATAATCCATGGACACACTCAGTACCTGAACCCTATTCAGTCAAACCAACACCATCGAAGGCTGATATGGATATGTAACTTGGTAAGGCCGTAGACATAAGGCAGAGAGACGAAGGGGATGGGGCGGGTAAGAAGAAGCCCATCGAAGGGAAAGCACGGACGCATGTGCAGTACAGTTCGCCGACAGAATCGCAGAGATCTGTCAAACCTAATCTCAACGCCGGTTGACTGCTTAGGGTCAATTGCGCCATCATGCAAAGAACGGGCGAAGAGGTGTGGATGATGTAGGTACAGTACAGTACGGTAGGGATCCTAGCTTCGCGATTGCTGAGTTGGGCTTGGGTATGCCACCGATGCAATGGCACGCTTCGGATGCTTTACTGTATGCTTATTCCGGACGACTATAGATATGCTATTCCGATAGAGAGAAATGGAAAAAAAAAATAAAAGAAAAAAGGGGGAAAGGCTATCAGCAAAAAGTTAGACCATAACTGTACAATTCACAGGTCCCCTTATACATGGCTTATCATCACAATTCATCAGCATTTAATAATGGGAAACTGAAAAAGCCCCGGAACACCATCAACAAGGTAAAAGTACATCCACCCGTGGTCTCACTGCTCCCACAAATGAACCAGATAAGATCTCAAAGAGGTAGAATGGTATATGTGAAATTAAATATGTCCCCCGTTGACCCGACGCCGATCCAAATCCTGTGCCTGCCCTTGCCACTGTTCATTTTGAGGGCATGTCCGTCTCGACTGACCAGCTGTGCTGTTCGCCAGCCGAAATCGTAATATGTGAAAAAGAATGAAAAAATCAGGGTGAAAGGGAAGAAGTACACACATGCGTTACTGATCTGCAGGCGGCTGATGTGCTCGACCAGGTCAGCTAACGAATGCAAGGAGGTCCGACGAAATCTTGCTTAAGTGATCAGGAAATCCATCTTCATGTCTTTGATGATCTTCTCCCAATCCCAGCTCTCTTCCGAGTTGTTATCCATGACTTCCCAGACCCGCTCCACGACCTTGAAGGCGGGCTCAATGTTACGGAGGTTGGAGTAAGCTTTGAGGGATTCGAACCCCTTTTTGATTCGCTCGCGTTGGCGTGGCAAGAATGCCGAGCAACCCAGCAGAAACAGGGGCATCAGCACAATGCATAATGCTCCTGCATCCTGGGGGATTTGATCCAAATATGCCAGACCATCATCTACCACCTGAGCAATCTTTTCGCTCGGTCGGGATGGCCGGATGGTGCGGTAGAGATATACCCAGGTTGATTGCCGGTAGAGTTGTGCTAGGTAGTAATTTGGCGTGTTGGCGGCATACGACGTCTCCCAGGTTCGGATAGCCGAGTCTATTGAGACAGCGTCGCCCAAAATCTGATAATCCACTGCAGGCTCATAACCCTCATCGAACCGCTGACGGATGCGATCTCGTAATCGAGTTACTTCGGATATGTAGTTGAACAATCCATCAAAGACACCCAAGAACATTCCCGCTTGGGCATGGGGTACAAAGTCGGGAAGGCGTAAGTCACCCTGCAAGTGAGCCGGGCGGCGGTCCAGGGAGGTGATTGAGTTGGACACATCGTGATACTGGAAGAACTCAACAATGAACTGACGGAATTTCTCGTTCCGGGGCTGCTGTGTGGTCAAGAGGTACCGTGCGGCGTCCATATGTGGACGGTACTCGCCGTTTGTTTCGCCTTCACAAATTGTATTCAAGCTGAGGGCGATAGTGGAGGCAATTATGGGATCCTCCACCAACAGCTCGGGTTCCACCGGACCACCGGAGGAGGCGTTGATATTGTCCTTGAGATCGCGGATGGCACGATGAAAATGGTAATATTTACGCTCCTTCAGCTTTGGCTCTGGATCAAGGGCGGAGAGATGTGAGCCTGACAAGCACATGAGGGAGTGCATTAACCCTCGATGCTGGGTGGCCATAGGCAGAAGGATCTCCTTAAAAGGATTTGAGTCATCGTTGATCAAGGTCAGAACCCGACTAAATCCGTAGACGAAGTGGTCCAGAAATCGACGATCGATCTCGGTCTCGATACCATCGATCAGCAACGGGAGGCTGCGAGAGACCATGGAATGGGTGCGAGCCGCTGTCAAGCGAACGGAGTCAGAATGGAAGTCTGAGATGTCGTATATGGACCCGATAAATCAAGGGGTAGAAACTTAAAGGTCGGAACAAAAGAGATCGATGATCCTTACCATCCTCGAGTTTTTGCTTGCCACTCTTCCAGATCTCTTTCGGAGGATAGCCTTCGCACACGACGGCATTCTTCTGACAATTAAGACAACTGCGAATGAAGTGAGAATTCAACACTACAACCGGTTCCACACGAGATGAGCGAAGACTTACGCTGGCTTGGTCTCATCACACTTTTTCTTTCGACGACGACAAGTGATACAGCCGGTTTTGGATCTCCCTTTGGTGATCTTGGCCTGGCCCCCGGGCGCAGGCAGCGGATGTTTGCGCGGTCGTCCACGTTTCCGTGGGACATTCACGGGAACAGCCGTGGAATCCGAATGACTAGAGCTCGCATTGGCTATCGCATCTGTCGTCGTCTCCACCCCCACAGGTTTAATACTTTGCAGGTCGTCCACGTCGTCCAACTCCTCGATTTTGGGCGTTACGTCGGTCATTGTCGGGTCGGCATAGTGTGTGGCGAAAATGTTGAGTCGGAAGGTCTTCGCGGAGGGTATTGCGGTCGCAGCAAACGGGTGATGATGGTGGTGGTGGTGGTGGTGGTGTTGTGACCCATCGTGAAGTTTAAAGTCCAGTTCGGCGGTGGCCGCGGTGGGCGAAGTGTCGGAAGGGCCCTCTCCATCCCAGGAAATTGGCGAGTCATTGGAGAGATCGTCAGTAGTGCTGATACTGGTGCGATGAGAAAGTGAGGAGTCGTCGACTAAAGGGCAGTCGACAAAGGCGGGGATGTCGGGAAAAACAACCGAGCGGGCGGAGTCGCGACGAACAGCGGTCGGATGTGCTGACGAGAAAGCATGAGAAAAATTATTGCTGTCGGAGGAAGAAGAGGACGAGGAGGAGGATGAAGCAGCATTAGACGTAGAGGAGGAAGGGAGGGCGAAAAGCGACGCTTTCTGCAAGGACAACATTGCACCAGACGCCGCCGCCTCTCTAAGCGGGAGGTGTGTAGAGACGATACGCAAGTGCTGAATTGTATATATAGATCGAACTGAAGAAGTGTATTGAGTATAGAGTGTAGAGTAAGCAAGCCAGCGATGTAAGACGCAAGGAGAACGAGCGAACAGAAGAAGAGGAGGAGGAGGAGGAGGAGGAGGAGGGCGGCAGGCCGGGGTTGATCTGTGACGAGCGAGGAGGGGTCTTTAAGAAAAGAGCAGCAGGGTAGGTTGGAGGAGTGTGTGGGAGGGTGGAGGGTGGAAGGTGGTGGTGGTGGTGGTGTTGGTGGTGGTGGTAGTTAAGTTGATTAGTAGGTGTAGTTGGTATTATTAGTAGTAGTAGTTGTGGTGGTGGTGGTAGTGGTAGTAATAGTAGTATTGGTAGAATAACAGTGCTAATAAGAATTGAGAATAATAAGAAGAAGAAGAATAATAATAAAATAATAATAGATAGATGAATTAAAAGAGGAGGGGAGGATCGAACAGACACAGACAATGGATGGAAGGAAAGTGGGGAGGAACAACAAGACTTGGCTGAGATTGACTGGTTGCGCGGAAGATGGAATCAACACACTGGGTGGGGAGGCAAGGAATGGGAAGAAAGTACAAGCAGCTGGTTTGAAGTTAGTGCGTCACAGACTTGAACAAGTTAAGTTGGTGGATGAAGGTTGTGTGTGTGTGTGTGTGTGTATGTGTGTGTGTGTGTGTGTGTGTGGTGTGTGCGTAGTGGGCGTAGTGGGTGTAATGTAGAGGAAAGAGGTTAGAGTAGTGTAGTGTAGTGTAGTGTAGTTGGGAGTTGGAGTAGTAGTAAATTAGTGGCGGACAGTCCTTGGTCAAAGAGAAGTAATAGTAAGTCAATGGTCAATAGAGACTAACTCCCCCCAAGCTTAGAGTGAGAAGAAGGGGGGAAGAGGGGAAAGTGTCAGTGTCAGTGTCAGTGTCAGTTCAAGCGTAAAGAGAGTGAGTGGTAAAGTCGGCGAGTCTGCCTATAGAACCACAACCAACGAGACTGGGGATCTCGTCGAGCCAAGAGAAAGCGACAACAACCCCCAGCTTATTCAAGATACACCGCAGTGAGAACAGACGCCGTCCATATGAATGAGATGAGGGAATGATGGAAGAGTCGACACAAGCCGTATTGTAAGAATAGAGAACAGGATAGAATAACAGACTCCGACCCCGACCAGGTTCAACAGAAGTCAACCCCAAATGGGCAAGTCGAGGGCCACGGTACCTTACTAGACAGAGTGAGTAATACTTAACTTACCTAGTAAGTCAATCACTGCGCCATTCTGAGGATTGAGGATTAAGTCCAACAGACACAGACACAGACACAGACACAGACACAGACACAGACACTCAAGCAGTTACAAACGGTCTCATTCTACTCATAGTTAAGCATGGAGCTGACCAAGCGAGTCACTGACTCGCTCAACCAGTCAGACTTGTGCATTCAATGTCCGCACGCATGAACCGAGATTCGGATGGATCCCAAGCGGGCAAACTTTCTGATTGATAATTCCGGTTTTGGTAGAATCGAATCCATCACAAAAGCCCCGAGCTCATTGGAAATTGGGATGAACGAGGTACATTGTTTATTGCCTTGCGATGTGTCTGAAGGCGTATTTGCATCCGTCATAATGAACTACTTATCTCGAGGGGTAGTATATATCACTGCGGTAATGCTTCAATCCCAGAAAGGGATACATCCAGATGCGGGGAGAGAAAAGATCAAAACGAAGAATCAGCCCTGGGAAAAAGAGCCTGGAGGACGAGTTGGGCTGCCAAGCCGGTTGTTGTACAGACAGACCCTAATTGGGTCATGGCGCAACGGAGAAAAGCGACAGAGAAACTTCACTAGGATCAAGTGGTTTGGGTCTTGTTCTGCCCACGAACTAGACTAGCCTAACTACAACTACAGTAAGTAGTCCGTACAGTAAATACAATACACTACCTTACAGCACAGCACGTAAATGGACTTCCAATTCTCCTTCTCTTTCCCTTCCTCTCTTTTCCCCATCACCCTCACCCTCACCCTCACCCTCACCCTCACACCCCCACTATCATCACTGATACTGTACTCGGTCTCTGGACATGTCTTGTGCCTCTGTGTGTGTGTGCCTGTACCTGTACCTTCCATCCGTCCCACTATCCATACTTGCATATACACTTACATACGCACACACATCGGAAATCGGTGGATGCTCCCAAAATGAATGGAAAAAGCAATGTGCGCCAATCAGACTCCCCATGCCTGAAGTTCTGTTGACCACCACCGCGGATGATCCTCGTTGCTTCCTCCTATTTGGGCAGGGGAACCTCACTCTCCGGCTGATGACCGGCCGGGGTTTGTGTATGCGTGCGTGCGTGCGAGTATGACTGGTGTGCGTGTGTGCGTGTGTATGTACGTGTGGTATGTGGATGTGGATGGATGATTTTGCAGAGGACCCTCCCTCCTCCTCCTCCTTTTTTTTTTTTTTTCCCGCCGCCCCCCCCCCCCCCCCCCCCCCCCCCCCCCCCCCCCCCCCCCCGGTCCGAAATGCAATTCCTCGCGATGATGATACGTCGTCAGGGGTTTTACTGCCTCGCCTTCCTTTTCTCGGCCGCCAAAATTCTGGTTCCTTTATTTCTTCTTTCTTCTTTTGCACTTTCCCTCTGAAACTTGAGCACCAAGCACAAAATTGTGCTAGAAGCTGATCGACGGAATGCATCCGTACACCTAAGCTTAGTCTCCCCATTTAGCACTGACAGGAGGCAAATGGTCTGACCCCGTTGAGGCTCTCGGTCGGCTCCTAGACCCTCTCATGGCTTGGACCCAAAAGAGAAATGCACCGAAGATCAACGTGGGACAGGCCCTTCACCAGTGTCTCTCCTAGGACACACAGACACACCCCGTCTCTCCCAGCGCTTTCCACCACAAAACAGCATTACTGGGACTTTTTTCTCCCCGAGGCTATCGTCTCCTGATGACATATTCTCACTGCCCCCCAGACAAATCTGGATCTGTCGGAGAAGGATGCGCAACAAGTGGGTTCCATTGCCTGCGCACATTCAGATCGCCGATCATGAGGCGGGGGGAAGGGCCGGGCATGATACAGGCACTTCTGATGGAGACTCGTATAGATATCTTGCCTGCAGTCCACTTAGCTTACACAAGCAGAAAGTCAGATTCCTTGCTGCAGCAGGGGCCCTCCGACTTTCGATAATCTCCTTCAATATCCAGTTGAGATCTATCTGGTCGTGGGATCTGTCTCAGGCAACATCGAGTCTACCGTATATGCTCCCCAGAAAACCGGACACGTCGAAGCATGCCGTATGGTCGATGAGGCGTTTCCCCACACCATCTAGGATGAGTACCGCAGCAGCAGCAACAGCAGCATGACTGCCAGATACGTGAAGCATGGAAGTGTGTTTCCTTGTTTGAAGTCGGTAGTGTCCCCAGTCGGGGTCTTATGTAGTGTATTACGTGCATGCCGGGATGACACGGCTCAGGCTCAGCTGAACGCCACACCACCCCACGCTACTGGACTTTCTTCGCGTCGCAGCAAGTGCGGAGAGAGGGCCAGATGCTCGGGCAGTGATCCCACCGGCCACTTGCCTCTGATCAGTCTGACCACGAACTCTAGATTGACGGACCCCGACGAGGCGAAGGAGGATGACGTCGGACGATCGGATCGGGGGAAATCCCCCTCCCCCATCGCGCATCTGGATTATTGAGTCCGGAGTCCTCAGCAAGGGGAGGTAAATGAATGGACGGAAAAGCAGGAAGCAGCGAGAATCATTCAAAACCCTTATTACGAGTACATACCTGGACAATCTGGGGAAAAGTGGGCCAGATCTTCCTCTGTGCTCCCAGCACGGACATCCGGGTACTGCAAAGCATCAAGCCAGCATTGATCATGTCCGACTTCATTCATTGACTGGCTTGACCTTACCCACCTCTCCCCTGCTCTCCATCCTACTACTGTAGGTACATGATCAGATGCGACCGAGGGGACCGATCGAATCCAATTCTACCGATGAATGGGGGATAATTGAGCAATTGAAGTCCGATGATTTGGATTCATCAGAGCAGAGAGAAGATCAGCCACCAAGCTACTCCGTAATTAGCACGGCGCCTGAGCTCTAGCTAACCACTGTCATGTACGGCGCAGCTAGGTCGTGTACCTACATTACCTTGTCCTTACTCCGTACCTTCTCGCCTCTTCTCATAAAGGGACCGAAAGGACCAACAAAGAGTTCAAGGCGACATACACAGCCACTCGAGTTAGCATTTCCAAGACAGCCAATGGACAGAATGACCAGTAGTCAACAACCGTGCACACAGGCCATGACTCCATGTAAGTATGGCGAGGGGAAGAGGAAGGGGGGCTAGGAGAGGCGAACGAACAGAATAGGATTGTGTGCAATTGGATGGCTTTGTCTCCGAGTGCTTGGGCCTCCTCCCATCTTTTCCTGTCTGTCGGCCACGGTTGATTCGAAACGGCTCGGGATGGTGCACTCCGTCCGGGCGGGCGCCCCATCAATCTGCTTGCCGACTAATTGGGAAACAAGAAGTGGAGAGATGGAGAGAATCATCTGTATACCGAGTACGCTCACTAACTCAGCTAGCTTGACTAACCTAACTCACTACAGGTTGGGTAGAAAGTTAAGGTAGCTTGGAGGGATTCGGCTTCTTCCTCCGGTTCCGCTGCCTCTTTCCTCTGTCTTCTTGTTTGCTTGCCTCCACTGATTCGATTCGATTCTGACTGACTCTTCTTTTCTCTGCATTTACCACCAAGAACGGTTGGGCTGGACTGGACTGGCCTGGACTTTGGGTCAGATCCAACCCAAGTCACATGGCACGGTGCCCTGAGATTCGGGTATTCCCGGATATGACGGGATCTTGAGGTTCGCACACCTACAGAACCATCTCATAACTACGCAGTGACCTTGAAAGTATATGTATATGAAACAGGATAGACCATCATGGGTGAGCCAAGTGGGGTAAATTTGTCACACAATCAGTGGTAGTGAACTTACATAACATCAGTCTCCGTAACGTTACTGGAGATGTTGATCTCCTAACTATAAGTCACCATGGCCCGTGCCTAGTCGCTGATAACCATAACCAGACCAGCATGAGCCCACTCATAACGAGAGTCTACTTCGCAGTCATCGAATCAGTCGTATAATGCCACCATTTGACCATTCCTCAAATATGAATCCTCAAGCAAAGTGACACCCGCGTCAGAA